ACAGACGGGGCCTAACAGGGCTAATGTTCAGCCGGGGTTTCAGGGTGAGCGCAATGAGGCACCGTGGCCTCAGCTCAGAACAGGACTAGGAACGAGGGGTTTTTAGTCGGTAAGAGTCTGACACCCTATCTCGCCTTACCCTGGGCGGGAGAAGTCATTTGATGATTTTCCCCTGACAAAAAAACCCACAAACTGCCTTTTACAAACGCATTCAAGATCCAGAAGAAAACCAAATTAGAAGCAACAATAAATTATACAAGAAATACATTAAATCTCTACTCCTCTCTCTAATGTTTGGTGTGCCAATGGACTGCGTTAATCGTTTACAATCCAAAAAATCGTTTGCAGCCTATACCCAGAATAAAAAAAAGAAATACATATTTAAAAAAAGTTTGTCGTCAGTGCTCCGCCTACGCGGCATTGACATTGCAGTACATTGTGCCACTTTTATTCAATTAATTTATCAATGGCACCATTACATTAATTTACATTTTACACGTGTGACGCGCTACGATCTTAATTTGGTGTCATGAATTTTAACGCTGATTATTTATAAAGTACTTTTCCACTTTCAATGAATACAATTTTGCAAATACGTGATTACCCTTTTCAAGATTATAAAGTATTATAATTATAGGAAATATTATGTTTATTTTTGTAGAGTAAGTTGGATTGTTATTAAATTTTTTAATACATATTTTTAAGACTGATAAATTAATTTGCAGATTTATCATCGTATCTTATCTAGGTCCTCTGTACTATATTTCAAGTTAATATTTAAGGACCTACTTAAAAAAATCTCATATTATTGCCATCTGCTAGTTAACCACTGTGAATATAACTTTCTGATATGCATTTCCTATTCATACAATGCATCTTTTTCTTTTTTACTCAGGGAGGACGAAGAAGGTGCTACCGGTGATAACGCAGAGAAGGGAGATAATGATAAGAATGACAAGAACGACAAGAAGGAGACGTTCAAGAGGCCTGTATGGATGAAACAGGCCAAGAAGCACCCTCAGTCTAAGAAGTCCAAGAAGCCAGTCGCTGCTAAAGCACAGGCCAAGGCAGCCGCGCCCGCCGCCGCCACCTCCACGCCACCGCCACCAAATAACGAAACCAAGAAAACTAAAGAACCAAAGAAGAAGGATGAAGAAGGTAAATATAGGAATATTACTATAAGATATAGAACGATAAGATGGGAAAACTTCTCAGAAATGATTTTTACCTTGTTTTCGTTGAAAGGCTTTCGGGAGAAGAAAAGACTGCTCGGGGCCGAGGGGCGGTGTAGTTTGATATGCCAATGTGTATGTTGTTACAATGAGAAAATTTCCTATATAAAATAATAAGTTCTACTACCTTCAATTGTTACCTTCGATTGTGACCTTCATTGATATTAAAGAAACGAACTCTCTCAAACATTTTTCTTTTTAAGAGCGCTTTATAATACGCAAATTTTCAGAACTGAAAAAAAAAAACGAATATGCATATACCACTATATCATGGCATTTGAAATAAATACTCAACGGAAGTGGTGCGCATTTATCGATAGACGCATTGGTGCTAATTTTATCGGTTGTCTGCGCATTCGATATTCAGGAATCGGGGATAGCAAATACCACACACAGTCATCACAGATATTTTTTGAGAAATTTATCTAGATATAGACGTACGGGCCGTTGATCTTTGAAGCGTGGGCCTTACAAATTATTCCGACGTCGCTGTTTAACCGCCATCCATAATTATCAAATCGATCTTATAAATCATGGATACATTTAATAACTCATTTATTTATGAAATATGACGCGTCTTAGTAAAAAAGTAATATAAAGCTATTGTTTCCGGACGTCTGAGGTTCCTAGCCGTTTCTTTTATAACTAGCGGGTGGATTTTATTTCTGTGATCATGTTTCCCAACGTTAAATATTTAAAAAAGATATTTACAATTTACATAAGAACGCATGATAAATACATAATATAATATATTATATCATAAAATATATTTTTTTAAATATAGCTCTAAAGTAATACTTTAAACACAGGTGAAGATTCAGAAGTGGGCAGCTCGGATGAATCGGGCTCCCATAGCGACGCGTCGGAAGACGAATCGCGCGATAAATCGTCGGCAGCTGAGGACGACGACGACCAATGGGAGAAGTTCCAAAAGAGGATACAGAAACGAGAACGACTGGAGGGACGGTCCAAGAGTTCTCATCCTGTACATTGTCCTTACTTCCCACAGGTAACAACATCAACTTATTGCTTTCACAGAATGATAAAATACAGGAATTAAAGTAACGTGTAGCAGTAGGATTTTGCTCCTGTATTGTATTAACCAACTAGCTACTCTCGCGTGGTTTCACCCGCTACGTGATGATTTATATCCTATAACCTTGCTTCCTAACCAACACAAAAAAATGTTCAATTTCAACCAGTAGTTCCGGAGATAAGCGCGTTCAAACAAACAAACTCTTCAGCTTAGTAATATTAGTATGAAGTATAGATACGTATTTAGACATATGATCATCTATATGAAAATGGCAGTGAATATCCAGAATTGCTGGCGAAGCTACTACATATTTCTGTGATGAAAAAATAGTTATTCTTTAGGACAATCGTATCCGCTTAACAACGAGCAATACTTCTTCAACTCAATGCGCCAATCAAACAGTCTATGCTTCACTTATCTTCATAGTTTTCCTCAAGACCAACACTGGAAGGTTAAAAGCATTAATGGTTAGAATAAAGTACTTGATTAGAAATGGAGTAAATGGAGAATATAGAGATACAACGTCATTTGGTAAAAAAATCGACCTTAACCTACTTATGATAAAAGAAGAATTAATTTACCAAAAAATATATATACCTTTATAAAATACTATTTACAGCTAAAAGTCAGCTGTCTAGAATTATTGTACAATAGAATTTATTTTATTTTTATTTTTAATCTTTGCTTAGATGAGGAAATCTTTCAATCAATACACGCTGATGTTTGTTTCCGCGATGCGTCACGACACTATAATAAATAAAACGTTTGTATTTTTTATTAGTTGAAAACTATCGCGGAAGTGTTTGTGGCTTATCCATGCTATTATTGTGATCACAATGTTTATTTACTAACTTATTACCGACTGATTGAAATGATTAATGTCATAAAGAGTTATTGGAGAATACATTTTGAGAACTTTTTTATTTACAATATAATTATGGACGAAACTCAGTCACAAATAAATACATTTATCAAAATGTTTCAACCGCAATGTTTATAAGTGATATAAGAAATTTTCGCTTGTGAGTTTATTATAGTCACAAATCAGTCTGACTATAATAACAATGGTCTGCCATTTCAGTGGTTTTGCCATAATCTCTGTTTGGAAATCGATTCTAATTTCAAATGAATCTTGTGCTGCCCATCCCTTCGTGTACGTAGTTTTAGCAAGAAACCCCACCCACCCAGTCACCCCACGTACCACCAACTTTTCACCGCCTATTTATTGTATCGTCACGTAATAGTTGAAGACAGTTGCTGTTACAAAATACAATACAAACAAATCACACATTGACCCCCGGTTTCCGAAAGGCCGATCAATGTTAAAATCAGTTTAATCTCTTGTCAAGTCATCTGATTAGTTGACTGAATTATCAACAACCAATCAGATGACTTGACAAGAGATTTAACAAGAGATTAGTTAATTTTAGCTTTGACAAGCCTTTCAGAAACCGAATGTAAGTTTATATAAAAATTGTGAAACTAAATAATACATTTTGTATTGTACGATACTTGGTAACTATCGTGACACTTTTTGAGAAAAGCTGGGGAGGGAAGATAATGGGACTCATGGGCAGTGGTGTGACTAAAAACTAGTAGAGCTTTTCTTAGTTAATTCATGTGATTCAAATTCTTTAAATAAATCCATTATGTTACTTCATAATGGTATGTAATTCTATGCTTTAGTCGTCTCACCTGCAAGCTTTTGATTTTGATACAAATGTGTTATGGGTTCAGATAAATGTGCACAGTTGGATTGTTATCAATTCGGATGTTTATGTCTGTACGTCTGTTATGTTTTAGCAGCACGGACACTGCCACTGTGTAATTAATATGAAATTGCAGTGACAAAAGTACCTATATGTTGTAATTTTACATTTATTTAGTTACAAATGGGAATATGTAACAACATTCTAGAACGGACTTCCTTTCCCTCTGAATTAGGTTATTTCTCTTTATGTAACTTTACAACAAAAAATCCTAAATCATTAGCATATTGTACAAAAAAACTAGATTTATACTGTTATCTCGAATCTTCCGGCTCCACCCACAAGTAAATGTTTATTTATTAACCCATAGTGACGCGTTCACTAGTCTAATGGAATCGTTAAAATGCAAAGTAACAGTAAGCGTGCTCCTTACATAACATTGGTGACTAATCGACGCATGTAGTGATTTTGATGCAATCGCGTAAAAACATGTTTTTTATTCTACAACCGAAATGTGAGTAATCGACGAGACGTGACACTGTCCCGATGCAGTTGCAAAATGTATGATAATTCGGTTTTTAATCTTATCTATTTCTAGGTCTAATAGAAAAGTTTTGAATGTAACATGAATAGTTCGCATTTCTAGTGTATTTTTTTAGTCATATTTCTCAAAACTTTTTAGTTCTTGGGCTTTTCCAATCCCAAATATATGATACAGTACGTACATGCTAGCTTTTACTAGTTAGTCTGACAGTATTATTTGAATAAAAGAAGCTCGTTTAGTAGCTATGTAGGTATATATAATTTCTTGGAATATATGGTATTTTACTTTAGCCTTTAAACTTCTGTACCTTTGCGCGAAACAGTGTAAACATCAGTACATCCTCACAAATTCACATTTGTAATTTTAGTAGGGCTTATTATAGGCAACAAGGCTTGTTGTCTTCATACTTCATACTAGTACCTCATATTCCCGTGTCCACGACAATACCAATCAATAATAATTTATTAACACATCTACTTCTAACATAAATTATTCGTTTCAATGACTTGAACACGGTCGACATTAGTTATTGCGTAAATTATGATTGTCGTCAGACATTTTAAATGTTTTCCCGTAGGAGCATCTGTGAATGGTGACGAGTGAGTCCGACCTTGGCCCGACCTTCTTGTGCATATACTTCCGTTATCTTGTTGACCTCAATTACGACATGACATTTGTGCGTCAGGTGTAAGTAGACAGTTGTTATGTAATAATTGAGTGACGCATTGGCAATGGGAATGTTCCGCATAAGTTTATTTTCTCCCTTCAAAATTGCAAAAAATATTAATTATTTATATCGGTACAAAGCTAGTTACAGTCGTAAAATTAATCACACAATTAACCCTTTAGCTCAACCAGATCAGTAAACTAAGTTACTGACTCGAAATAAATGAAAGTAAACAAATTATAACTAGCTGATTATAAATTATTATAGTTCCCCGGTTTTTTAAATATGATTATACGCAGGCTAGTTATAATTTAATACGGTAGTTTCCAACTAGTAAAATTGAATACTTTTATCCATATGTCAAAAACGATACTTTTCTATGACATTTGTATGAAACTTCAAATCATGATGTCTCGTATTATGTATTTTTTTGTTTTGTCTTAGGAGAAACAAGAATATTGGTGGTGTTACATCTGCGACCGTAAATCGCACACGTTGCTGACTGCGCCGGCGCATGTAACGGCGCTCGTTGACACGCACGAGCTACAACTGCGCTTCACCGCGCCCCGCTGGCCGGGACTCTACACCCTCGCCTGCTGCCTTAGATCAGGTACCAATTCTTCATTCCACTAATAAAGGCTTAAAGGACTAAGCTTAGTCCTTACTTGCTGGCTTTCATCAGGTTTTATTACAATATTCCACCAATAAGGGCCTAAAGAACTGTCTGTTTTGAGCTTAGTAGATGGTGTTAATAAAGAGAATAAAAGGGTTTATGATAATTCTTTAGATAAAAGTCTTTGAATAATGTGGGAAACTTAAACATAACAAATGCAGCCTTTAAGCTGCAGTAATCTGTCTTTCAGTACAAAATCCAGTAGATTATAGTTGGAATGTATTTATGAGTGGTCTGACTCTGTGACTGGTCGTTAGGTCACTAATTGGGGTGATTGGGCAGGTTTATGTCATTAGACACAAATGTAACTAGTAAATACACAGAAAATATTAATGCGTTTATCAATTTTCGAAGTACTGGTTTAGCAGTACGAGCAGCAGTGATTACAGCATTTTTAAATACATCACCATTATATTAACTTGCCCTACACTTAAGGTTTGTCTTCGCATCTTTATAAAGTTGTTTATTAAGTTTCCTCTAATATATGTTTTATCCGTCCTTTTGTACCAAGGATTCCGATTGTATGGAAAAGAACACCTTGGTAGACATTTCTTAACATTAATTAATGCTCGTCACGCTCATCGGTGCAGATGAAGTGTTTTTGCAGTAACGCCTTTAGAATACAGCTGTATACAATTGAATAGATAATAATCTATAATGCCTAATATATGCGGTGATGTACTAATATATGTATAGATAGGTTAGCTAGATCTATTGTGTTCCTATACACTTCTCACAATCACAGCCTTTTTGAGTTACGGGACTCTGTTGACTCAGTACTTTTACCAACATTCATTGCACCGTTGGCGCATTGCCTGGGCAACTGGCTGCTGTGCAACGTGTTGCGGGTTCGATCCCCGTACGGCACACAACTTTGTCTAATTCACAAATTGTTGTTTTGAGTCCGGGTGGCTTGTGTATATGAATCTGTATGTTTGTAAACGCACCCGCGACACAGGAGAGAGAATCTCATGAGGACAACGTTTTTTTAAAAAAGAAAAAAAAAATTCGTTGGTTTCCATCTTTCTGGTGAAATTCAATACTTTTATTGAAATGTCAAAAACCGTACCTAACCTTTTTGAATTTTGTATGAAATCGCAACATAAGACGTCATAATGTTTTAACGTCAAGCAGCATACCTATTTTTAAAAAGTTTACTTGAAAAAATCTAAAATTAAGTATATCGTCAAATCAATGAATGAAAGTATGATTGTATTTCAATAGTTAGTATATTAAAGTACTCAAAAGTCAAAATAATTTATTTTTGACTTAGGAAACGACTCAATGGTATGGTATGGTATGGCTTATTTATAATATAAAATATATATACATATAAAATACGAACCAGATTTGGAATTTTACTCTTGTTCGAAAGACATTTTTATTTACTTCACAAGTAGCCATTAATAAGTACATTGATAAAGTTTTTGTTATATGATAGTTCGGCAAACGAGCAGACGGATTATCTGATGGTAAGCAATCAGCGCTGCCCATGGACATCTACAACAACAGAGGAGTTACGAGTGTATTGCCGACCTTTTGGGGATTTGGCGATACTAAACGTTCTGTATTTATAAAAATAGTCATGAGAAATACTAATTCTTGTTTATGTCCTATAGATTCGTACATCGGTATGGACCAGCAACAAGACATGAAGCTGGACGTGAAGGAGGCGGCCGCCGTGCCCGCTGAGCACCCACAATGGGACCTCAGCGACTCTGACACCGATAACAATGATCAGGTAAGTTTAGGACTTTGATCCGACTTAAGTGATACCACGGCCCTCATAGAAAACCGACGTATAACTACGTTTGTGTTGCATTTCACCACGTGACTAAGGTTATCGAAGGCCCAATTCTTCCCAAAGCCACTAGTACCGATCTTCAAACCCCAAATCTCCACGTTCCTCCCGCAATATCTTCTGAACCTTTTTTTTTTGGTGAGGGGAAAATCATCTCATCACTTCTCCCATCCAGGTGCGGGAAGGAGGGCAGTGTCAAACTCTTACTGACTAAAAACCCCCCGTTCCTTCTCCTGCTCTGGGCCGAGGCCGCGGTGACTCATTGCGCTTGTTCCGCAACCCCGGCTGATCCGTCTGAGCCTATCGCGACGTCAATCAAGTCATTTGTTTAGAAAAAAACCAATGAATGAAAAAAACCAATCAATGATTTATTGATTTCCATAATGTGTTTCTTAGGTGGTCAATTGCAAATTATGAGATGGACCCTGTCGGGCATAGCAAACTAAAAATTGGGAGAACCTTAATCATACAATGATTTTAAATTTTCAACCGCTTGCATTTTTTAATTTTGTTATTTTTTTTCAACAGGGAGGCAATGAAAGTGAATTCACAACAGACGACGAGGTAGAAGAGGAGTAGTCGAAAATGAACTAAGTTATTTTTATAGAGTTTATTAATGAGGTGATTGCGCATAGGTTGTTGTATGGTCGGTGAGCGAGTGAATATAATGTTTTATATCCAAATGTGTGAGTCTTTTATTTTTTCTACGTATCATCCTTGCATTTTCCTGAAATCCAATTTCCAATCCGAAGTTATATCCTCCAATATCTATTTTTTCTTCAGGATCAAGCGAGCATGAGAAGAGAGTTTACTGAAGTTGTTGTATTATCAAGTGGAGTCAGCACGTAACTAAACACATTTAAAAATCATATCCATATAAAACAGACAAGTTCACTTAGCGTTAGAGGATTATAGGACGAAGCCTTCCAGAAAATCCTGTCAGTAAGTATTGTGTCTTGTTGCACTCGAAATAAAGCCTAATTCTGTGCGAAGACATCTAGGTCTGAAGTCAAGGGTCCTGGCGGTACGTGGGCCCTCGTAAGTCGGGTGTCGGTACAGCGGGTACAGTGTTACATGTAGCGCAGTGTTGCTGCACAAAGGGATGTTAGCGTAGCTGGTTTGCGAGGGTATCGTCCTCGCAGGCTGCGCGGGCGCGGGCGGGGCGGGGCGGGGACGCGGCGCGGCGGCGGCGACGGCGGCCCGCGCCGGCCACTCGCTCGCGCGCCTCCGCTCGCCGCAGCTCCACGACCGAACGACTCTCGCCCGCGCCCGGTGTCGTATTACCGCTCTAAATATAACCCGCGAGCGCGATCGCCAATTTAGAAACGGTCGCGCGCCTTGTTTTGAACCAGTGATTGACAGTGCTAAGTGAAGAAAACTACCCCGACCGTCGAACTATCCGCCGCCGAAGTGAGTATCCCCTGAAGTAGTCTAGACTTTCAGAGGGCGAGACGACCCTTCGTATATTGTGTTACAGCATTGCGGTTTTAAAATAAACAGCTGTTCTCAGAATCTATGGCGCTGGTAACATGCTAATTCGGGATTACGCTTTCAGCCGAGGATGTGGAAAATTGGAAATGTTCATCGTTTATAAATATTGACAGATACTTATCAGATTAACGTGCAGGTTTGCACCCAACTACTCTCAGGTATCAAAGGATGTTCGCCTCGTTGTTTGTTAATTATAAAATTAGCGTGAAAGTTCAAGGAGCAGTTTTGGCTACTGTCACATGATGTGAATGAGCCAACAATTATGTGAAAACACTGACCAAAGGTTAAATGAAATTACAGGCAAAGATTGAGGATAATGGCGGTAACCATTAACATCATATAGACCTAATTTATTAAATATGAACTCTATAATACTTAAACAATAAACAATCATACTCTAGATACTTTCAAAATAAAATCCGATGTTTAAAAAAAAAGATAGTTTTAGAATTAAACTTAGCCGACAGGAATTTCCTATAGGACTGTTTATGCGTAAGTTAATCTAGCCGATTTCGCAAGTTTAAAATGTAGACCCGAATTGAGCTTACAGTGCTACGAGCGTTGGAAGCTGGTCAATTGCATAAGCGCCAATATTGTTGGCCGGGTGTCGCGGCCAGTGAGTCAGGGTGGTGTGTGATTGTCGATAAAAACTTACTAACAGTTGTTGGCAGTCACTGCAAAACTAATTGCCAATTACAAAGGAGAGACCAAGCGAAAAACATTAGAGCTATAGCTAGAAACCACATGACAAACTGGACCTTAACATTACCGCATTTTTACTTCATTGTCAGAGTAATTATCTACATCTCAGAAAACACGATTCGATTTCCTGTACACTTAACAACAATCGTGAAGTGCAATTTAGTTTGGATGTATCATAAAATTAAATCTACCTTCACATCTAAATACAATCATGTGCATCTCATGAATATTTACATGTAACATGCTATTATGTATTTTTAAAACGGCTTCCCATAGCATAGTTTGGTTGCTATGGCCGGCAGCAGGTGGTTGAGATTGATATTTCATGATAAACATCCTATTGCAGAAATAGTCTGAAAATATTGATCTATTTAAAAAAAGAAGCTCAGTTGCGTTGGTAATGCGATAGCCTTGAAAATGTTTATTTTATCCTATGATAGTAGGTATGTGGGTAGTTTATGTCGAGAATCCAAGAAAGAGCAGTGTAGCGTGATGTATGCGTCTCATCCTAGAGCAGTGGATTTAGCTAAATTTATGTATTGGGTGAAGCTGAACTTGCCTATTTACTCGCACATTGCTATACCTACCTACAACTTAAGAATATACATATAGTTTTATACATGTTGCCCTGACTGGGACCTAGATGGATTTAATCTCCAATAACTAAATATTATATTTAACACAAACCTGACAATTAGAGGACTGCAGCTTACAAAGGGAGTGCTGTCAGATAGTTCCCTAAGTACATACCTATAGATAGTTTCTTAGATACCTACATAAATATTCCGAATATTTTATATTCAAAGAAGTCGGTTAATAATTTGGAACGTTATACACAAATCAATTGGAACTAACATTGTTGAGAATGTGTTAGATATTTCTACTCTCTTCTATTTAATTGTCCAAGAAGTTTCCAGCTAGGGTAGTGATTTTGAAGGCAATGAGTTTGAATATGGCCTGCAGTTACGATTGGTGATATCCCAGCACATTGGGCACGGGCGTGCGCGCGATGAATCGAACCGCGGACTGATAGCGGGCCGGTTAGACGAGTCCCGCAGCCAGAGTGCAACGGCCCAAACTAAGGGAATTTTAAAACGTTCATACTTGCAAGCCCTTTGATTTTATACTGCAAGCCTGCAGCATCATTATTATTTTGTGTCTCAATTTTTTTCCCAGAGTTTACACAGACTTTTAATTGATTCGAATCGTTTCGAAGATGATAGTCATGATGTAGGTCGTATAATAAATTAGCTAATCCAATCCCATATTTTCATTGTTAGGTACATATGTTATTGGACTTCGGTAACACACACTACTTATATTTGAAAATCTGGAATTATTATCTGCTTGTTAAATTTAATTAAAATAGATTACTAAGTAAGTATAGATCCATTATGAGTATTCATGAAATTTTTCCCTTTTCGGTATGAAATCATCAGTCTGCTTTATATTCATGAATACAATAACGTAAATGTTTATAAATACCTTTTTCAGTTGAATTTTTCCTGTTACAAATAACTTGTTTGCAATATATCTATTACCAGTCCTACTTGACCAACTTACGAATCAACCAATTTCCGACTAATTTGCGTACCTACTTATTGACTAATAAATTCTAAGGAAAATTCTTGTTGACAATAATTTAAGGCAAAAATTAAATGCAACGAAGACAAAAACATAAACAAAGCTAGACTAATGAGTAGGTAGTGTTCAAAACTTAGAAGTATTTAAACCGAAACAGGGTCATATCTGCCATAAATATTGAAGAGCAATAAATAGGTAGGTATATTATAACTATTTGTACTTATTTAAACTAGGTATTAGGTATCCTTAAATGCCTACCCTAATGGGTAACAAATCTCAAATTTCTTAATTTATCCACTAAATTGATAACCGTAATGGAGATACAAGTTAAAGTAAAATAGGTAAAATAGTAAAATAGGTAAATATGTATAAATTGGCGCCAACGAGCCTTATTACATATCTACTCGTTAGCTATAAGAAAAGCATGGATACGATAAACTCCGTATCTTTCCACGATTTTCTTTATGTTTTCATACTCATCACACACCGTCTGTTTACATAAGTGCATTACAATTTGTATGTTAATGTCAAGTTCACATGTGTCGATAGTGCAACTTGTTTTCTATTTAAACTACAACGCAGATAATTATTTCTTTATCAAAACTGAGAAATATACACATAGCAAATAATGTCAAGATAGGAATAAATGTGTGTTTATCTCTAGGATAGTTTTGTTTATATTGATGTCTGAGGAAGTATTTCCAAGTGGGTGCAATTTGCTTAATTGTTATTGAAGTTTCAAATTAAATTGAATCTATCTATTCGTTTATACGATGGAGGTCAAACTGTTAACTAAATATTAGAAGATATTCGGCACTTTGTTCTCATCCTCTTTTTGTCTGACATTCCATGCATCGAGTTTTTATTTTCATGTTATTCTTAATCCTTGGGTCTTAAACGATGAATCATAAGGGTCGCCTGTCTGGGTACGGTTTAGATTACTCATAGTCGATCGCGCCTTATTTCTTCGACATCATTGTGTGTTCTGCTGCACTTTTACTTATGCGATATTTACATATTGCATATTTTCATTTTTATTTGTTATCCAAAGTATTCTTTTATACTTTATACAAATATTTGTAATGAACTCATCGTTCAGGTTCAGGTGAAGAAAGGTTTTTGTTTATTAGTGTCTCTGGCTGGCTGTGTTTTGAATTTTTACTGTGTCGATTGGAGCATATAAAGTCTGCCGTCAATTTTTTCAAATTAGGAACTTCTTAGTCTTCAATCTTACCTAATTAGATTTATTCAAGAAATTTTAACGTGTGTTATTATAAAATCTATCACATGTAACATAATCTACTATGACATGGTTAAAGCATTCAAGATAAAATGATCATCAATAATTAATACCTATCACTCAACTGGCAACCTTATATTCTTTTGTTCTTTGACTAAACTGTTAAAGAAGAGCGACTAGCTGTGTCTTCCTCCTTTGAAGTGGGTCATGATAAACAAAACAAAACAAAACTTGTTCGTATCGATACACAATTAGCCTCAATTAACCTTTGAACTTAAAGAAATATTTTTCAATATCCGTTATTTATATCGCTACATTTGTGTTGTCGATGCTATTGCGCTTTAAATTTTAATGGCACCCCTGTTAAAAATGTTGCTATAATATTTTTGAATGACTGATGTCCTAAATCTGGCAGCAATGTACCTAACAAACAATGGTTAGAGCACTTTATTCAAACCAGTCGTATCATTTAATATCTAGCATATTTTATATAGTGTTATTAGGATGTCGTTAGTCCATTGTTTGTTGCTAAAAATAAGCGGAAACCTGTCTGTCATTGGTACCCACATATCAATTCTCAGATCAGTATGAAGATGTAGGTTTACTAACCTACCTTCATAAAAGTCGCCGTCAGTTATATACAAACTGAATTGTGTCATTCGTAAAGATGTCAATAAGGCACCGGGATCAGTGGTGCACATCCGTTTTGTATAATTCATACATACTTTGACGATATATGAATTGGTCCAGAACAATAACGCTGCTATTTATTTCGTTCGTTACTCATATGCGTCGAACGTGGTGACGTCAACATCAGACCATACTTGTAGTATGTAACTTCTGAGAATGACCACAAAATGAAAAAGATATGTGCAAAATACATTGCAATGAATCTGTGTCGCCACCTATGTCAAGATCGTATGGAAATCGCGGCGTTCTTCAATAGCTAGTGCAAATAATGGTAATATCTGACTTTTAAACCTCTATTTATTTAAAAAAAACGTTGCTCGTCTGATGTCTGCTTCAATCTCCCACTTTGGATGTTACAATTTATCTAGTATTTTGCCCGCCAAGCTGTCAGCAATTGAAATCATTGTAAAACATAACAGGTATCCCCTTAATTATCCCTGACATTCTTGTAAGTACCTATACTAAGCTAAACAATTATAATGAGACAAAAGGTGTTTGAAAGACGACACACGGGGACACAGAGACGTGTAATGACCGTAGGTAAATTAATTTCATGGTTACGGTCCCATCTAATTTCGTAAATTCTTGGATAGAGATAGTTTAATATTGTTGGTGGTTTGCCAAAACTTCGCTTTATCTTGACACTTTATATTCATAAGTACGACCCGGAGCTATTCTAAAAATTTTCGTTCGCGTTACGCTAAGCAGATATTTTCAATGACAAAAGTAATTTCGTAGCGATGTTGTGTGTAAAGTATTTTAAGCACAATAACATTGAACTTGGTGTCCGACTTTTCGCATCAATGAATGTTATTTTTATTTTATTACGTATTTCAAATTGCGCGTCACTTAAGTGGAAGGCACTACGTCAGAAATCGCGGCTTATGTCATCATACTTTGAACAGATGATTTTGCTTACGCTTTAATAGTTAACTACTTAAGGGCTGTGGTAACACCAACCGCATCTTTTCAGAATGTTCATACTAAATCAGGGTTAAAAGGAAACAGAATATTATTATTATACTATAGGTAAGTACCTACTTGAACACACTAGCAGCTTGGAAAGCTGGTGCGTGCTTACCTAGTAACAGTTTTGGAGATTTTGTCCAGTCTGTTTTTAAAAGAATGAATCGTTTATGACTATGTCTGTTAATAGAGACTGGAGTTGACCTTTTCCAAACCGAGCAGCTCTTGTTAAATTAACTATGTAGGAATACTTATGCAAAATATAGCTAACCATTGGAAGACCTACGGGTGCCACGACTTTTATTAGATACGTGTAGTTAATGTAGTTAATAAATAAGTAGTTAATAAATGTGTAGTTAATAAAACTACTTACATACCAGCTGTCTAAATACCTGCACGTGTCCATCAAGAAGCGTAGGTATAATTGCTAGGCCAATAGTCTATCTGGGCTAGACTGGTAGTAAACTGGGTACATTGAATGAATAGAGGCAATAAAGCCTTCATGAAAAACAATAAAAACGTGTTCACTTTCTACAAAACCTCATTGAATCGTGGATCAATGGGATTCTCACATAACTTGTCCACGCCCACTATTCGGCAGTCACGCCAGTGCCAAGAACACATTTAGAATTTTTGGAATACTGTGTGCCAAAACTGTAAATCTGTAACATGTAAAATGTGCTTACGCAGTTATTTACGTAGGCGTAGCTCTTCTAATTAACTTTACTGAAAACTTCATTGATTTTAAGTATTATTGAGATTAAAACTGGCCAGGCCAATCGTTAATGCCGGGGGTCTAGAACCACGGTAATATTATGAAAGTAAGACCTCAATATATTCCTTATAGCTTAAGTACCTATTTGCTACTAGTCAGCATTGAGTTGAGCTAACTACCGACTGAAGGACCACCCAGCTTATCTTGTTGTAGTTAAATAAACGGGCGAATTATTATGATTAGTTGTTTGTGCCTAGCCACGTTATCAGTGAGGCGTCCGAACGACGCGATGGCTGATCGCCAACTCTTTCGCAACCGCTCTATATTTACACACCAAGGTTTTTACATTGCAGTTTGGGGGTTATTGACATTAATACACAGTTATACAACACGTTACCACATATTAAGATGTAAGACTTTAAATCCTGGAGTGCTACGGCGACGTTGACAGCCAACCGGCATCGGTAGTGTAAGTGCCAAGTTTACGCCAGAGCGCGGCTCAACCGACACCACGCTTACAGAAATAACGCGAGGCTAAACTATATATAAATGCTAAAAGAAAAATACTGAAAATCTTGCTATATAACAAACTAAACGTGTACTAGTATATAAATATTTATTGACTTAGTAAAACGGGATTTTTGACTAAGAACGGACTGCGAGTAGAGTTTACCAGATTATATTGAAACGTCTACTTACCTAAATCTGAGTTTCGGACGTAAAATATACAGTTATATAGTGTCTATAAAGGCAAAGGTAATATTTGGCTAAACCAGATACCAACGTTTCTGCATAACATAAAGCAACCCGCATGACTGATAAATGAAAGGTCGCAGACTTTGTAAAAGCAGGACCTACCTACAAATTGCATGCCAGTATGAAAGAGATCGAAATGTCTGGAAGTATGTTCATAGATTCGCTAATATAAATAGTTGGTGCATACCTTCACAACATGAGTTCATGACACTTTTAATTTTAACTCTTTGTCTAGTCTAAATATGGATGAAATTATAATTACAATGTAGAACAACAATGTGAACGTGAGGGCTTACAGCCAAAATAACAAGTAAAAATAGTGTATCGTAAATGAATAAAATATGCAATATCATTCATCGGTTACCGGTGAGTGGGGCAGTGCAGCATGAACGGTTTGACGGCGCCATGTCGCGTCAGTTGCTTCGAATAGTTCAGCAGACGCCAAAGTTGCGACACCTCGGCACCTCGGGTCGGCCTGAGCCTGACCGGACTCTGCTCTGGCATGCAATATGCGTTTGTCTCATACGCAACTCGATGCACAAGTTGCGCCCGGACTCCTACGCGTTTTATTGATCACGCTCTCGACATTATCATTTCGCACCTACTAACAAGTATCGATCGACTTTTTAGCCTTTGAAACATCGTCGACAGCGCGACCTCACAAGGCCACAGCTGAGTAAATAACGTTGAAAGCACGTATGTGTTTTGTAATTACGCTACCTACAAGACAAAATGGCATCACTTTCCAAGATCTGAAGTTGTTTCAAAGAACATATTTTAGCTCTTCCACTGGAAAACGAAGCAAATGTTGCTTAGATAGATTGTCATGAAGCAGATTAATGAGACACTTCTTATTACATAATTTGCAATCAACTAATATGCCACGTAACGGTATAGATTTATACTCTATATTGTGGAATGGAATGAAGCTCCCACGCATCCCACATTAGTTCCCGCTATCCCACCGCAGGTGTGAGAACAGTATGTGTCTAATTGTCATTTTATCATTGTTAACGAAGCTATAAGTACTTATTGTCAATTTTTTAATTTCTGTACGTAAAATGTGTTTGGTTTTTTAGTTTCCTTCGAGTGGAGTCATTTTGTACGTTTAGCATTATCATGCTGTAATAGGTACCTACCTACTGCTTTTTGGTCTTAGAACTGACCGATTTAGGCGGTCGATTTAAAAACACACAGGTATTGGATCTGTTGAAAGAAAAGTTCATCCATCACCTCCCAGAAATCTACAAAGCAACCACCCAGAAATAGAAGCATTGTTAAAAAAAAGGATAGAGTTCGAACACAAGATCGTCATCAGCGAACAGCGTATAAAACGTTTAAATCAACTTTGGCATTAATGTCCGGTACTGTAGCTATACATTGTATAGGTAATATCAACAATCGTATAAAATTTATTGACCCAAGAAGTTAGTAAAAAAGAAACTGGTTCTGATTACTTGTCGAACATAATGATTTACAATTTAACCGAATGCCTGCTTTCTATATTTTCACTTAGTTTAAGCTAAGGTAAATTATGTAAATATTTTTTGATAAATCAAGTTGTTCCCTAATAACTTTTTCGGTGGTCAATCTACTTCTTTTTTTGAGAACATGTAAGTATCTGGTATCTAAATCAAGACGAATAGTTGAAATATTTTCTTTGAAACGTGCTAAGTGTTAATCATACAAAATCGGATTAGGGTCACCGGAGATGAAATTGAGTTATATCATAAAGTCTCCATTTCACCTAAATACCGAGGTAATCGCTTTTGTGTCCGACAGCGGACGCGGGCTTTCGTGATTACTCACCGCTGACGTCATTGATTAACGCGTGACTAACAATCCGAAGAAAAAATCAAACGTGAAATATATTGAACAATAATGTTTACATTTGATAATTCTTGGAAATACAACACAGTTTTATCGGAAACTGTTTAAGGTAGTTTGTTCCCGTGGTTGTTCCTCGAAATGCTTAGGAGATAAAATGTAGGTAGATGTAATTTACTTACCGTACTTAGATACAAATAAATTCAAAATACCAACTACCTTACATATAATATGTTAATCGATCAATTAGGTAGTGGATTTATCAACGAAATGTTTCCCAGTATTATTTTTCTGCAGATCTATTTAGTAATCAAAGTCTCATAACTAATAATCCATTTTGCAACGGCCAATTTTTTTTATTAATTTATTTAAATCACAGGTCACGGAATTACCTGGAGGTCAAAAATGTTTATGAAGTTTCCGTTACGAATATCATGAATCGGCTATCCAATAATAAATTATGACGTAATATGTCGGCGACCCGTAATATAAAGTATCAATTTAAAATAAACAGTATAGGTACTACGAAGTTCAAATATGATAAGACCATGGATAAGACAGTATTCATTAAATATAAATGTAGGTAGGTACTTAAGCTAGACATCTGAATTTAGTTTATTTAATCCATATCATTAACAATGGTAACACATAAGGCTAGAAATACAATATCTATACAATACAGCTTTGGAAAAGGCTAAGGCTCTTTGCCTTAGCCTTTTCTTTAGGAACCAATAACCATTCATATTTTGTATGCCTCAAGGAATGTTAAATCGAATGTAAAAACACATTAACTCTGAGTCGTAAAGAAGCTATAATAATTATCATACACAGCATTCCTGAGATAAGGCAGTCCCCTGTAAACTACGTTCAATCACGAACAAAGACTTCAAGATGACATTGTAAACGCAACAACAATTATGTGAAGCTGCGAGGGTTATTGCAGGAAAATCAATACAAAACAAACTCATTTGAAATTATAATGCGAGAAGCGACTGTTTTATATTGAGTATCTAATTGAACATTATCTTTCTATTAGAACCGTGGATGGAATAATTATTTTCATAGTTTATTTCATTATTAGTCATCAACCAAGTACGTTTTAATTAGGTATCTACCAATGAGATAACAGTACCAAGTTAATTTGCAATATTTTATTGCAGTTTCGCGTAGAGAAAATGTCTCTTCATCTGTAAATTATTGGCTATTGACAAGCTATTGGTCAAATGGTCAATCACCTTTTGGCAGGTGTTAGAATGATTGGAATAACGAGAGTAAGACTTAATGTCACACTAGCGCCAATTAGCTGAGCCAAACACAAAAACTCTTTGAATTTCCACAAAGTTACTATACTTCTCGATTTCATTGATGTTTGAAAAAGTAAGTAATTCGATTTTACCAATATTGTCAAGTTACTAGATATTGTTCAAGTCTCCATATGGAAATGCTCAAAGTATTGAAACATCAGTGAGGTTCCTAAGTAGGTATCAAATAATATCTTATTAAAATCTTGCAAAACACTGGGAATGTCACACATTTTTATATAACTGCGAAATCGGCGGCTCAATGTCACTTCATTACCAATCAGTTTGTTTGGTTCGTTACCACTTTTTATTGTGAATTGAAATGAATTGATGAAGACGTAAAGTGTCCGCTGAAGAGTGTCGCGACCTCTTGATTGGCGCCAACGCAACGGCAAGGTTGAGGAATGCCACAACAAGCGTACAGATTAAAAAAAACATTACATTACACTTTATTTCAGCCCTGATTGTTTTGTTCTTTTAAATTGCGCCAGATATCTCTTTAATGACTTTATTAGTGTTAGGTACTTATTTAAAATCTGTAAACAGAGCCGTAATCGAGCCAAGATTTTTGTCAGAATATTTTTGTTTGTTAATTTTGGACAACATTCTCTACACATGATGAAAGCCAAGTAATTGCTTCTCTTACAATATGTACTCGTATAATAAGTATCTATGTGACTGCTTTTATAAATATTGGAGCAGATGCGATGCATTTGATTTATGGAATATTTGCGACAGTATCTATTAGTCATAAAGCATATTTGCCGTCACTTATCTTTTAATTAACCCGCGAGTCGACGTCGAGGGGAAAGGGTGATTAGATAGGTCAGTATTTCTTCTTACTTATCTATACATATCTACAGCACCTCCAACCTCCAATCACCCGATGTTCAGACTAGTATAAGAGTAATCCTCTTAGTTATAAAGTACCATTTGGTAGGTTACACATTATGGTAATATGGTAGGTAAATAAATTTCTACGCATATTAATATTTATTTGCTAATATTTTTATTTGTCATAAATAAATCGTATCTACTTATGTTTATTTTTATAACACAATAAAACATCTTCTATCAAAAGTTACGGTACCTTTAGTCAGTGTACAGACGTGTATAGTTCATCATTCGATATTCACACAACATGAGCAAGAATGTAGCATTAGAGAACAGCGATTGTATCAGTACTTTTTTAATCAAATTTAAAATATCACGGAGAGAAATCTAAGGCCCCCGAAAACCGATAAATGATTTGATTATTGTTTATTCCTTGTATAAATAAACGAGTTTCGCTCTCAGCCTCCTTTCACTGATGTCTTTTGGTTTGCACTTAGATCTTGATCGAAGATAAAATAGATCGCAAGATGTCTGCATACCTACTTACAGTGCGGTCCGGTCAGTGAAGCTGGGCCCGACAGAAAATAAATCTTCAATTGGGTCAATCAAATGCCAGGCTAATGGTACCTACTTACCGCGCATTACTTAATCATTATTTGTACGCACTTTCCAATTTCTCTCTTTTAGGATCGATAATGACTGGTAGCGTATGGAGATGCGCTAATTACTCCCAGAGCATTGCCAAGCAGCACAATTGACAAATCATTTGAACAAACATATTTTGGCGATGTTACAAAATAGAGAGTTTAGATAAGATGATACTTTATATAGGCATGCATTAACATACGAATTATTTTTATGTTTTGAATACCTAGGACATCCATATAAACACAGCATCGGTTCATAAATTAATGAATGAATTATAATGTATTTTTTATTGTTGACAGATGGCACAGTTGATAACTGTGCGGTTGAACAAATCCGACTCACAGCCTCTGGGCTTCCGTCTGCAGGGCGGCAAAGACTTCGGCACACCACTAGTCGTCCAGAAGGTGAGTAGTTACACCTTAAAAACTACTTAAGTAAGGAATTTACTAGGCTAACATGATCACGATCTTATCTACATAGGGTATGTACTTGTATGGTACTTACCCAGTTACCCCTATGTAGATAAGAGACGTCCAAAACTCAACAATCGTCTTAAATAAAAAAACATCGTTAGGAAAGTGTTTTGAAGGACTTCTAGTTTTGAGAAATCAAATTGAGTTGCGTATCGTTGAAAATATAGCCTATAAACTTGTAATTAAGCCATAGTGTTTAAAGCGCCTTGTAATTGGATGTCGGCAAATCTGTCTGCGTAAATTGCTAAACCCGTAAACTATGTCAGTCGTAACCATTAAGGCGATAACTTAATAACTATTTGAAAGATCAATGACTTCGATTAACAAAAAATCTTAAGAAGAAGAATTTTAATGAACTCTTACCTACTTAAAATGAAAGTCGACAAGATTACATGCTTAATCTCGTTTTAATATAACAATAAGAGATTATAGCCTCAGAGTCTACAAACAAGTATAGATATTTACTCTGGTCCACCCACGCTTCGGACGCTGGCAGCTTTGAAGAGGCGATAACCAGGCGACATCGACACCAGACTGCTACAAGAATAAACAGACATTAAATATAACAAGTATACTCACGTAAAAAGCTTTTTCAAATAAACATATTCAATTATCTTGCGTAACGTCCATACTCCATAGTTCTGTCCTACATAAGCTTCCTGTTATTATACTTAGTTGTGCATTTGAATTCATCCTATTTTTAGATGATTACGGAATATCAAATCAAATAAATATTATATTTAGCGTTTTATGTCTAGTTTATATGGCAATTTCAGCTACATAAAGTGAATATTTTACACCGTTCTGTATTCGGAATAGACTAGAGATAGCACAGCCCATACCTATAATAAATACATAATAAAAAAGTTATGCAAATTCCATTCGTATATCATAGGTAGTGTACAACTAGCAACCGTCTCCAATTATACTCTGTAGACTCATATATATATGTAAGTACCTAGATACGTAGGTATGTCTACATCATCTACATGTCGGTACAAGGTACGTTGTTAATGCACGATTAGTTATCCGAAGGAGCTTTTACCAGCTCATTAACTGTTACCTGACCCCGTTGTAGCTTGTATTTGACACTCGTCACTAAGTAACAAAAAAAACATTAAGAAAATACTAAATCACACTGTGTTCTTTACTTATGTAAACATGTTGAAATTGATTTAACGTGTGTTCAAAGCTGGTAATGTATTTTTAAACTAAGTTAAATAGACTCTAAAATAAAGCAAAAAGTTTTTACATAACTATTTCTATTGGCCACTAATTACAGTTATCTAGATTCCGTACCCACTAATTTGAAATTGAACTGTAAGTAATACTGAGAATATTAATAATAGTCGTTGAACAATAGATCTGCAAGTAAACGGAATGATTCAGTCAATAAATTGAAGAATGAGATAAAATTAACCTAACCTACATGCAAATATGAAATGTTAATGAACCCACATGAATGACGTCGTAAATCACATGAAGTCATGTCCTTGTTATGTACAAAATGTGAAAGAATTTGTTTTATTTTCCTTTTTCAAAAACGTTCGATTTGCATATTTATTAGATGCATATAAGTCTTTGTTAACTTTTCGCTTACTATTGGTAATTTTATACCTAAGTGAAAAAATATTGTGGTAGCGCTTTACAAAAATTGGAAGCGTTAGTTAGCATCCGAATGTTTTATCGGTCGAATGAACTTATTTCAACGGATCCACTTGAAGTATGGGTGGAACATAGCACATAGTAAATAGCGAATCGTTGTTGATTTTTTTTATCTCTGCCATGAACCGTTTGGCTATATCGGGTATGACGTTTAGCAATGTCAATAGTGGAACAGCTAACGATGATATTGGTCGATGGCAACGGTACTTTCAATGTACATGCGTTACTCTCATGACGCTCCATGATTGTGTTTAGCTAAATAAATGTCAAGCAAATCATGTATGTCGGATTATTCAAATTGATTAGGTCAATTTATTTGATTATGAAAAAAAAACGGATGAACTCATCTTAGAGTCTGTTTTTATGATGTAAAACTAAAAAGGCGTATGTAAATAGTCCCAAATATGTATACATAGGTATGGTCTTAATAATTCGACAAAGACTACAGTTGACGCGATATGGCAATAATATGTAAAATAGTAATATACAATTCAAAAAAAAAAATCTTCTTAAAATGTTTGTAGCTAACGTTGCAGTTTGTAAAAAATAAAGTTACATAAGTTTTCAAATTTTAACGATTCATAATTTACAAGATTTTATGACCAAACGAAATGTTAGTGTTCCGAAACAATTTTCAGCTCAGCGTACCTACTCAACCACCTTACATTATTGTTTACATGAGGATATTCATTTTATACCGAGTTAAAAATAATATTGACCTCCATCCTTTTAAGCCGGTCATAAAGGTATACCGTGTAACGTTTATTGTCTTTTTCCTTTATTTTGTTTACATTTGAGTACAAAGAAAGAAATTTGTTTAGTATCCCTTTTATGACCTTCGATTAAGATGCTAAAAGTTTAAACCGAATATGCAATATTTAATTAAAGTTTTTCAATAACGGAATTCTCAGTGTTTCACTGAAAGTTAAGGGCTTATTGTTAAAAGCGGTTTCTAAATTGTCTTACTAGGACAACTTTGAAGTGCGACAAGACAAGCAAAACATGTGGCTTACGAAAATAATTTTGGTAAATTAGTTGGTACTCAAACAAGCCTAATACAGTTTCAACAAAAGCTCGTAAAACCTATTGTCTAAATAAGCAACCAAATTAGGAACACAAATCTGGAACATGATAGCTTTGTTTGAAGTTGAAATTGTTAGTTTAAAAAGCGTGATTGCATTAGAGCAAAGCCTGAACTAAGACAGCAATCCCGACTTTTTGCTGATATGTTTGTGTCCACGGCCACGTACCAGTTTCACTCTTATTAACCGGAATAGCGTACAGCTTGCCGGCCATTGGTTGTTGCGTAACTATTCGGGTTCTGTCGTTTATATGGAACACAATCTGAGTCACGTACTAGCAGGGATTTGTTTTGAAATTGGAACGGCAACCAGCGACAACAACGCCTTCTGTGGATTATCGCTATTTGTCTATTATAATTACACACATACTACACTGGTTATAGTGATACGAGAAACTAGGTGTACATTTTAAATAATATAAAAAATGAGTGACATATTAAAAGATGCAGATGTCTACACTCAGTTAACATAAGGTCTGACTAGATTTATGATAATACATATCACTTATAAGTAGTAGAAATTGTAGTTTTAGATATATAATTAAGACATGTCGCTGATCGGGCCAATCTAACTTGACCAAGGATGGTGATATTAATGCTCATTCCTTCTCGCTGTGAGAAGAGGGCTTGTTCGAGCAGTAGGATATTTACAGGCTGATTATTACCGTGAATCCCAATTTATAAGTCAGACAGCTTGTCTTATAATTTGTATAAATTGCTAATAAACGGAATTATCTCAAAGTAAACTCTTCAATGCTTACAGTTGTAAGTATTTAAGATTTTTTGTGACAAATACATTTACGAGTACTGACAGGCGTCTGTCTACCGACGCGTTCTCCAAGAAATTGGGAGTGTCAAGTGCAATGATGTGGTCAGAGACGGGTGGGAAGGTGACGGGCAGAAAAACATGTCAGTTGCTAAAACTTGGGCGGTTGCCATCATATTTTCAGTAACTAAAGCTCTGAAGTAAATCCCGTGACAACAGAGTCATGTAATATGTGCTAGGGTTTTCAGCAAACGATCATTTTACGAAATCCAATAATAAATTACGGCTTAGGTACTACCAAGTAAGGTTCTAAATTAGACCTCTAACATATAAGTTTTGTATCAATGAGGTCGGCTAAAAGTTGGCTAACAAAAAATGAAAGGATGATAATCGTGCAAGTCGTGGTGTTCACCGGCTGCGTATTTCAAGAGAATAATGGAAGACAATAAAGAAAACATAATAGGACGCGGCCTCGGCTGGGGTCGGGCCGGCGGAGCTGCATTTAATTTCTTGTTCTTGTACTCCTGTTGCCGTATATGGGAGGCGCGCGTGCGGCGCCGGTCCGAGGACACACATACATTGCACGTGTGTTTATATGGTAAAAATGGACTAAAATTAATATCGTGATAAGCGTAAGATGATCCTTATTAAGAAGCTGTGTTGTTGTTGTTGGGAAATGACAATTAAGCCGTAAATAATATTTTTCGCAGATTTCATGGAACTCTCGGAAATTATTTGTTGAAAATTATTAGGTATCTTATTTACAAAATTATATCAATTACGTCTCAAAATAACATCCCATTCTCAGTACATTCATATAATATCTACGCATGTATTGATAACGACATGTACCTGGGTAATAATAAATAATCTACATCAGATATTAATTCATTTTCCTCATCCGACTTTGCATTTCTAGGAGTTAATATAATAATTTTCAACGTATGATTCAGATGACATAAATTGACATAATGATTACATACATTCGTTACGAGAGGAAACAAAAAAATATATAGGCCGGACAATGGCAATGTGGTATGCGGTTCCACCTGGCTAGCGACCCTCTTGGAATGCCAGTTTTTGCGCGCGAAAATTATTGCAAGGCATGTGTCTCGCCATCAACGCCATTTACGAAGCTGATCTATAAAATTTAATTCCTTGGCAGGTAGGGTCAAGTAACCAATTACCGGTAGTGAACAAACCGGAAGGAAACAGGCTTGGCGGGAGAGGGAGGGGGGAGGTAATCAGTAAAATGCCCTGTCAACATAAATACTCAGATGTGTCATTTTCAACCAGTTGCGGCCGTGGTTTGCACTCGAGTGATTGTGGATTGTATCAATTTTAATTTGTGATAGTGCATGTTATTTTGTTATCGACGCGACATTCGAAAAAAACGTTTCTTCGTTACATAACACCTTCAGGTAATTAACAAACCCTTTCAAAAATATTTTACTGATGTTAAAGGAACTACGTTTTACTTTTAAAATCACGTTTCTACTTATTTAAATACTCAAAAACTGATAACACGAATGCCTTGTGATGACTCATAAATACATGGTTGAGTAAATAACGTGAGTACATATATAGGCAATAGCTATGTTGATATGTTGGTAATTACAATAGTTTTTACGCGTCAAACTTATTTTGTTCGCTAACTAGTGATGCCTTTTTGCCTAATTTTGGGACAGACATCTTTTTTTTGTCTACCGTTTGGATAGGAATGTCTTGTAACAGGCTTTATACACCGTAAAGCTTCAGGGTTGGTCTTGTGAAACATCGAGGTGTGTACATGTGCTGATTGTAGCCACTGGGGAGATTTGTATGAGATAAAAATACACTACCTAGGCTTTTCCCAAAAATTCAGAAACATTTTAAAGGTTTCTCCCGTCAAAACGTTTCTACTATTTGAGTGTATTTAGTAAATAACATGTCTTGTTGACGAAGTGGTCCATTAGGCACCTATATTAGTTTCTTACGAGACGAGAATAATTTATTGTATTTTAAAGTGCTTTTCGTTCATCGATCACTCAGATTAAAATTTATTTTATTTTTGCTACTCTTTCACCTTTCAATCATTTATAATTTACCGAATTCTATAGTAGGTATGAGTTTATTTTTTCCGAATTAAAAATAGTGGCTCGATTTCGATTATGTTCAAATTGTGTTCTTTACCTCTACATATACATATATCCCTATATGGGTATGCTTAAATCTTTAAAACTATGCAACGGATTTTGATGCAATTTTTTATATATAAGTATATAGAGTGATTCTTAAAATTATTCTTTTATAAGACCCTTCTCAAGATCTTAGCAAACAGCCTTCAAGAAATGTTGGAATCAATCTACCAATTCACGTGTGATACCATTGACCAGAGATTAATTTTTATAAATATATCGATATTTCTTCATAATAGAATAAACAAATTGCTGATTTGTGATCAGGTATCTTCAAAGCAAAGATTAAAAAGAAAGTACATAGAGAAGGAACAAATAGATAGACCTACAGCTATATACAACATAATATTTACACAAGTTTATATCTATCGGCTATCTCTTATGTATACAATTTCTCTGGAATGTATAAACACACCCGAACTGGAATTTAGCCTAGTTGTATGCAGTTATTTATACACTTGACATTGGTCAAACTGTGCCACGCATTCGACACACAAAACTTAAACTAATATATAAAGCAGCTGTGTAATAAATCTTATATGTGAAGGCGAGACGTCCAAGTACCTACATACAAAGACTAAACTACAATAAGCTGTTGAAAAAGATTGAAGTTACAAATGAGGTTTCTCATACCTAGTTAAGGGACATAAAACCGATAAATATAGGACTGTAAGCAATTTTACGCTATTCAGTTTACAGTCGAATTATTGATCTTTGTTTCGAACAAAAATAAGTACTTAAGTAGCTGAAGAACAGTAAACCTTCTCCATAATAATTATTGTAGATAATCTCACTGGTATTTTAAAACAAACTTGAGAACTTAGCATTCGTCAGCATACAGCTGTTAAAAACGAATGTACATTGTAAATAACAAAATTCCTCCATAACATTAAATATTTTTTTCTTGTGTACGTTTTTCATATTCGATGTACTACAAAAAGTCGCCATTTGTTTTATGAGACGATTCAGACAAGCACTCGCGCTGATCTCATGCTGATGCTGACGTCATTAGAGCATCCTTCCGCACCCCGCATTGAAAATAACGTTTTTTACACACGACTATTAGTACCCGAATACATAAGTAAAACTGAAGATGTTTTGTTGAGCAATAAACACCTGTTACATTTTATTGGTATTTATCTAGTGCTTTGATTGGTTAGGTTAACTATTAAAATAATATGATAAAGTATCAGAACTATAGGTATTTATAAATGTCTATAGAACATTCTAATCGCACCAATATGTAAACAAACATAATTCCTAAAACTCAATAGAGTAACCGCTACTGGATATTAGATTTAAAAAATACTTTTTGTTCGTCAGGTAAACGGTGGCAGTGCAGCCGAGCGTGCTGGTCTCCAAGCGGGAGATGCGCTAATCCGCGTAAACAACACGGACGTGTACCTGCTGCGCCACCAGGAGGCCCAGGATACCATACGCGCAGCTGGCGGCAACCTTGAACTCACCGTACAACGGTACACCTCTTTTACACACTTAGATTTTGTTAAAGTGAAGCAGACCTAAATATTTACTTAACGAATTACTTTCAAAGTTTTGTCCAGATTTGGATCTGAAGAAAAAACTAATATCAAATCTCGGAACATTGTTCTGTACAAAAGCATTACATAATTGTAATCCTAATGGCTTTCTTTATGACCATCTTGATTTTAAAAATCGTTCATTGGAACAATCAATTGTTTTTCTAGTATCTTATCATAATTTTTCTTTTAGTGGTGGTGGCACTTGGCGTCCAACTGTGACACCGACCGGCAGCCTACCGAGACCCGGCTCCAGATCTATTGGTGGAACTCCAACACTCGTCACCAACACTTCCCTGAAAGCCACACCACAACCTTCACGTGCATTCGGCTCTGGACACAACAATGTCGCTAAGCCTTTTGGTTACGTAAGTATCTGAATGATTGTGATGATGAATCTGAATATAACATACATAATTTTGGACGAATCTTGTTCTCATTTTCATTCTAGCGAGACAAATAAGGATAATCCACAACCCAACTACTGACTTTTGAATGAGGTTTAATTCATCAAGCATATTAGTTTCAGCGAATGAATGTGCGGCATGTTCACGAACCTATTGTCTTACTATTGTATCTCGAACTTCCACGATTGTAACATTAAACACTCCTAATTTTTCCAAGAGGCTAGGGGAAAATTACAAGGATATTAATTACGTCAGTGACATTACCGATTTTGGTTGTAGATGAACGGCAACGACTCGGTCAAGAGCATAGTCAACAAGCAGTACAATACACCAGTAAACATGTACAGCGACAAAACGATTGCAGAAACTCTCTCAGCCCAAACTGAAGTTCTTGCAGGAGGCGTCCTTGGGTAAGATCGACATCATCATTAGACATTTAAAGAAACTACGAAGTTACTTATTATTTGAGTCTAATATTATTCTTCTGAAATCAATATTGCTCCTAAACGAGACTTGTAAAATACGTTACAAAGCATTCTATAAAGCATATTTCAATTACATGAATGAAAGAATCCTCTAGTTCTTGAAACTTGCTAGTATGATAACATTGCTAACTTCTGTTTTAGTTAATCCTTTGTCGGATGTTAATGATTGAGAACCGAAAATATTAAATTATAACTATCTTATTAGTACCTATATCCGGGTAATTCATACTTTATATTATTTACATATTAACCAAAGTCTATCTATGATTAACAGAGTAAACTTTAAGAAGAACGAGAAGACATACGACGCTGAAAAAAGCGCTGTTTTCAAGGTTCTGCAAGAAGAACAAAACGACCCCGAGCCAGGTATACAGAATAACCATTATAATAACATTACATAAAGCTTAATGTGTCTACATAGTTGATATCATGATCGATCAGGTAATGCGGGATAATATATTGAAAACAATCATTAAATAAATAAAAAATCCGCCAATTAGAAGGTGCTAAAATGAGTGTAGAGCTGTTAAAATGAGTCAGTAAAATTTACATAAAACTACTCAGTTGTCTAAATTAATAAAATTATGAATTGGCATAATAGCCGAACCAGTGGGTCCGACAGCCGCCCAGGCTGCTCCAGTGACTGGTCTTCGTCACGTGCAAGCGCCCGTCACGCGGCCTGATGCCCCCATCAACAATACTGGAGGCTTGCCCCCCGGACAGAACATTTGCGAGGAGTGCGAAAGGCTCATCACGTAAGTCGGACGATGGGCGCGGGCCGACACGGTAGCACATATCGCAAGCCAAATTTGATTTCCGTCGAGGATTCTAGAATATTTAGGGTGGCGATGGAAGGTTTAGGTAGGAAATATACCTGATCGCGCACAGTTGTCTTTTGATCTGCGAATATTTTTCGGATTTTGATTGTTGGGCAACGTAGGTAAGTTGTGTGGTCGTGTTGAGAATAGACAATAACCCCATATTGCGGGCCAGCAGAGCCTTCTCACTTTTACTCTCGAGCGAGCGTGGCGCGCGCGGGCACGCCGTGCAGCCTGCACCGCACGCACCGCTCGCGGTCGCGCACGCCGCGCGTGGTGAGCACCCCGCAGCCGACACAGCCCACGCCGCCGGTGGCGCGCGCCTGCGCCGGCACGCAGACGCCGCAGGAGAAGCTGGCGCCCGAGCCGCCGCACCGGCCCAGCATCCCCATGGGCTGCCATGAGGTGCTGCCGGACGGCCGCATAGCGCTGGGGGCGCCCGCACTGCCACAGCCGCGCGATGCGCTTCCTGTCGTCAACGACACGCCCTATTGCTCCGACTGTAATCGCTACATTATGTAAGCGACGTCCCACTGAATGTCTTGCCGTGTTTGCGACCGTGTCGACCTGTGCACTAGTTCTATCGTGTAGATAAAATAATTCGATGTGATTCCTTCGTGTTGCTCCTCCCTATATTTATGTTGTAAATACAAAAACGGCCTCGTTGGGAGATGTGACATGTAAGTTAGTACATTTATCGTGTTTTTACGAAACGACACTTTCCATTTCATTATGCGTTCTCGTCACGATATTTGTGCTAAAAGCTCAAATCATTATTCATTAATTAATTGTCTTCATCTATCTCTACCTTCATTCTTTTAGTAGTTAGGCAGAATGATAATTATGATGTATCAACGCCACTATGTATCTTCACGCAGCATGTCCTCACTTCGCTATCCATATTATTTAGATGAGCACCAGTGTAATTTTGCGTGGCAGATTGGTGGATAAGCACGAGCAAGTCGGTGAGCATGTTTGTAGAAAGTAACAAGTATCTATAGCTATTCAATGTAGATTTGTTATATGTATATCTGTATATATTCCAAAATGGGAATGAATGTTTTAGAAATATTGATGACATTTTAATGAGTGTGCTCTAGTTGCATCAATCCTGATTGATGCCATCATTCTGGATGTCTTCTGACATTAATGTTTATGTAACAGAGGTGTGTTCGTGCGCATCAAGGACAAGAACTTGCACGTGGAATGCTTCAAGTGCTCGACGTGCGGTACTTCTCTGAAGAACCAGGGCTACTACAACCTGAACGGGAAGTTATACTGTGACATCCACGCTAAGCTCGTCGCTCGCAACAACCCACCAGCGCCCAATCTGGAACCTGTTACCGTTCCACCGTAAGTTTCGCTTAATATTTATTTATTTATTATTTTTGTTTGTTCACAACAAACAACATTTTAAGATATCGGCTGAGTCTTCTGTATTAGTATTAAATTTATGGCTTTCATATGCAGTGGTAGCCGAATCCCTTCCAACACTTACTCGACGCCGCTGCCACCTTTGGCTACCAGCAACTACACAAACGGATCATCATCACTTTTTAGCGTAAGTATTTCTTCTTTAACTTTTATTTTATCACTTCAAAAACTGTTTTTCTTATTCCGATTAGTTTAGTCAGCCTCATAACGATTGATGTTAATTCTGACAGCCTTCAAGCAACTTGTCGGGCCCGAAACCTTTCGGATCATCCATTGGATCTGCTTACTCGCCATCTTTGTCGCCTCGCTCCGCCCCGATGTCGCCAGCGAGGCCAGTAACAGCGCCTGCGCTCGCGCCAGCGCCCCTAGCGGCTCCTATCTCTGCGCCTCAACCAGCCGCACCATTCGCGCCCAGTAAGAGAGTCACTTTTGCTGTATAGTCCTAGTCATTTGTACTCCAAAGTACATCATCTAAAACTATCACAATTGCTGCCATGCGTTAGAGCATACATTACACGGCAAATAAGAGAACCCCTTTATTTTTTCTATTCATTACTCAATTACTCATGTTCATTACTCAAGTACAAAATACCAATGTATCAATATTTTTACAATGAAATTGTGATAGTTTTGGGGATAAAAATACAGTTCAAACACATTTATCTACGTGAGTGAAGTCTAGTCTATGTAACCTTACCTGAAAATCAATAGGTACCTACCTACATATACACCAAAATATTTTTATAACTTTTTATACTTTTATATTTACTTTTTTATTTACATTACTAGTTACTAGTTAAATATACGTCTCGAAATGGTTTATCACATTTATATGATTCACGAATTATGGACTCCTCTACCTCGACAATTTTCTTTTAAAATCCAAAATCTAGTCAACATTTCAGTATTAAACAAATAGATTTAGATAAGATAATATTATTTTATTTAAGTAATCATGTTCATGTACCTCCCTATGTTTACAGTGATTATTTGAAATTTATTTTGCAATTGTTTAGTAATAATTAAACATCTTCACTGATGCACTATTCCATGAACATAATATAACGTATAATTATTTTATGAATCAGTTAAGAGACATGTTATTCAAGGTTATTATTTATTTTCGACAGAGACCCCAGTTTCCCTTTTTAAAGGTAATTTATAATTAGGTGGAGTACAGCTTATTTTAGCTATTAATGGATATGTATATAATATACAATCATAGAGTGAATGCGCTACGCGGGAAGCCGATATCAATAGCAGCCGCCGCATTGCAATAACTGCTGTCCTGGCACTGTATTCTACGTCACTTAATAAAATTAATCATAGTACTACTCTCAAATCAATCTTTAACTTTCTGGCTTCTTAAAAAGTTTTGTTATTAGTTGATTAGCTCACATCAATCTACTGTAAGTGGCTTCTTCAATTTTACTAATATTTACTTTCATCTCTTTCTCCCCTTTATCAATCTTTCTAACTCTATAACCGACTAACAGCACAAAACGTTAAAAGCATTGTGTGGCCCCCTCCAGCAAATCCTTCTGATGATGAACCACCAAAGTATGAACCAAGTATAAAACCCGGAGCCCCAGCGTGTGCCAAAGAACAGGGGACTCGGGTGTTAAACAAAATAAACCCTAACTCGGATTCAACTATTGCTGATGTTCAACAACAATCTATGGAAAAATTCATAGCGTCTTCGAAACAAAGAGAAGAATTCACTTCTTCCAGTGTTTCATATGCCTCTGCTGCTATGTCTTCTATGACAGCAACATCTAAATCTGAATCCGTAGTTCAGAGTAAACAATCACAAGTCGTTCAAGAATCAACTAGTCGAACAATTCAGTCTTTTTCACAGGAATCTTCTGAATGCCAGAGTACAACTGTTTATCAGACACAAACGTGTCCACCTAAATCATTTGAGAATTCCAGCGATGCTATTGAAAATATTAAAACACAAATGATCCAATCAAAAGAAAATATCCAATCAAGAACAGCTAAAGAAGTAGAATCCACCAACATAACAGAACCTCCAAACGATCAAGTTAAGGCACAACAACCACAAAAGACAGATACGAAAATCGAAAGTGATAACGGAAGCGCTATACAAGTATCTGCACAAATTAATACTAAAGAAAATAATCAAGTTTGTAATGAGGCATTGATGCAAAAGAATAACGAAGAGATTGTGGTAAACCAACAAACTGCAACATTTGACACACAATCGAAAACCAGTATAGAAAAAACACAAACAGAACCACCAATTGCAAATGCTCACATGGCAGCCACGGAAAATATACAAAAAACCATGAATCCTTCTGGTTTAGATCCAAACGCAAAGAGCTCTATGGTGGATGCATTAACAACTGCACCTGACCGTCCGTATTCACCCTTGCCTACAGCACAACAGCCTATTAATTTAACTGGTCAAACAATGGCGGAGGAAAAGCCTACTCAATATGATTCAGAGGAGAAATCAGAATTAAAAGAGTGTGCCGAGATAAAAGACGTGCAGTTGCCGGCACAACCATCCCCAATGTTTTCGCAAGAAAAGCGTGGTATAACACCAATACCACCTATAAAAACTTACAATCCTCCTGAAAAAGTGGCCCCACCGGTACCAATGCCTGAGGAAACAAAGCCGTACATACCACCCGATTTTAAAATAGTTATAGAACCTAAGGAACCTCGCGAAACAACCTCTACGCCCTTAATAGAAGCTTTGACTATTGCACCTGACAGACCATTTACACCCGTCGCTACATATGATCAAAATCAAGCGATAAGTAGAGAATCATACGATCAAAATCAAACAATGAGTAATGGACCATACGATCAAACTCAATCAATTGGCAGAGGATCTCTTAGAGAGGCATTAACTATCGCTCCAGATAGACCTTACAGTCCTTTTGGTACTCCCGGTGTTACTCAATCGAACCAATATATGACAAGCACTACACATGTAACTGAAACAAATTTATCTGAAATTGTTAAGCCTATCGCCACACAAACACTAACCCAAACCTCTGACCAGTTGCATTCTGAATTTTCCACCATGCAGAATACTTGTAAATTACAATCGTCTTCAGAAATGTCTGCATTCAGACCAGTCCCAAAACAAGTATTTCCTCCACCACAGCCTGAAGAATTTTGTAAATTAACAAACTTTCCGCCCATTAGTAATGAACTAAAAACCAGTTTTACACAGGCTACTAAAACAAAGCAGGAAACAACATTTTCGGAATCAATGGTGGTCCAGCAGTCGTCTTTGTCGACTAGTATGGCCACTCAAGGTTATTCAACCGTCAAAACAGCTCAAAATTATTTTGAACAACTAGATAAAAAGGAATCTCTTACTTCAACCGCAGTAAGATCAAAATCTGGATTACATAAACCGGATAGTATTCCACCATATCAGAAAAATTTCGAGCAATTACTGTCTCAGCGAGGAATTTCTCCGGATATTTATAATGCACCGGCAGTTTTACAAAGACCCGTCACTCCTTCAACCGGTACCCCAACTAGACCAAAAGAAAAATCCGTCGAACCACATCCAACTTACTCGACTCCTCAAACATCGACTCCAAAGTTCCAACAAGTTAGAACACCAGTACAACAGCCTCCTGTACAATTTCATAAAGATACTCCTATTACTATGACATTTCAGCCAGTAACTGATGATAACTTTATGAGAGTTCCATCACCATCACGTAGTAGTCGTCCTGTTACGCCAAATAGTTTAATAAACAAACCAGCGCCCATTATTCCTCATTACCAGATGAATTTGGTTACAGTAGAGCATTTGGCACCCGAAAGCCACCTATTCGAGCCATCTAGTCGAGAAGGCAGCAGATCCCCTACACCAAAACCACGATCCCGCTCACCAGCACAAGGTCCTCCTCCAAACCCACTAAAAGCACATGCTCCACGTATTAAGGAATCCGCTCCACAAAATTATTCAATGGACTCGTTCAGCTCACAAGATCCTTCAAACTGGCGAAAGCAGCACGAAAGAGACCAAAAAGAATTCCAAACGGCAGCGGAGATATATAATACAGGTGGTGGCAATAAAAATTGGGCATCGCAACCTCCAATTGTTAAAGAACAGCGACATTCAAACGTGGGATATAAGAGTGAAAATTATACCAAAGGCGACATGAAAATCAAAGAAGATTCTTTAATACAAGAAAATTATGGCCAAAGACAAATGCAATCACAAAATGTTATTGCACAGGGTAATACCACTGTTCAAACAACCAGAAAAACATTTGAAGAATATGAAAGGACGCAGTCTGCTAAAGTTGTAGAAATTAGAAAGGGAGGTTCATCAATTGCTGGGGCATATGAGCAAAATATGGACTGTAACATTCGTCCTTCTAATCTTAACCCAAAGCAAGTTTTTCCGCCTCCAATGATGAGTTTGCCATCAACACAACAAAGTTCATCACTTAACCTTACTAATCAAAATATGACGTCCGCTAGTAGAACAATAGACAATTACGACCCAAAGCCTTCGATTTCTGGTGCTAACCAAGGTCCAGTGTGTGATCCTACCCCATCGACAGGTTCGAGTGTAGGAGCTGCCGCTCGAGGCAAAACTTTCGGTGTATCTTCTGCCCCTAAAAGAGGAAGGGGAGTTTTGAATAAGGCTGCGCTGCCCGGCTCCCGCGTGCCACTATGTGCTTCCTGTAATGGGAATATTAGGTGATTGAGACGTATAAAGTGTGTTACTGTTTTGAGTGCTGCATGAATTAATGGAGTGAATTCGTGAATGAGTTTTATTTTAATGTTGGTTTGTTTTTTATTTTTTAATATTTAGAAACTGACATGATTTTCTTAGTTATGCACTAATTTAAATGTAAAATAATTATGCTTTTAACTGTTTGTATAAGTGTTGTTTTGATTTTCTAACAGCTAGTGAACCGCTGACTACGAGCAGTCCCCACAAAACTGAGTTCAAAAGTCCAGCAGAAGAAAGGCTTATTAGAAAAATGGCTAAAATGGCTCTGAATGGTTACGAAATCGGTATTCAAAGAAAAATAAAACCAGCAGATCATATTCAGTCAATGGCAGATAAAATCCAAGACACTGTCGTTACCAAACATCCACTAAATTCCGATGGTATACCAGCTGTAGAAAACAATAACATTAAAACAGTAGAACGAAGCTACAAAACACATGAGAATATTCAAAGCATTGGCGACAAAATTAAAGACACAATTAAAAATAACCATCCGGCAAATGAATCCACCCCTAAACCTAACGTCTTGATACCACCACCATTGCCCAGCACCCCAATACCTACATTTAATGTTCACAGTACTCCACTTGGCCATTCAATAAATACAAATGGCGAGAAAAAGAAATACGATACTATACCTAGAACTTTAAATGCGAGTCTGATTTCGGATGAACGTGTGATTAACAATAATGACAAGTCTCACAATGGAAGTGGTTATTCCAGCACTGAAGACTTACAAAAAGATAAAATTGATAACAACTATTTGGGAACTTTACGAAAAACCGGGATAGAGAAATCTTCATTTCTTAACAGCATGAACGGTTCAATTGTCGCTCATACAAACTCTGACGTAAAACCTGAATTGAAGTTTGATACCCCTTATTCTAACACATTAAACAAACGAAAATTATTTGAGAAACCAGACAACTTGATAACTAACAATAAAGTTAACGAGAAAGTTAACAATGCTATTGAGTTAAATGTTTCGCAGAAGATTAATAATTTTGACTATACTTCAAAAAACGAAAATGGAGTCAACCAAGATGAAGACCTCATAAAAAGCAAAGAAGTTTCTGGACAGTTATATAACAACTCTCTTTATTCTTACAAATCCCCAACAAACAATAAAATAAATTCTAATGGCAATGAACATGGTAATGATTGTGTCGATAAAGTAGTTGAAGAAATCAAAAGTATACCCGATAGTGATGAAAAACAAAATACCGAGGAAGAGGTGGTTGTTAGACGTAGGCAAAAGAAAAATATAAGAAATGATGATGGTAGAAGAGATTCACATATAATTGCGCGTCCTTTGAGTACTATCCAATGCGCAGATGTTGCAGAAGGACTTTATCCAGTATGTCACAAATGTGACAAGGCTATAACGAGGTAATGTATTTTTTCTAATGGAAGCATACAATATAACGTATTCCACATTCATTTTCCAAGTAAGTTAAAGTAGAAGATGTTTGTTTTTCTCTGTAAATCAAGCACGGATGTTGTTTTTTTTAACCAGATTAACCAGCTGTTATTTAGTTCACAATAATAAAGTTATATAATTGTAAGATTAATAATTCCATATATTTAAACAGGGGGCCATTCATTACGGCTTTGGGTCGCATCTGGTGTCCAGAGCACTTCATTTGCGTAAATGCAACGTGTAGGCGTCCCCTACAGGACATTGGCTTCGTCGAAGAAAATGGTCAACTTTACTGCGAATTCTGCTTCGAGCAGTACATTGCGCCTGCTTGCGATAAATGCCACGCCAAAATTAAGGGCGTAAGTTCAAAGTTTATGTTTTTCAATAATTTCTACGAATTTACCAATATCTCGGTTTCATTTATAAATTGTCGTTTTTACAGGATTGCTTAAATGCTATCGGCAAGCACTACCACCCTGAATGTTTCAACTGCGTCTACTGTGGAAAGCTCTTCGGAAACAATCCCTTCTTCTTAGAGGATGGTCTTCCGTATTGTGAAGCTGGTATGCAATGGCATTAAATAATTATTTATGTTTATCCTAAATTGGCACACTTACCTTTTTTACTGTAGTTGTGAAGGAGGTTTTTACAAAGGGATTATTTTGCAGATTGGAATGACCTGTTCACGACAAAATGTTTCGCTTGCGGCTTCCCGGTGGAGGCAGGCGACAGGTGGGTCGAGGCGCTCAACAATAACTACCACAGTCAGTGCTTCAACTGCACGGTGCGTATGATGAGTCTCCTACTAAAATACACTTACACATACACAATTCAAGTACTGTTTATCGATGAATACTCTTTTAAATACATAAAATAGTCCAATTTCTTGAATATCGCGCAGTGCTTTTTACCATAGCGCAGATACCTACAGGTAAAATTTGGCATACATGGACCGAAACTAGCAAAAATGTATAAAACCCTTTTTTAATTACATTACTTGACGCAATTTTCTACTTTTTCTATTTTCAACCTTTCATTTTATTTTCGCATTTGCCCTATAACCATTCCATACATATATAAATAAACCGAGTAACTATAATTATAATATTGATTTAAAATCCATTTGAAAGTTTTGCTGATACTGCATTTTAAGTATTCAAAATAATGGTTTTATCAAGTTCGGGAATGAATGACGCAAAATTTACTGACGCAATAAAGATAAATTCGATTACCACGTCCACATACAAAGCTCGTCATACGCTGCCAGTCTGCTCCCTTTTTACCAATAACAGTGACCTTGTGTGTGCGTTAATTAAAAATATATTATCATATTTGTATGTTTTATAACTGAGACATGTACATATATACCAATTTAATATATTTATATCCAACTTCCCAAAGTTCAGGAAGTTTATCATAGCGTGTTTTGATCCATGTAGTTATCAACCTCACATAATCTGCTTGTAGAAATGCTTTCATGAAACGGTTTGAGTAGTTTTGGCTATTTTATGTATTTAATTTATATTATTTATTTTACGTTCTTATAATATTATTTGTGTTGTTATGTTTTGTTTGTAAGTAGAGTTTTTGTTTGACTTATTAAGTTGTTAGAAAGATACCTACTTCCTAAATGCAATGAAACCTAGAATGAAATTGTGACAAATAATACGATTCAGAAAATACATTCATAGCAACTACAGTAAAGAATGCTCTAATATCAATCAATAATATTATTTACAGGTGTGCAAAAAGAACCTCGAAGGACAGAGTTTCTTCGCCAAGGGAGGTCGACCTTTCTGTAAGACACACGCCCGCTAGAAGTCCTCAGCAAATGATGTATAATTCTGACACTGTTTACACGACTACCACTTTTCGTCCCGTTTCTCCTTCTCCTATCACTCCTCCTCTAAACACGCCTTCGCCGCAAAGAACAAGGAAGTTGGAAACACCCCTCCACTTCGATGGAGGACTGTTTTCCGACATAAGAAGTACAGACGGCAAGCTACTTAGCAAAGTAACCGTAGATCGAGTTCAACAGTCGTCACGACATGACATCACCGACTCGCCGAGTGTTTTCACCGATGGCAAAAATTATGTTGATGACATAGTTAAAACAGAAACTATAACAAATGAAAATGTCATCACGGTGAAATTTACTCCCGTGCCGCCAGAACTTGACTCTCCGCGATTGCTGACGCCGTCTCAAATGTACAAAACCCGGCAAAAAACTCCAGTTGAATATATCAAGGACAACTTCGAAGATTTACAGAGCTACAAAATTGTTAGTTCTGTTGTAAAAGAAAAATTACTTGAAAAGGAAAATTTGACGCCAGTATTAAATGAAGGTGGAATCTTTGAAAACCATGACACTTTTGCAAATACGACTTGTAAAGAAAATGTATATGAAAAAGATAGTTTCATATCAGACTCAAATGTTAAGGAGAAACTTTCAACCAGCTTAGATACTTTTGAGCCAATAAAGAGAGCTCCAAGTCCACTCGCAAATCTTTTTATTTCAGAACAATTAACCAAAATAGACAGTTACCTACAAGAGAGTTTAGAGGTGTGTACTGGAGTTAAAGATCGGTATACTCCAATACCTATTATAATCGAAGGAGAAAAATCGGGATTGGTTGACGACGCAGAAATGGCTTCTTGTGTTAAAGAAACTTATGATCAAAAAGAAGTAAACTTCTCTACAACCGAAATTAAACCAAGCTCTAATAATAAAAGGGAAGATGAACCTCTTCATCGTCGTGAGAAAACAACACCAGAACCCTATTCTGTGGAGTACAGCAAAACCAATGTGTCCAAACTAAACAGTGCAAAACAAGCTGGTGTGCTGAGTGTTATATATAATATGCCAATACATTATCACGCAGCCATACTGTGTTTCTTATTAATTATATACAATCTCATTTATCAATACGTAAAACAAAACTGTTATGGTAGTAAAAATAAAATTGAGTGAAATTGGACAAAAATTATATGCATACTAAACTAGTCATTGAGTTCAGGGACATTTTGTTTCTATATTTTACCAATTTGATTGTATAAGGTGTAAATAGTCACAGGTAACAAGTATTTCCTGCGTATTTTTTGTATCAATAATACCTACTTTATAATTAACAATTTGGTGCTTTTCACTACTATTCTATAAATTGCTGGCAGTATTTGTGATATTTCACATTATTACATAAGGCTTTGTATACAGCTTCCGGAATGTTGCAGTAAACTGTTACTAACATTAACAGTAGTCCTTAAACTTTTATATCAACAAAGCGGATATCGGAAATAATATAATTTATTTAAAAGTTTAAATAAATGATTGGTGCACCAACATACAACCTGTTTAGAATAGTATATTCAATGTACTCATGGTGTTATATAAAAAAATATTATTATATTCATACATTAATTTGTTTAAGTTCTTTTTTACCCTGCTATTTGTAATAATATTATGGTAGATGAATAAAAATTTTGCCGTCTTATATTTTACAGTTGGTAATAATCTTAATCTTAAGAACTATTTATTTAGACTTACTTTATTGCGATTAGCATAACACATAAATATTATGTGGGCTTAAATAAAGTATTTTATTTTATGAAGTTATCATTTTATTACCCTCTTTTACTTAATACTTAGTATAAATAAATTGAAATTATTTTTCAGATTTTTGTTTATTCAAATGACATCTCCTGCCCTGAGTGGAGCGGGAGCTCAGATTCTTAAAAACCGCAATACTTAAGAACAGTATTTTGAAAGATTGTGTTTATGCTCGGCGAGTAAGGGAAGCTCGCCGCCCGACCAGAACCAGGCCCGAGCGTACGGAGCGTAGCGTTCCGCGCGCGCCTCAATGAGCCAATAGACCACCACAGACGTTCAGCCGGGGGTACGGGGTAAGCGCAATGAGGCACCGCGACCTCGGCCCAGAGCAGGAGAAGGAACAGGGGGGTTTTTAGTCAGTAAGAGTCTGACACTCCCTCCCACCCGGCCCTGGGCGGGAGAAGTCATTTGATGATTTTCCCCTCACAAAAAGAAAGCTTAGAAGTATCACATCACCGATATCAGAAGAAAAAAGAACAATTTTAGGAAACTAGCGTGCTCGCATATGTTTGAAGCTCGATTGATTTGATAAATGGCAAAAATATTATACCTAGGTACCTGTCTTTTCTTTCTTAACACGCTACGGCACGTAATCATTTTCTGTCGGCAGACAAAGGCTTAATAGCTAATGCAACTAAAAGCAGGAAAGGCCATATAATCAAAATTATACGTCGTTGATATAAGAACCACGTAGTCTTTATACCAAATTTTATATAATCGAAAAAATCTAATAAATTTTATTCCCTACTACCTATTTACTAAACAATTCAATTTCTTGTGATTATAACTTATCATGATCAGCATACATAACTGGTGAGCAGTACCGTCATAGAAAGTACATATAACTTGGAATAAGTCACATTGGTACTTGCCAGGTTTCGAAGACGCACCCTCATGCATGAGAAGCGGGCGCCTTGACCTCCGAGCGACCACGACGTTATTATGAAGAAAGAAAAGATAATCAGTGATGCTCTCCTAGAGCGCAGGTTAAACGGTTGATGTTATTATAAATCATTTTAGGTAAAGATCTAGAGATGAAATTCTACATGGGCAAGACGAAAATAATGTCGAATGCCCATGATGTTTCTGTACCAGTCATGGGAACGATATCTTCGAATTAGTAGAGCACTATAGATATCTAGACCAAATGATCCAGCTTCGATACAGAGATCGCCCGCAGAATCCAACTCGTATGCGTAGATTCCGGGATGTTACGCGAGATCTCATATAAAATAACTATAATTATGCTGCCAGTGATTGACATACTTCAAAGAGACGTGCCCTCTTACTTATGATCTGTTAGACAGACTTAAAATCGCTATGCTTGGAGTTTATTTGCAAGACACAATCCAAAATATGGAAACCTCTTGCCTTCTATGTATAAATATGGAACAATTTAATTATAATTAAAACAATTGTACAATCTACACCCTTATCAGTTACTTTTGCCTTATATATTACAAATACTCGACTGCACGGTTGGCGAGGTGTCTGGGCAACTGGCTGCCGCGCAACGTGTCGCGGGTTCGATTCCCGCACAGAACAACTCTTTGTGTGATCCACAGTTTGTTGTTCCGGGTCTGGGTGTGATGTGCATGTGAAATTGTATGTTTGTAAACGCACCCACGACACAGGAGAAAAACCTAGTGTGGGGCAACGTTTTTAAAATAGAATTGCGCCTATATGGTAGAGGCAGTGACTGGGGATCCAGTGGACTACATGTCGCGGGTTCGATTCCCACACGGTACAAAACTGTGTAATCCACAAATTGTTTTGAGTCTGGATGTATGTAATTTTCTTTTTGGATACCGATATTATAAATTCACCCACAACAGGAAAAAAAACCTAGTGTGAACATTTTTCTGTATATGTTACACACTTACATAATTATATTTTACAGTCTTTGATTACTTTTGGCTGCGATAGGTGGCCTTGTCCCACTCAAACTGTCTATTATAATAATAGGCTTTTTTTATAATCATTATCAGCGAAAAGAAATAAATAAGTACCTATCTATATGTTTCTAACTTTTATTAATTTTACTACACATAATACAATAACATGTTTGTATTAAATTACAAATATTCGCTAATAACTTAGTATCTACTACTAAGTATTATTTACAATTTAAAATAAATAATTATAAAACCAACAATCAAATGTAACACTATAAATACTATTGTATTTAAACTACGAATTAATTATATTTTAAACCTATACTTTTATTCATCAATCTGTTGATACACAACATTTTCAATATTTTTTAGCTAATTTTTAAGAAATAAGTAAGCTATTTGATGCAAAAATACTATGAGTTTCAAACAAATGTAATAGGAAAGTACCTATTGTTTTGACATTTGGATAAAAGTATTGAATTTGACTAATTGGAAATTATTGTGTTACTATACTGCCTATATACATATGTACTATGTAGGCAATAATTTATATAATGCATATAATTATATAATGTATATAATTTATATAATGTATATTACAATCATAATAATGTAAAGCAGAACTGTTTCAACAGCATTGCATAACTTCCCAATAAAATTAGTGACAGTTCATACTGGATATAATTATGTTCTACTAATGATATTTAAATTTATCAGTAATGATTATCAAGTAATTATAAAACAGGCCCAAAAAGTTACAACCGAAGTCTTTAAAAACATTTCAAATTGTACTACTATTACTCAAATACATAAAATTATTACCTAGTCTGTGGTCAACTATCCTGTGCCACAGAATTAGGATCTTTTATAAAAACACTTTCTTCATCCGCACCAAACAAGAAGGTTTTTATCCTGAAAAAATAGCAATAATACACAGTTAAATAGTGAATGATCATCTGCCTGATTTAGTGCCTGTAGTTATCCATAAAAGTCCAGGTTTATAGTTTTAGAGAGTGCTACAGCATAGTCTTTATCAAATGTGAAGTGCCCCTGTCAGTGCTTATGGTTATCACAAAAAGAGTAGAGTCTAAACAAGACATAATTATGTCTAAGCTCATCACACGAATTTTATTAGATTAGTCACATACATATTTATATATGTTAAGTTAATAAATTAATTAATATTCTCAAAAATAAAGAATCACTGCTTTCTGTTACAATAATTAATTTGTACAACAATTAACAATTAGTTTATTGGTTTAATACATAAAAAACTTATTTTACAATAAACATAATTATGTTATCATTTAAAAAACTTAAGAAAGATTAAGTAAAACACTTACCTTTTCCATTCTATTCCTAAACCTATAAACGAAAAAGTTAGAAAACCTTGCCAGAGTGTGGTAATAAGTGGTATTGGTTGTCTTTTATGTCCGAAGTTTTTAAATGTTCTTTGGCTTACTATAATAGCCGGCTTAAAATGTCGCAACATATCGAAAATATTAATAATAAAACTTTTTCCTCTGTAAACAGAGTTATAACCTAAATTACACACCAATTGACTGATGACAGATTGGACTAGTGACTTCTGACTTCGACATTGACAGATTACAATGTCAACGACTGCGTTCAGTATTATCGTTTTAGATAAATAAATATTATTTATATATCGATAATACTATATTCGTTTTTTATTTGAAAACGCTCCAGACAGATTAGACGATTACATTTAGAAGAGGATTGCGTATAGCTCTGCGGAAATACTCTCAGCAGTTTGAGCAGGATCGTTATTGGCTATGTTATAAATAGCACGTGTTATATGTTTTCACACTTTTTTGGGGCATTTATTTCTACGTCTAACTGCCTAACTACTTCTTTAACCTCTTCAAAATGCTGCCAGTTGATTGCACACACATTTTTCTCTTTTATTTTGTAAAACACACGACATGGACCGCAGAGGAAATGCGGCAGGCGGTGGCGCAGTTTTTTTAAAGAGAGAAAACATTATAATATGCCTTCAACGCCTAGAGTGACGTGTGAGGGAGTGCTGGCCTTTTAATGACTAAAAACCACCCCGTTCCTTCTCCTGGTCAAGACTGAGGCCTCGGTACCTTATTGCGCTTGCCTTGTCACTCCGGCTGAACTTCCGCCCTGTTAGGGTCCACCTGAAGTGATCTATTGGCTCTTCAAGGCGCGTGCAAAGTGCTACTCGCCGCGCGCCTGGGTCTGGTTCTGGTCGGGTGGCGAGCTACCCTTGCTCGCCGTCTGCAGCCACATGCTTATGGTGGTGGCGATTGGAGCATGATCCCCGATGACGATGCGTAGTGGATAGTTCCCTAACGCACTCCGCCTCCTTTTAGCCAGCATAGTTTTGCAGAAAGAAGAGACGCGTCTTCCTGGTTCCTATCGCTCAGCACCATGGTCTCGACTAAGGCTGCACGTGAGATGTCATTGCCGATCACTTGCCTGAGGCCACAGCGGTACTCAACCCAATCAGAATACACCACTACCGTACCGTTATCGTCACATGGATGGTAACAAAAATTAAATCATTATATTCATTCAGAGATCATTGAAGTCCTGGAATCAGCCCAAGGGAGGTCATAATTCCCATGACCCGCCGTTGGGCCCGACCTATTTTCCATAAGCGGCAGAAACTTTAGTGGTTTAAAAGTTTCTGCTATATAATGTGAGCCGATTTTCAGCCGTGGTTGCGGGTGCAAGCACAATAATGTACGCGGCCCTGGCCCGGAGCAGGAAAAGGAAGAGTGAATTCCAGTTAGTAAATCTGACATTCTTTATCGCCCCACCCTTGGTGGGAAGTATAGTCAGGTAAATGATTTTCTCCACTCAAAATAAGTTTTAGATGCAAAGTGCATAATTCCATGTACCATGTATACTTGCATGCACATTAACAAGTGCATAGAAATAATTGAAGCAGTTTATAGGCCTTTATAAAATAAAAGTCATATATAATATTCTTAAATTGTATTTAAAAGGCGGGCTTATCAAACTAACCAAACAAAACAGGTAACCTAGCTGTTAAAAATACATATTGTGTCTGTTTTTGCACCTGTTTTTATTACTTACTACCACTGTAAGTCTATATTTATCAATTAATCTTATATTTAGCCTATGTACACAGTAAAGTACGTAAAATACACATCTATTTACATTAACACTTATAAAAATAAAACATTCAGAATCATAAAGTTTTCAGTAGATAAGTATCATCTAAATATAACAAAATCTTGGCCCCAACAAAAACTGGATTTAATTAGAAATTCAATAATCTATTTTGAATAAATTCAAGAAAAAGTCAGAGCACATTTTAATCCAGAATGTAGTATGCAAAAAATAAAAAAATAGTCAGTACAGCTTCAAAATAGGTCATCAAGAAAAACTAGGTAAGTAAAACTTAAATAAAGGTTTAAGGAACTTATACTTACGGATTGACTAAATTAATAATATGGACTAATAAATGTCAGTGCAAAATCACACTTCAAGATTCAGTGGAGCCAAACTCACTCTCACAGTCATGTCCAGGACACATTAGTCAACACTCAAACAAATTTGATATACATCATATGACAAACAGATGAGTTTCAGAATAATTATTGTAACTTGTGTAATACAGAAATAATACAAGTAGGTACATGTGGTAATAAAATTAAATACCATCACTATGGGGCGGAATGCAAAGCTGTTTCGATAAAACTACGAGAGCTAAGCCAGTAATATCGATAAACAAGTAACTATGGTATGGTTATGATTTACATAAGCACACAACCAATCCATGGCTTATGAAAACAATAAAATTATTCTAGTCCTCAAATTTAATGGAGTGTACACCTGTATCAATAGCGCCACCGCGATATGAACCTCTTTTTTTCTTCGTCTTCTCATGTTTGAATGACTTGCCACGCGTATGCTTTAAGTCTTGATTAGCACGCTCACCCCATGACCCACGTGAACCACTCTGGAAATAAATATTTTGTTATTACTTTACATGACCAATACATAATTGGTCGAGTAGTCCATGAGAGTTACTACTGAGCAACTATCTAGTTGGAGTATTTAACAATTTTAGGTTGGAGTATATTATTCCCACAGCTATAACTTCAGATTTAACAGAATGTGTAATTTTTTTTTAGAATAAGTTTTGTGACAAAAAAATATTACATACATACAAAGCCAATGAGGTAAAACTAAATGATGGGACATCAGAATCAAATATTTTATATTACATTAAAATAAGCTCACCTACTTAATCAAATACTATTTTCTTGTTTTGAGCATTATCCCCTCCCTCAAAACTTTTTCGGTCATTAAAACCTCCTTTGTTGAATCCTCCTCTGTCTCCACCCCAGGAATGACGGTCACCGCGACCTCCACGGCCACGACGATCTCCGCCTCCGCGACCTCCCCTATCGAAACCACCGCGACCTCCTCTGTCGAACCCACCACGACCCCCTCGGTCAAAACCACCTCGGCCACCTCTACCCCCACGACCACCCCTGTCGTTGAAACCGCCGCGACCACCCCTATCGCCCCCCCGACCTCTAAATCCTCCCCTACCCCTATCATTGAAGCCCCGACCCCCACGGTTGAACCCGCCGCGTCCACGCTGGTTCCAACCTCCAGATTGGTTTTCTTCAGTTTCCTCGTCGTTTTCTTCGCCTTCATGGCTTTCACCCTCCTGATAGATAGAAGCTCTTATTATAACCAAGACAACCCTATGTGATGCTGAAGTGTTTTCAGAAAAGTAAATGCCCAAAATGTTATAGCAAGCCACTGGCAATGAAGCCTTGGGCCAAAATGTCCAAGTCAGACATAACATTGAGTTGCCTTGGCTTCTCAAACTTTGGGGCATTTACCTTGGCGTCGAATGAGTTATCCTTTAGTCTAGGATCCACTTCTATAGGTTGCGACGCCACTCTTCGGAAGGGAGCTGGCTTACTCACGCCATTACTTTTTTCTTTGGGAGTTGATACACTAACTGTACCCTAAAATTTATTTCAATATTTAAATTTAATTGTCTACTAACACCAGTTGCAAATATAAGAAATCCATAATTTGTACTACTATAAAATTATAAATAGTACAATTATTGGTTGGACTATAGGTTCATCACTTCAGTGTCTTTAATTTTTTTCAAATGTAGTGTTAGAACATTACTTACCTTTACAAAGTTGCTGTAGGGTTTCTTAGCAGGAGCGTTTGAATCACCTTCAGATGCTTTCCTTTTTTTTCCAGTTTGGACTCCATTTTCAGCAACCTGGAAAAATATTTTGAAACCTCTTTAGTATATTCTTAATTTCTATCTTCATGTTTACAGTTTACAGCCTGATATTACTATAATTATTGTTATTTGTAATGTATAAAATTTTACCTGATCATTGGATTCCTTTTTGGATATTTTAGCAGGAGGAGCATCTTCATCACTATCGTCACTGTCATCAGAAGATTCAGCTTTTTTGGCAGGAGTAGCTTTTTGTGCTGGTTTTGGTTTTGATTTATCATCATCACTTGAATCATCTTCTGATGAAGACTCCTGTTTCTTCTTTGCTGCAGGTTTTGGTTTTGTAGCACTAGCAGGTGTTTTTGGAGCAGGTTTTGAAGGTTCTTTATCACTATCATCACTGTCATCTGAAGATGATGCTTTTTTAGCAGCAACCTTTACTGGAGTTTTAGCTGGAGTCTTTGCAGTGGCTTTGGGCTTTTCATCTTCACTACTGTCATCACTATCAGATGAAGAATCCTTCTTAGCTGTAGCTTTGATAGCTGGCTTAACCGGGGTGGGTTGAGGTTTCTGGAGAGCTTTTTGGGGCTTTTCGTCTTCATCGCTGTCATCACTGTCATCTGAGGACTCTTGCTTTTTAGCTGGTGTAGCTTTGGGCTTAGCAGGGGTAACAGCGGTTTTAGCAGGCTGTGTCTTCTTGGGCTTAGAATCAGCATCATCACTATCACTAGAATCGTCTGATGAGGAGTCTGGTTTTTTAGCAGGTGTGGCTTTGGTAACTGGCTTTGCTGGAGTACCTTTGGGAGTTCCTACCGAACCAACTGGTTTGACAGGTGCTTTAGGTTTCTCGTCTTCACTGTCATCACTATCATCAGAGGATGATTCCTGTTTTTTGGCTGGAGCTGCTTTGGCTGGAGTCTTTGCAGGTGTAGGGGCAGCTTTCTTTTGAGTCGGTTTTTCATCTTCACTATCATCATCTGAAGATGATTCCTGCTTTTTGGCTGGAGCTGCTTTGACTGGAGTCTTTGCAGGTGTAGGGGCAGCTTTCTTCTGAGCTGGCTTTTCATCCTCACTGTCATCACTATCATCTGAAGACGATTCTTGTTTTTTGCCTGGAACTGCTTTTACTGGAGCCTTTGCAGGTGTGGGGGCAGCTTTCTTTTGAGCTGGTTTTTCATCTTCACTGTCGTCACTGTCATCAGAAGATGATTCCTGTTTCTTAGCTGGAGTTGGTTTAACTTGAGGCTTGGAAGCTGGTTTAGCTGCAGCTTTAGGTTTTTCATCTTCACTACTGTCATCACTATCAGATGACGAAGCAGGCTTCTTAACAGGAGCTGCTTTGGGAGGAACTGCCTTAACTGGAGGTTTTTGTTGGGGTTTAGGTTTTTCATCTTCACTACTATCATCTGATGATGATTCTTGTTTTTTAACTACTTTAGGTGTGGCATTACTGGGTTTTATTGGTTGTTTTGTTGGTTTTGCTGTGGCATTGTCTTCACTACTATCACTGTCATCTGATGACTCTGCCTTCTTGACTGGCGCAGCTGCTGCTTTCGGTTTTGCCTAAAAATTAACAATTTGTTTAGTGCTGACTCTTATTAATCCTGTACATATTAACTAATTTATAAATCAGAGGTAGTGACGAATAAGTTTAGTTTGAAATCAAAGGCTTTCATTAACCAGTTCTCATCATTAAAATCACTTGAAAATTTTTGTTAGACCATTTTTATGAACTTACTTGTGTCTTGGGTTTCTCATCTTCAGAGCTGTCAGAATCTGAAGAATCTTGTGCTTTTTTAGGAGCACTAGCTTTGCCGTTGACTTGAGCAACGGGTTTTTTCTGTGGCGCTTCGTCTTCACTGGAATCATCAGAACTGACAAAAAAGAAGGAATGAATTAAAAGATTAAGTTATCAATTATAAAATAAAACAACAATCAAACCTTTAAAATACCATGCACTAACGTGTCTAGTATAAAATTTTAATTGTTCCTGGACAGTTTTATCAAAAACAATGTGAGCATAACCTTAAAAATGAACAAAGTAGAATTACCTTTCAGCAGCTTTTTGGGGCTTCTTATGTTTATTATATTCTGTTAATATGTCTGTCAGTGAAGGCAGGCCCTTGACACGCGGTTTCTACAAAGAAGAACATAACCTCCATTAAAAAAAACCAATAACAGAAGTAGGTACATATTTCACATCAATTTCGACACATTGAACAATACGAATACGGAACTTTTTGCCTAATTTTAATTAAAGTTATAATACACACACTCGAAATGTCTCGAGATGTAATATAAACAAAGTTATCAACGGACAGGAACGTCCGTCGCTACTTAAAACCGCAGGACTCCATTAATGTTACGTATGATGTACAGTGCATTCAAGATACAAGTTACTTTTAGAGAATATAATTTGAAATATAGACATTAAAACCGTAAATATTTAATATAATAACTACTGTTACTAGGTTTTGGCAATAATAACAAACTTATAAAATGTTTCGAGCACGTGTGATGACCGGCCACACGTGGTTTTTAACATTGAAAGCACTTACCGCTTTGGTTTTCTTTAAAAACTCTTGAGCCAGCGACTTGTCAATATTTTGTAGAAATTGATGAACTATAGAAATAGCTTCAGTTTGTAATTCTGCAGGGACCCCCATTTTTGAGAATTTTAAAATAGGATTTTAATCGCACGGCTACGCAACGCCGCCGCTTGTCACTTATGAATGAACGAAACGAAAATGAATTTGCCTCTGAGTGGGACAAAAAGAGGGCAGAGACAAAAACGGGCCACAGGTACTAACTAATGGCTCTCCCACAGTTTAGTAGGTACTTATAAGTTTTTCCTTTCCATTGGCCAATTCTTTCCGTAGGTATACAATAAAGTCAATAGATTAGCTTAGTGATTTTGTTATTAAGATCAGAATAAAAGGTTTATTTAGCTCAATCAAAATTAAACGTCGGTTACACAGACGTATAAAGTCAATCGTTTTCGTAAAAGTAAAAATAAATTCATCATTCACTTTGCCTTAACTTATACTTATGAATAAGAATCTTTGAGATCTAATTTGAAGTTTTCATCGTTATTTTTGACGAAAAGTGGAATACCTAGGTACTTTCTTTCTAAATATTCTTTTACTCACACGATTGTTCACTTACAATCAGGCAGATGGCGCTTACGTTGAATTTAGTCTCTGTCCTGTCATTCGCAATCGCATTCCGTAATGAATTTTGTATTATCTATGTAGTGTATACCTACTGCTTGGTGTATTATATTTATGTGATGACAAGTAGCTAGCAGTACCGATAACTGGTTGACGATTTATTTTATGAATTTTGTATCTACTCGATTAAATAATTGCAGTGTATTAAGTAGGAGATGTAGTTTGAATAACAAATCATCATCAACAGTGTACATACTTATTAAATTAGTACTTAGCAGAAGTTACTTAATAGATTGAGATGTGAGGTGACATGTTTTTATATGTTTGCTTTGTCGATGTTCAATGTGATCGCGAAGAAAATCTCTAAATGTTATGTAGGCTCGGTTGAGCATTAAAAACATACGATACCATAATGCCTGTTCAGCAAATTAATGTGAAGAACTCTTCGGATATTGAGAGTTGGGAATGGGGAGGAGGATGTGGTAGAGAGGTGATTCGTACGGGGTCAGGGAGCAGTCGCACGTCATGTAGCAACTCCAGCGGCGATATTTGCCGCATATGCCACTGTGAGAGCGAGCCTCATAATCCTCTTCTAGCACCATGTTATTGTTCAGGTCAGTGAAGTTTTATTGCCATTGTTCATGTAACTAGTTTATCCAGTAGTACTACACGTCGTAAGAATAAATCTAAGTACACAGCTGTTCTCTGTTTACATAATGTTATTTGACATAGTTAAATAGATTTTTTAAGTCAAGAACTTAGCTCAGTGCTATGATGGGGAAATATTGAAAATGTAAAAATCAATACATTAAAATTACATGGGATAAACATACCTACTGCATTTGAGAGGTAATATTTTCTTTTATCATCCAATAGAGTATAATGTATTGTTGGTGTAAGCATGCTTTGCATAGCTTGCACTTAGAAATAGTTTTGTACAATGTGAGTTCATATTGTTATACATGTGATGACTGCACTTATTATTAGAATATGATAGTGTAACATTGTACATATATACTTACATACAGTTGTGAAGAATAGGAAAATCATTTGTGATCAGGAAACACTATTGTATTATTATTTACCTAGTTGAATTAAGGAAAACTTATAATGTAAGTAGGTACTCAAAGATAATTCTGATGCAAAAATTATTCCATTTAAATTATTCCTGGATATATAAATTTAATTTAAATATGTAATGTGCAATACTATTTAAACATAAAGATAACTAAGGGCTCTTTTCATAAACTTTGATTACTTTACTGATAGCTAACAGTTCATAACAGACAATTAATTGGACTTAGTGAAAGAGCCCTAAGTTTAAAGCTCAAACTTATTTTCCTACCTTTTGACAATAAGTAAGACAAATTGAATTCTATCTGCATATGCAATAACTTATGAAATTCAATTCATTCAGCCTTTTTTTGTTTGTAATGACAATTGTTTTCTATCTTTGAAATGTTACTTATTGTTGAATCAATTACTTAATTTACTAAACATTTAGGCTAATCAAGAAATAAATTTGTTGTATAGCTTTATCATTAATGAGGGCTTGGTTTCATTAAACTTATTGCCATATGAATCATCTAGGTATAGTATTGAGTATGTAATTTAAAAACTAGGCTATGACTCATTTCTGTTTTTGTTACCAATTCATCTTTCTTATGTCATATCCATTTATCACACATATCAATGTTTGATTCTCATGGTAATTTTGAGCAAAAGCAGTTCTCTATAAATAAATGTGTATATTTTAAGCAAATTTATAAAATAATAATTAGCACACCTTGAAAAACATGAAAGTTAAAAATAAAAACAATGAAGAATGTAGTTCTAGGTATGATTAATAATAATAAAGTTTAATGCAAAGAAGAGGTTTCAATTGTTAAGTCATAATATTACAATATTAATTTCCAGTATGTTGAATGTTGCTCATGGCTTGTGTAAACAATTACATACAGTAAACAAACATTAAATTGAAGGCCTTACTTACTGCTTACGAAAATTTTGTATTGTCAATTAAGCTGAAAATGGCATTGACATGGTCTGATAACAATATTGCAAAATTGTATTTTGTATAAGTACTCAATTACATTTGCAGTGAAAATTATTTGAATGCTTATATTTTGTTATAAAATGTTCTCCTACATGTTGAGTTATGCAAATCACATACAGTATATGGTCTATATATTTACATGCATGATTATAGATATGACATTGAGACAAAACAACTTGTTAGCTCGTTACATAACTTAGGTGTTTACATACTTGTTCAGAAATTATAACTTTATACATGTTGTTACAGGAAGTTTGAAATATGTTCATCAGAGCTGTTTACAACAGTGGCTGACTGCATCAGAGACAAGATCTTGTGAACTCTGCAAATTCAATTTTATCATGCATACCAAAATAAAGCCATTTAATGAGGTATGTCATTAAAATTTATTAAAAGGTTTATGTGATATTTTAATATATTAAGTAATTTGATAATATATGAAACTATGCTAACTGAAAAAAAATCATTATAATTTGGTCGTACTCCATGTTATGGAATACTAGCAGTCGCCCGCGGCTCCGCCTGCGTGGATCTCGGTAATTTATAGCAATTAGCAATCAGGAACATTGTAGCTGTATCTACCAGTGAAACAATTTTGGAAATTCAACCAGCGGTCCCAAACATTACCCCCTACATACAAACAAATTGTAAATTTTACCTTTTTTTTATCGAATAGGTCTCAAAAGAGCAGAAGGATCACCTGATGGTAAGCGATCGGCGCCGCCCATGGACATCCGCAACCTCTTTTTAATATTATAATATAGAATCAACAAAGTTATCAATACATAATATAATTATGTGCAAAACTTAACATTTAATTTACTTTTGAAATTAATGAAAATTTTCTAAATTGCAGTTAAAATATCTATACAGATTATAAAAATTGTTTACTTTTAAATCATAATGAATATGATTTAAAAGTAAACAATGATGAATCTCAAAAAGAGACAATAACTAGGTTTTTAGAAATCTTACAATGGATTTAAGTGAAATTATTGTATGAGAATTTTAGCTGGATTAATAAAAAATATTTTAAATATATAATATAATATACCTAATAAGTGTGGGAGAGCCATGCAGAAAACCGGCGTGAAACAACCACAGTGTTGTGTTTCACCGTGTGAGTGAGGCCCAATCCTTCCTCACCCCCAATCCCTATATCTCCAAATCCCTAAAAGGTCGGCAAAGCACTCGTAACTCCTCCGTTGCGGGTGTCCATGGTGTCCCTGGGCGGCGCTGATTACTTACCATTAGGTAATCTGTAAGCCCGTTTGCCGATCTATTGCATAAAAAAATCAGACAATGGACGACATAATTGAAAATGTTTTCTTTAGTATTTTGTTTTTGTTTTTAGTGGCGTTTGTTAGAGATGTCGGGTGTGGAGCGCCGGCGACTGTGCTGTGCTGTACTGTTCCACTGTGTCGCTGCACTCTGCGTCATGTGGTCCCTCTTTGTACTTATTGAACGAGCTGTTGAAGAGGTCAACCGTGGCATGATTGGTATGAAATTATAGCATCTTTTATCGAATAGTTTTATTGTGAAGATTCTGTACGATCACTATTTCGATTTCCGATCGAAAAAAAAGGTTGGATTTATTAGGTTTCGGTCTGTTATCTCCAAAAAATTTGTACAGTTCGCAGACAGTCTAATAAATTTAATGTTCAATGTCACTGATCTAGTGCTATATAAGAAAAATACTAGCTCATGTACGGAACCGTACATTATTTTAACTACTCACGCCCGTGCGTTCTGCACACTCAGGTTTTGTGTATATTGCAAACAATGCAAAATGTAATTTGTGTCTTTTATAACGAATTATAAATCAATGTTAATCTAGCATTCAAATCGGGTGGTATTATTTCTATATCCTTATAGGATTAACCCCTCATCATATCGTATCATCAAAGGTGTAGGAATCTTCTACATTTTTTTTGGTCCTTCGAGCCGGATCGTGGCGGGACCTTCGCGGTTACTTTGACCTCGCGCGCGCATTCGTGTCTCGTGTACGTCAACGTGACGTGGACTTAAGTTCCGTGCGATCACCAGTGTAATCTACACACATCATCGACTTGAGCATCGCTAGCTTAAGCCATCTCGGTCGTGTTCATTGAATCGCGATACTTCATCATCTTCATCTCATCTGTGGCGCGAGAGGTCGCGCACGCTGTCAGCTTCGTTGGAATCACCAGCAGGGGCGTAGGACGTCACTACTGTAACGTCGCATCTGGATCATCATTTATCAAGTAAGACTGTTCCTTTATTTTTCAACATGGAATCTCGTATAGCCCGTCAATCTGAAATCATCTCCAGTATCACTACCATAAAGGTCAACTTTAATAAGGACTCTGATTCCCGCAAAAATGCCGAATACATCAAAAAACGGTTAGGCGCGCTAGACGCTCTCTGGGAAGAGTTCGAACAAAATCATTCTAGAATTTCCGATCATGCCAGTGAGGCAGATGAATATTTCCGTCTAAATACCTATCAGGTAGGCAAAGACCTTTATCAGTCTGTCCGCATCCTCTTATCATCTTACGGAAAATCATCAAAATCAACTCAACCAGATGGGGAGGTTGATGAATTGTTAGCAATGCAGCGGACTAATTTCAGGGCACTTAGTCGACTTATTAAGAGCATCAAGGTTGAAAATATATCGGATAAATGGGAACTCGAAGACGAGCTAAACGGCGTTCAGTCTATTTGGAAAATTATCGACGCTCAGCATTTGAAAATCGATCATATACTTGCGGGTGGAGATATATCGTATGACGAGGAATTCACTCGTCATGAGTTAGCTTACAAAAATATCAAACGTGAGCTAAATAGGAAAATCTCCTCTACGACTCATTTAGAAAAGGTCACTCCGAAACTTGAGATACCTACGTTCAGCGGAAATTATAGTCAATGGCCAACCTTTTATGATTTGTTTAGCGAGACAATTCATAACAATAATTCCATCACCAAGGCCCAAAAGATGCAACATCTTAAGGGTAAGCTCAAGGGCGAAGCTGAACGACTCATCTATCATTTAAATGTCTCATCGGAAAACTACGATACCGCATGGGAGATTTTAGTCCATCGATACAACAACGAGCAAGCTCTTTTCACTCATCAAATCGAAATATTTCTCAATCAGCCCAACATTCAAAAACAATCATCATCCGAAATCAAAAGGTTATATGACACTACTACGGAGTGCATTCATGCTATTCACAATCTTGGCGTCAATACTAATGCGTGGGATCCTTTATTGGTGCACCTTCTATGTAAAAAACTGGATACGGATACCCAGACTGATTACAGAGAAGCACGCGTCGAACCGCGAAAATTACCTAAGTTAGACGAGTTAATGACATTCCTTGAAGGTAAATTTACTGCGTTGGAACAGATAACCAAATATGATAAGGAACCCGCTACATCTATCAAACGAACCCCAAATCCAAAAGTGCAAAATAATTATTACAAATATAATAATTATAAAGGCTTTAATCATCGAAATTATCAAGCTCAAGCTATTCATATCTCGAAATGCGCAGTTTGCAACCTAAATCATAATCGCAATTTGTTTTCATGCAAAAAATTTATTAACATAACTCCGGATTTACAAATGAGAATAGTTACACAATCAAATATTTGTAAAAATTGCCTATTCTCTCACGACGGAAATGAATGTACTTCCACCAAACGTTGCAAGTCTTGCCAAGGCAATCATCATACCATACTCCATGAAGCGTGTATGCAATCATCAAAACATCAATCCTCATCATCATCGTCTACATCGGGTCCGTCCGCAAAAACACCCAACAAACAGCCTAATGCCAATCATGTCGCAGTAGACGATGAAGAATTACTATTAACCACGTTATCGATCAATGTAAGGTGTTCTGACGGTACCTATATAACCCTAAGGGCTCTCCTGGACCAGGGGTCTCAAATATCACTTATATCGGAGAACGCTGTGCAACGACTAGGCTTACAGAGGCGACGTTACAATGCGTCCGTGTCCGGTATAGGTTCAGGTGCTAGTCAAAGTAAGGGTTTAGTATCTATCGACTGTCAATCTATCTACGGCGATTATAATTTCACTACAGAAGCACTCGTACTCTCTCGGGTTGCCAGTAACTTGCCTAGCGTTCAGTTCAAAAAACAATCATGGCCTCATCTCCAGCATCTGCAATTAGCTGATCCAGAGTACAATGTTTCCAAGTCTATCGATCTTCTCTTGGATGTCAGCATTTATTCACAGATCATCATGGACGGTCTTATCAAAGGTCCATCTCAAGCTCCAATTGCGCAGCAGACTGCCCTCGGATGGATTTTATCGGGAAACGTTCGTACTTTTAATTGTCATATCGTGACAAACAATATATCGGATCTTTCAAAATACTGGGAGATTGAAGACGTTGAACCATCATCATCATCATCATTGACTAGTGAAGAGCAGTATTGTGAAGAGTTTTATCAACAAACTACTCGTCGCTTAGATACTGGCAGATACGAAGTTGGCATTCCCATGAAACCCGAATACGAAAATCAACTTGGATCGTCTAAATCAAAAGCGATTGCACAATTCAAACAGTTGGAAAGAAAAATGTGCAATAATTTATTATTCTCGGAAAGTTATAAATCATTTATGTCCGAATATCAACAACTGGGTCACATGTGTAAGGCCGATAATGTCGACGAATCAAAACCAGCCTTCTATTTACCTCATCATGGCGTCATCAAATTAGATTCCACAACGACTAAACTTCGAGTCGTTTTCAATGCTTCTTCAAAATCATCTTCCGGTAAAAGTCTGAATGACCTCATGTGCTGTGGACCAAATCTCCAAAAAGATCTCATGACACTTATTTTGAACTGGCGCACTTACAAGTACGTTATGACAGCTGATATCGAGAAAATGTTTCGACAGCTCTTCATCAGACAATCAGATCATCATCTTCAATCAATCGTTTGGAGACAATCACCTCAAGAGTTACTAGGAGAATATCGTTTAACTACAGTGACTTACGGCACTAAAGCCGCTCCTTATTTAGCTATGAGGACTCTTAAACAGTTATCAATCGACGATGCCGATAGATACCCATTAGCAGCGTCAACATTACGCCAATCTTTTTATATGGATGACCTTCTTGGAGGCACAAATACCATCAATCAAGCCAGGGAGCTACAACATCAACTCATTGAGATGTTGAAGGGTGCTGGCATGAATCTGCGCAAGTGGTCCAGTAATGACCCGGAGCTACTTAAAGATCTTTCCTCAGATCAGCTCAATAGCCCATTCGACTTTAAGTGCTCAGAATCGAAGAAAACGCTTGGACTCAGGTGGAATCCATCAACGGATACCTTTAGCTTCCAAAATCCGGTCCAGTGTCGTAATCAATGCGTCACGAAGAGGCAGTTGCTATCTGAAATATCGAAACTTTTTGACCCATTGGGTTGGCTGTCTCCACTATCAATAAGAGCGAAACTTCTATTCCAAAACGCATGGTCATTAAAATTATCTTGGGATGAAAATGTTCCACAATCAATTCAAGATGATTGGATTCATCTCAGGAGTGATCTCAATCTCATTGACCAATTCATTATACCGCGATACATTGGTAATACAAACCAATTGTATCAAATACATGCATTTTGTGACGCTTCCGATAAGGCATATGCTTGTGCAGTATATGTCGTAAGTAAAGATCATAAGGGCGAGTGCATATCGAGACTCGCTGTCGCAAAAACAAAATTAGCGCCTCTGGCTAAAAAGGTGTCACTGCCAAGGCTCGAACTCTGTGGTGCGTTACTTCTTGCTCAACTTATCAAGAAGGTTATGGAGTCATTATCAAATGAAAACGTGGAAATTTATGCCTGGACTGACTCCATGATAGTCCTAGGATGGATCCAAGGAGACGTCCATAGGTGGAAACAATTCGTGGCTAATAGAATTATCACAATCACCAATATCGTTCCATCATCATGTTGGCATCACGTACGGTCAGAGGATAACGCGGCAGATTGTGCCACTCGGGGTCTCACGTCACAGAAGCTACTTAACCATCCATTATGGTGGCAGGGTCCAAAATGGATAATTCATTTCGATCGTAATACATTACCTGTCACTTCTTATCAATCGCCGAATATTGAGATCAAAAAACACTGTGTGAACACCGCCTTATATAAAAATAACATTTCAGTTATACAAGAGCTATTGTGCAATTACAGTTCATTAACTCGTATTGTAAAAATAGTCGCTTGGATATCACGTTTCATTAAACGATCGCGAGGTAAACACACAGGTGGGACGGAATTTTTGACGTCAGCAGAGTTGCACAATGCATTACATTTAATCATACAGAATTATCAATTATACGAATTTCATGAAGACATTCAGTTTATCAATCAAAAGGGATACGTGCACCCTAAAAGTAAAATATCATGTCTCAATCCTTTTCTGGATGAGGACAGTATCCTTAGAGTGGGAGGACGACTCAAAAACGCATGTATCAAGGACTCATCAAAGCACCCTATCATATTATCTAGCCACAGTCGTCTCACCGACTTAATCATCCATCAGGCTCACATGACAACATTGCATGGGGGCCCGCGTCTGACACTTGCATATATCAGAGATAAATATTGGATCATAAGCGGAATTCGTACTGTCAAGAGAAGGTTGAGATCCTGCGTTAAGTGTCAGCGCTTCAATCAATCAAAGTATAATCAAATCATGGCTGATCTCCCACAGCCTCGAGTCACCCCGTCACGTCCATTTACCCACACCGGTGTCGATTTTACGGGACACGTAGAGTTAAAAGCCAATAAGGGACGTGGAATCAAAACGGTTAAGGGGTATATAGCAGTATTCGTTTGCTTGTCCACCAAAGCTGTTCATCTGGAACTTGTTTCCGATCTGAGTACTCCAGCATTCTTAGCAGCCTTCCGAAGATTTTCAGCTCGTCGTGGTGCACCTAGTCATATGTATAGTGACAATGGAAGAAATTTCGTAGGCGCCAATCGTATCATTAAGAAGGAGTATCAAGAAATCTTAGCCAATATCAACACCGATCTATTTGATAACATCAGTCACATGAACGTAAGCTGGCATTTCAATGCTCCAGCGTGGCCAAGCGCAGGTGGTCTTTGGGAGGCAGCAGTCAAAAGCCTTAAATATCATTTAAAGCGGATCATTGGAGATCAAAAACTCACGTACGAGGAGTTTACTACTCTACTTTACCAAATAGAGGCGTGTCTCAACTCTAGACCACTTTGTCAACTGACTGAAAGCCCTGACGATGACTTTCTTTCGCCAGGACACTTTTTAGTTGGTGGCCCAATTCTATCCAGGCCACAGACAGATCCAGATCACATCAATCTCTCGACGCGATGGCAACTCGTTCAATCTAGGAATAAACAGCTTTGGAAGCGGTGGTCAAGCGAATATCTTCAACAATTGCAGGCTAGATCAAAATGGCGTAAACCAAATAGAAATTTCAAAATTGGTGACGTAGTCCTTATCAAGGAAGAAAATCTACCACCTGGCAAGTGGGCATTAGGACGCATTCAAGATGTACATCCAGGAAAGGACAACTATGTTAGAGTGGTCAGTCTAAAAACAAAAGGTGATAACATTATCAAACGTCCTGTCAACAAACTCGTGTTATTACCTACCAACGAGGACACGGTACAAGATCAAGCTATCGATCAAGGAAATTCTTCCAACCCATCACCGCCATCATCATGTCAACAAAAAAAGAGTGAGCGTACTCAACGTTCTCGTAGAGGAATATCATTCAAGAGCCTATTCATTCATTCATTATTATTCATTTTCATGTTGCTATCCCCTGTTCACGCACAAAGTACCAACAATCATCAATCATATAATCTGACGTCATTAGATGAAAATCAAGCAATTTACTTCGACAGACTGTCGAACCTGCAATACATCAAGGATGAATGGCGTCTAGTTGTCTACTATAATATGACTACCTACTGGAAAGGCTTATCGGATATCAAAAGTTACGTCAATCATATCAAAACAATGTGCATCACTCATTCAAGTAAACAATATCAGAGTATCATTGTTCAACTAGAGCAGGAAATTAGTGAAATTGAACACTATGACATGTTACTTAAAAATACAAATGAAGCACCTATGAGATTAAGAAGAGGTCTTGTAAATGGAGTCGGTTATATCGCAAATTCTCTATTCGGTGTACTGGACGAAAGGTTTGCCGAAAAATACAAAAGCGACATCGAACAGATCAGTCACAACGAAAAACATCTTCAAAATCTTATCAAAAATCAAACCAGCATCATGGAATCCGAATTCAACATTTTACGCCGTAATGAAAACGTCATGAATAAACAATTCTCCTTTATCAATCAACGGCTTCAAGATTTAGCGCGTGAAGTATATGAAGTACGTTTGGTTAATCAAGACAATAACTATATCACGTCATCATCTTTAGCTGCATCAATCATTCTATCAAACCTTCGATGGATCCAGCAGACTTTGATTGGGACTGTAACGGATATTTCTCATGGACGTATCGACAGCCATTTACTATCTCCCGAACAGCTATCGTATCAGCTGAGCATCATCTCTAGTCAGCTAAATGGTAAACTTACTATACCAGTAGATATCAAAAACATCAAGGACTTGTATCGATTACTCAAGGTTTCAGCTAGGGTTATCTCAAATTACTTAATCATAGAAATCAAAATTCCGCTTTTAAGCAACGAAATGTTCGAGTTAAACAAAATCATCTCTATCTCTCAGAAACAAGGACAACACTACTATCAATTTCTTACATCAGTATCATTTATTGCGTACAATCTGCACAAGGATACAGCTTTTCTTCTATCAAGAAGAAGATCTAAAGTCGTGCACTCATATTCCTAGCGATATATTATTGTGCTCATTAAACATGCCCATTTACGATCTAAAAATGAAGCAATCCATCTGTGACATTAAAATAATTAATCATGCTCACTTATGTAAGTCTGTAAAATCGTCGTGCGAAGAGCGGTGGATCAAGTTGCACAGGCCAAACACCTGGTTGTACACATGTTGTCCGGAATGCCAGGTTCGCATTATTTGCGCGAACGGAGTGACAATGACCCATCTTATAAACAATGGCATCATTACTCTAGGTCAGGGCTGCACATTGAAAGGGGATACCTTTAGTATTTATGCTCATAATAACTTTTTCAGTAATTTGAATATTCATCATCATATCGAAGTCCCAGAGGTGTCTATGCTTAATCGAATTATGAAAACATCAATACCCGACAATATTAGTATGGTCGAGGATCATCAGGTTATTTGGGATCAGTTAAGGGCTCAGATTGACGAGGTTAAGGAACAGTCATCAACAGATCTGAGCATTCATGATGTTCACCATTACACTGTGCTATACATCAGTGTAGCCGCGGTGATCATACTGGGTGGCGTCGTCGTGTACCTCATCAGGAGTCGTCGAGCTGCGGCTAGGGCAGCAGCGTCGCCGGCCCCCCAGGGCCAGGAGGCTGCTGGGGCGGGGCCGGCGACAGTCGCGCCGGTGGATCCGGCGCCAGTGGCGTCACATCAAGCGCGATCAGTGCTTAAGTGCAGTGAAGTGTTCACGGTCAGTGGTGTAGATAAGGCTACTTCGCCAGAATCTATGTGATCAGTGCGCTCCGTGACTAAATTGGTTAGGTCCTACGTTTTAGTGTATATTTTATTTTACATTACATTATAGCACCTAAGACTATCTTTGATTCATCACCTTGTTATCATCCATCATCCTTTTATACAATTTAATTTTGATCACATTATCTATCTTCTTTGTCCTTTCAATCTTTTTCATCTCAATCGTGTTTTATCTATCTCTTTTGAGTGGGCAGGATGTACGGAACCGTACATTATTTTAACTACTCACGCCCGTGCGTTCTGCACACTCAGGTTTTGTGTATATTGCAAACAATGCAAAATGTAATTTGTGTCTTTTATAACGAATTATAAATCAATGTTAATCTAGCATTCAAATCGGGTGGTATTATTTCTATATCCTTATAGGATTAACCCCTCATCATATCGTATCATCAAAGGTGTGTCTTCTACAGCTCATAATATACATTTGATTCATTTTTATGACTTGACAATGACGTGTTTCAGCATGGCCTTTTTGGACAAAATTGGTAGTAGTGGCTGTGGGATTTACTGGCGGCGCAGTTTTCATGTACATACAATGTCGGCAATATCTGCATCTTTGCAATCGTTGGCGAGCACACAACAGGTAACTTTTGACAGCTTTTGTTCTTTTCCGTAAGCTATGTTAAAGAATGATGAAGTTAACTAAAATATTTTTACAGGATACTGTTAATTCAAAATGCGCCCGAGAAGATCCCGATCGGAGGTGGATCTCCACCCGTGAGAGTAAAGAGACGCGAGAGGAGCGCGCGCGGGCAAGTGATCGCCAACATCGAGCCTCCGCCGCCGCCCGCCGCCTACCACGAGGAGGACGAGAGCGGCGGCTTCGAGACCTACCGCGGCAACCCGCACCGCCGTCTGTCCGCGCTGCCCGACCCGCGCCCCGACGACACGCGCCGCTACTCCGACACGCGGCTGGCGCAGGCCTGCGACGACGCCGTCTCCGCCGAGCGCGGCGCCGGCGTCTACCACATCAGCGTGGACCCGCTCGAGGCCGACATCCGCTCGCTGCTGGCGCTGGAGGCGCGCCGCGCCGCCCGGGCCGCGCGCTCGCTGCCCAACCTGCGGGCTTCGCGGGAGACGCTGCTCCCTGCGACCCCGGCCTGCCCGGGTCCCGCGGCGGGCCCCGCTAGCGGCCCGCCCGCGGCCGGGGTCCCGACGCCGCCCCCCGCGGCTTCCTGAGGCCCGCTCCTGCTGTACCCCGACGACACGGTGTACTAGCGGGTACTAGCGGCGCAGACCTGTGCGAAGTGTGCTTGGTGCGTGTACATACTGACATGGATCTTGTAAATACTTATTATCATAATAATAGTTCAGGCGTCGCTCGTAAGGCTACCGCAAGACCGCCCGATAGATACTTATTCCCTGTCCTTGCGTTTTGTACCATAACGTCCATATGTGTACATAGCGTAAACAAATTTAACTCCATGTTTTTCGTGATAGCAATATTAAGTAATTAAGATTTGATAGTAGACAGCTTGCAAAATATAATTAGTAAGTAATAGGTATGATACTGTTTCCAGGGGTAATACCTTGTAGAAAATTGTCCATGTACATTAATCCAGTTGTACAATACTTCTTAAACTTACTCCAGCCTTCAAAGAGCCATTTTAATAAAAAACATGCTTTCTGATATTTGACATATAAATTACAAGTCCATACTACTAAATTACATATCCATATCAGATACTGTGAAGCATGTGCTATGAGAGTTTTTGGAACTGCATACATGTAACAGTATAATATCCAGTTAGTTATATCTGAGACTTATTCCATCGCTTGAACATTCAATCGTGGCACATGCGTAGCGCCCCTTGCTATAAAGTCTAACATTTTACTACCATACTAAGCTTCATGTATTTAGAGTCCTTATTAATCTGCTAGACTTGCGAAACTAGATACTGAGCTGATAGTATTGTCAAATCAATTGCATTTAAAATATTGGAATAAAATTCCGTGAGATATGCATGTGTGTTTTCTATGTGTAGATTAGAAATTCATATACTTTTAATAAGTACATAAATAATTAAACACTTTGTCATCGCGTAATAAAAGATCTTTATGCTTTGCCAAACTAAACTTTAAACTTCCAAATGTCTTCTTTGATTCTATCAGAATTATGCGCATTGTTTACAACTGTTATTAGATAATTTTCTTTCCCTTATCATATGGGGCTAACTGAAAGAAAACACAAGTTCCTTTCTTTAGTTGGAAGTATTATTTTGGGTAAAATTTAGATTTTTTTTGGGGGTTCGATTGTTTGATTGTAACACATGTTAGGACTTTTATATTATAACTCGTCCAGCGCTATCGCAGTCTCGGTTATCATTGATAACCTAAACCCAATTGATTAAAACACTGATAACTTATCATTTATTGGGATTTATCAAAGGAAATTAACAATGGGTTGTTCAATATAATGACGTCCTCGATAATTTATGTGGCTCTTGTATTCATACCGCGAAAACCAGCTTATAGAACTGCAATTTTTTAACCCACAGTTTCACCCGTATCTAATTTTAAGGGATTTCTTTCGATCCTGTCGGGACATCAGGATAAATATAATCTATCTAAGTCCTTAAAAAATAAGCTTTTTAATAGTAATATAATTTATCAAAACTGTCTATTATATTCTAATGTATTAAATGCAAACAATCAAGCTATTAAATCTTTCTTGCTTATAATATTAGTAAAGATTTATTTTATTCGGAACTAAATGTGGTAAATTTACACACAATATATCAAACTATTATTTCGCAGTATCATTACAAGTCAATTAAAATTTGGTACCTATCGAGTGTTGTCTGTCCAATTTTCCGCCTATCATAAATAAATTGCAACGCAAAAACATAGGTAGGTACCTTTGAGCATCAATCCAGTTAAAACGACTTTCCTTTCTTAATTTGAACTACGAAATTAGCGGTCCCTCTCAAAAATATAATCCACCAGCCTGCTCTTATGAAACCCGTGCAGATAGCAGGGGCAAACCATACTTGCATAATTTAAAAAAACAAACTTCAATAGTAATTCATTAATTTTAAAAGGCTCACCCAGACTTACCAATTTATTCATATCCAGGGTTTGGTAATAATTATTATATGATCACTCTTACATAATTCTTATTTAAGTAAGTCAGATATTTCATGCCAGCCAGCTCATGTTCGATATTTAATTATTTATATATTTTCCTTGTCCCATTTCAACAGTTTCGAATATTTCCGTAAAATAAATGCTATAGTTATTTACGTAGTCCAGTCCCGATTTATATTTATTTTTTCCACTGCCTGCCTACATATGTTTATGAATAGGATTTATTGTATAACAACATCTATTGTAGGCTGTTTATAATGGTTTGCGAAGGAACTGGAAAATAAACAAGCCACATGTGTTTCGACAGATGGATCGTTAATATTGCTTACCTTTAATAATTTTACATCGGATTTCTTAGTTTACTTATTCCCGCCGATATGTAAATAAAACTGTTAGTGATGTCATTACTAAAAAATTGCTGTCACTTAAGTTTTATTACTCCGTCTTATACTTAAATTAAATGTGCAATATTCGCTATGTATACGGATACGAGCGAGCCTTTCAAAAGAGGCTTAAGTATAGATGAAAAAAAATGTAAAATCCTATTGGCCCTAAAATATGTAATGGAAAAAATTTAAATACGAAGTTGTGATTGTCGTAAAATGGTCTTTAAAATAGCTGATACTTTTATTGACAATATTTTGTTGTATGTTCTGCACTATTGGTGCGTTTAGTTAAGGAGTTAATTTAAATGTTGACTTGTTTTTAATTCAGTCGAAAAGTCTTAATAGACTCATCCATGACAGCAACCTGATGATCGGTTTATGTTTTAGACTGTCTCATGGTGTCTGTCTATTGTTTTAAATCATCCACCAAATGGTTCTTAAAATAATTAATGTTCAGTTCTCCCGGTTAAGTACTGAGCGCGTCTCTTCTTGACTAGTACATGTATAGGGTGTTTTAAATACGCTCCTGTCGTCTAGTGATATTGTCTCCCAAGTATAAAAACAATAAATATGTTTCAGCTTAAGGTTTAAAATGGTGCCATGTTATTAACTTCTTTTTTGTCTAATTAGCGAATCACCTTGTTCCTCTTTGTAAATACAAGATTTTATTTCCTTATTATATCTTAATCACATACAAATTTACTATCGCCACTTTCACTTAGACACTAATATTAAAGTAAGAGTTGTTCATTTTGTATGCCATACATTTATTGGCCAAATTAATATTCATGTTTAATTATGTACTACATATAGTTAGCTGAGTATCAGGATTTTTGTTTACCATTCTCAGTTACATAACATCCAAAATAGAATTGTCATTTTGAATATTTAATTAAAACGTAAACATCGCTACTGAATTTTAGGTAGATAGTGTTTAAATAAAATAGTTCGGACTTTGGTGCTAAATAAAAAATTAATATCAGTCCAAAATTAGGTAACATATATTTTTAGTACACAGAAAATAGTTTGTGAAATGTCATAGTCAAGGCATAGTTTTCTTTAGATTGGTTATATGTATAACGATGTGAACATTCCAAACTTATATGTTCGACTAAAAACACGTACGTTCATATTTGTTAGTTGTGCAATTGAGAAGCGTGACATAATTTTTGCTGATGTAACACAAAACCGGGCTGTTTTCTTCCACGGCATGATAGTGTGTGCCATACCTATGCATTTTGTTTTATTTTCATTCTGTTCGTATCAACATTAAAATGCCTTCATTTTACGTTAATGCCTTCATTTACGTATAACTTTTCGATACAATACAATTGAAACTAGTCGTTTACATTGATTAATATGTATATACACTGCATGTGTCCAATCACTATTGTTTCTGTTTATAATAAAATTATATCATCTCTTTTGTCTCAATTTTATTAGATATTTTACTCATATTAATTATTCATGTTGTATATTGTAAATTTATTGTATCATGGCTAATTGTAACTGAAGTATGATGATGAATTCAAAGTTTGTGGTGTGTATGCATTGAACGAATGCTAGACATCATTGCAGGGTGGTTGGGGATGAATCTTAACGTTACATGCGTATTATGCTGTTAATTTCGTGTACTTACATTGTGTTTACATATCACATAATATAAAAACGAAATTTTAAATCTAAAGCCCTTGTAAATAGTCGCTTGGAAAATATACGATCTCAAAGCTTGTAACAAATATCCATCTCCATGAGTCTCGTGTGCTACGAATGCTTATTCCTGAGTTTTGTTTCAAATGAAATAAAGTGGTGCCTTATTTGATGTTCTTTGTTATAATTATTTTAAGGATTGCAAGAAAGGCATTACTTAATGGCTATTTGTTTTTTATTCCTTTCGAAACACTTGCACTTGGTCAGTAGAAAATGTAATAAATGCTTTATTTAGATGGTAAGCATCCTAGCACGAGACGCCACCCTTGTCTGTATAATGTGATTTGTGATATAAGTTATTAGTGTTATTTGTTTGCTCAAAATTAATTTCTCCTTTCGATCTGTGTACTTATGGTTCATGAAATTTGTAAGACTGTATTTTATTTTGTTGTGTAATATCGTTAGTAAACTTCGGGTTATGAATATAGTTATTTTGAAATTAATCTTGTTGTTTATTAACCTTTCAGTTTGTATATAATGTACTTTGAAATAAAACGATTATAAATTAATAAAAATAAATTATTTATTTAAGGTTGATCGAATTTCATTCTCGTGGGTACGACCGGAGCTCTGATCGCAGTGACTAGACTGTACACTCAACATTTCTCATAAGTATTCATAAACAATATATTTCTGTTCAAACAGAAAATCAACACTTAGTAAATAAACATTACATTTCTACTTAATGTAAATATAAATTATATCACTAATACTCGAGTATTAGAATAATTAAATCCACCGAAAAATAATATTACACACTGCCAGGAGCATATTACAATAGCTTCCTAAAATTAATTTGTTAGTCTTATTCGTTGCTAACCCAACAAGTCATTACGTCTAACATTATTATTGGCGCCTGCAGCTAACCGCCGTAAAACCATTATAAAAATCAGTCCATTGTATTGTGACGACAAACTAGGTCATTAGGAATACAGTGTACACGGGCCGCAAGAATATATTGCGGAGTGACTGAGGACGGTCCGTCGTGTCGTATTAGTTATTCAATTTGACTATTTTATAAAATGTGGCGAATGTTGAATAGTTGTTTATTTGCCACAATGGTTAGGAGCTTGCCCTATGACGGTAGTGTATCGCGAGCGAGCGATGCGCCGCTAGAACTCCGTGTCACCGAGCACGTTGTACATCAGGCGTTTGAATGAGTTCGATTGTTGGATGTGCTCTTCGTGTAAGGAGTTCACCTGAAACAACGGAAACGATAACATATTAGGTATTATAATTGGTATGCAGTTTGGAAGCCATCATTTATGTCCATCAACTATGGATTTCCATTCTGTGACAAGATGTAACTTACGAAGGTCGTTTGTTTTCCTTTCGGCTTCTCTTCAGGCTTAACTGGTCTCGGAACAGGCTTCTGAAAAGTTTTCTCTTTTTTATATTTGCGGTAGTTATTGAGAGAATAATAACTGCTGGAAGCAATGTGAACTGCGACGAACATTTTTGGAATGGATGATGTTGCGGTGGTACAAAATATGTATGTAATAATACGTCAGTATTACCTTGTTGGCGGGCGCGGTGAAGACCTTGGGCGTGACGGGCGTGGGCACCTCGTGCAGGTCGCCGGTGATGCCGTCCTCCTGCAGCGCGCGGAAGGTCTCGGAGCGCGCGGGGTCGTACTGCACGGTGGGCTTGTGACTGCCGCGCGCGGGTTAGGGTTTAGTCGGCGGTAGTGTTAGCGGGCGCAACACAATCATAGAGATAGAACACATTAGATACGACTCGTAGGACGTTAGAGGGACGCGGAAGCGGTTAGTGAGTACGGAAGTTTAGTGTTGTTTATTTTTCAGGAAGGAAAGGTCAATAAAAATACTAACATTAATTATGTAGAATAAGTTCTCTACCTTAATAATATTATTTAGCTCAAGTATATAAATAAGTATAAATAACTTAAGACTAGTTTGTGTATAGTGATCGCCACACTAGTCACACGATGTAGTCGCGTGGTCGTGGGCCTCGGACACGGCTGGCAAATGTCGACGTCATCATGCTTGACGATAAGAACTGAGCGTGAAGTGAAATAGACCAAGACGGCAAGAGACGAAAAGAGCAAAATAAAAATAAAATAAGCATTAATGCATCATGAGGATGGGCGTCGACTGTTGTTTTGGCGGCGTTCTAGTAAAACACTTGCCTCTTGACAACGTGCGGCCGCCCGTAATGGCCGTTAGCGCTAAGTAAGCAAAGAAATACTCCATTATTATATTGAATTTATCATTCACGCAACGCCCCGGTGTGATTCTTGTATTTGTTAAGTGTGTTGTCATGTAGGCATCTAGGCTTATTACAGTACCACACTGAAAGTACTGGAATAGTCGCCAAGTCCTGTTTGCTTCTATTGCATAGCGCCAAAGCAAGGGATATTCCAAATAATAATTAAAGAAAACGTATTTACAGAAATTCCGTCACTTTGACAAGTACATCTGGTTACGTAACGGTTGTTTTGGCAATGGGCCATGTTGCTCAAATTCATTGCCAAGATATGCGTAGTCTGAGATGACTGATGCTACATTTACTTAACGTCAGCTAACTGTAAGTGTTGTACTATCTCAGTAAGAGGCGGGTAGCCCTTCAAATCCAGTCGTTGAGGACTGGAGTCAGTGTGGGTCCTCTTAGCATAAGGCCAAGAGGGAATAACAACTTCTAATAAAAACAAAAATCAAACTATGGCAATTTCTATGTAGATACTCACGGCAACGGCGAGGTCTGTTGCCTGATAGAGTTAGCGATGTTCTGTTCCGAGTATAGATTGATCGGCGAGTTGAATTGCTTGTGCACCAACTGAAGAGATATGAAACAATCATTAATCAAACGCAATAATTTCAGTTTGAACCATGATTAAAATCATTAAATGTGTGAGAGAGCAGCTACAACATCTCAATACAAAAACGTTAATAAGTACACCAATTGTTTCACAGTTAAACATTTCATTGGAAAATATTCAGCAACGTTTAAATTTTAAATAAACATAAAATGTAGACCGATATCACCACCATTTTTTTGTGACAAGGCCGTTTAAAAAACTACAGTTGACTTATTTCAAATTTAATCGACTTAAAAAAACAAAGATATCGGTTAACATTTGATGCAATAAACTGGGTAAAAGTAGTTACTCTCTTATATTGATGACGGAAAACGATTTCAAGTAATAAAAGCTCAAACAAGATGGCGTATAGACACATGAGTTCATGAGATTAACCATACTTTGCAAGAGACATTTTGTGGAAGAACAAATATATATTTTGTAATTAGGAATGTATGATAATATTTCCTGCGAATGCAATTGCAAAGTATCGTTTGATCGACCGGCTTCGTATCGGAAGTTTGTCGCTGTCATGCGTAAAGCTGACACAGTTCACACAAGTCATTTACTGCACCACCTTGTTCCCTTCTTCGCCAACCACTCGCTGCAACACCGACTCTGCCACCTGAGTTTTTATGAAAAATACTATTGTACTATACAATCCGTGCGCTACATTTATTATTATTGTCGTTAATTCTTTATGTCAAGTCAATAAGAAGGAAGATCTTGGTCTAGGCCTAATTTTTTTTAGGGACTTGTGTCATGATTCTACTTAGTTGTCTCCAAAGGAAAACAATCGAGATAAACTTATAAATAATGTGGTACTAAGGAATTTGAAATTAACAAATAATAACTACTGCATATTTGTTGTTAAATTATAACTCCCTTCTTATTTCTCTAAATGCGTGTAAAATATACAATTTGTATTATTTCCTTTAGCTTTTTTGATTCCAGTTTTAGTGTGTGAAATAGTGGTTTGTTGGTGTATGCGTGCAATGTTTGTGCGTGTATAGTGTAGCGTGCAACATCTATAATAAGTCATTTATCTACAAAACTGCATTATTATTTGTTGGAGTTTCTAAACAAAATAAAATAATGCACAAAGAATACTTAAGCATTTCGTATTTTCTTAACATGTGTCTTGGTTCATTAAACATTAAATATCAGACTTTGACTTCAAATTATACTTAGACTTTAAATTATCAAATTATAGACACCGCTGTAGGAAACGAACAAATTCTGATCTCAATACATTTTACAATTAAATATGCTTTACATTTTATAGCGAATATATTTGTACCAATGCGTATAAAAATATAAGTTGATTCAGCTGTGTAATGCCACAGACAAGTGGGAATCCATTTATAACATCATAAATATTTCCACCGCGTGAGACAGAGATCGTGGAAAACGTTAAAATGAATCCAACATATCTACTTATATTTCTCGTTATTATTATGTTTTAAGAAAGTATTTTAACTGCTTCCAAGATAAAAAGCACTTAACTGTGAGTGTCTGCAGGTTTGGGTCAGTGTTATTATAGTATATTGATTTGTGCTAGAATCATTTACAGTGAATTTTCACGAAAATGGTTTGGAACATTGAAATTTACAATTTGAGTTCTGAAATTTTGCCAGCTACTTGAACTCACACTTTAATAGCAAATGAAATATGTTCATAAGTTTTAATAATAAAAAAAAACTTTTAAATAACTTTGACCAAGAATGGATCCTTGTGGCATTCCTTAATTCTAACAATCACAAACAATCCATCAATTTATTCTGGATGTTTATTTTACATGATGTGCGGGAAATTTTAACCTAGTACAATTTTTTGTATTTCATATACTAAAAATTTTACTTTTTGTTTAAAAGGGTAGAGATTACAACGTATAACGTTACCTTGTCAAAAGTTTGATATAAATTACGGAATTTTTAGTTCTATGTTAGATATAATTTATGTTACCTTCTGTCTCATAAGGGTGTCACGGTAGTCGTGGCTAGGGGGCGCACGCATGGCGGGGTTGGGGTGGTGACGCAGGTAGCTTTCCGTGGGTCCAGGCTCACGTCGTACCTTCGCACCGGGCAGCACCAGGGGCGTCGTGCGGTATGGCTAAAAGTCAATTCACAATACACGTTAGTAGATTACATACCTGATTTCGAACACAAATAAATTGATCTTAGATGGTTTTGCCTCTCAGGAAATTTGTAAGAAATTCATGGCAAAAGTAAACTTTAAAGTAAATATTCATGCATCTAAACAGCAAAATATTGTGCTAATCCTATGTATCTATTATTATGTTTATGGTGGTACTTATGTTTTTAATATTTAAAACATTGGTCGGGTTGCAATTTATATCCAATCTTGTAACAGTAAATGGAAAGCCAATGATGTTAGCATGAAATATACAACCATGATCTAGAATAGTTGGCTCACATCACACGCTAATAATAGTTCACGTAGTAGGCACATAAACTACATAACACCGTAAAACAAACAGCGTTCAACATAAAATTTGTAATTTGTTTTATTGCTTCAGTTTACTGAGGTTTTGCACATTCGAATAAAACCTCATGGTTGTCACATTAAGTGACCTTATACATTAAACAAGGTCGCAGACGCTGAAATTAATATACCAATGTTTTTCTTCAAAGTGTACGTAAATCTCTAAGACGCTGACACTAATCAGACACCAGTTCTCTAGAAAATGTTGGATATCTACGAGAAAGATTAGCCGCTAAACTTCGAGGCATACTTCACGTCGCGTCTAATTATAACGCGAGGTTATTCCATGTGGGTTATGATATGACTTCTGACACGATTTCGTTTTATTTATACGAATCTATGATATTTGGGCCGTGGTCATATTTCAGATTCAAAATTGGAACTATGTAAGTACTCGCAACTAACTAAGATTCTTTGGATATGTCTGGATATGGAATTTGGTAGTATAAACACTGTAAATTCAAGACAGTTGATGTTATTTCTTATTCGAGCAATATACTATTACTAATCAGGTAGACGATATGAAAAGAATAATGAAGTTAATGGGTTTATTATCAACACATAAATTACCAATTGATTAATAGTGATTATGATATTTGGACATGTATGCTCCAAGGTGCTACTATCTGTTAGTATCGAGTTTGTGCCAAAGACCAAACAACAAGCCTCGTTTATTTGCGGCGATGTTTACAAAAGCGGGGGCTTTCGCCACTGACGCAACGTTCTATGTTGGTTTGAACAAGTTTAATTTGACTACCTAAATGTAAATAATCTCGGTAATACTCATTCATTACCAAGAGCCATATTTTTAAATAATTTGATGGTTCATGCTACTAAATGGTGTAATAAATCGCTGCTATCGAATTATTACTGAAAGTAGATAAACCAATAAAAAATTTAGTCGAAACATCGGCAGTTTCCATTCTGATGCGTTATTGATTTTCAACGCTGTCGTGGCGCTGTGATTTTAAATAGCGTGAAAAGATTCCGTTGTCAAAAAAAAAATCAAATATCATTTATTCCAATTAGACCTTTACAGGCAATTTTGAACGTCAAACAAAATTTTGAAGATATAGTGTCAGTCTGTCGGTCAGTCTTCTTAGTGAAGCTAGTTGCTAGTTAGGGATGAGTTCAAATGTTTCGTTTAGGCAATATTTTGATGAGTTGTGTTAGATTTTCTTCACAACGAATAATAATAATGATTTTTTCTGCAAGTAGGTATGAAGTGTGAAATAATTTATAGACTTATCTAAATAGGACGACTACAGGATCGTTATTACTTTTATTGGAGGGGTGAACCTGCATAAGATTTTAGTACCCATTGCCTCCAAAGTTCTATAACTCGGGTTTTTGATCGAAAACTTCGTCTTGGGACTTGGCATAGAGACTACTCTTCATTGACATTACATATGGTTACAATCACGTCACATTTTCGTGTTGAAAGATCAAGTGGGTGTAAAAAATGTAGAGAAGTGACATTGATGCGAAAATAACTTCCCAGCTGGCGATTTAATATCAAAAAGTCTGTTATTTTGTCCTCGAAGTTCCGACGACCCCCGTTGGAATTCTGAAGGCTGACCAACGACTAACCATTATAACGAATTTGAATCTGGGTTAGCGATTTAAAAGAAAACTATTATTACCTACCTACAAATAAATATTGTTATGTGGTTACATATTCCTAGCTCACAAGACTAGTATTACAAGATACATATAAACTTTTTTACTACAAGATACATAGAACATTTTGGTAGTAGGACCTGATTCAAAAACCAAACATATAAAAATATTGTCGTCGGTGTAATTCATTACTTTTTTCAAACGACATTGGACTTTGTTGATATGCAATTTCATAGCATCATAAAACGTATATCCTGTTGTAAACTCACTTACATTATCTCCGGAAAATTACATCGTTAATTTTTCATGTTAGTTATTACATCACATATTTTGTAACACTACGCGCGTCTCAAGTGCTCCAAATTTAGATTGGGCTTCAACATCCCATGTTACGATCCAGTCGCTGTCGTTACACATCGTTTGCAATTTAACAGATATCAATTTATGCCACTACACAAATTGGTTGCAAAAATTTATAAGGGTTTTAGTAGTTAAGAAGTTCTAGGGTTATATGTAGGTAGTAATAGTCGCACGCACCCAGTTGGTGACGACCTCGTCCTCAGGATGCATGGGATCCTGGTATCCATTGGGGAAGAAATTAGGATTGACGGCCATTGTGGAAGCACTTAGTTGCGCGGACGTGTGCCGGGCAAAGTTTGATCGCGGACTGCCGCTCCAGTCGTCCTCTCCCGAGTAAACAACGCGATTTCAATGCATTCTATTTTGGAAATATGGCGGGAAAATAGGCGTCAGCGTGGGCGAAAACCTCCCGCGCGGCCGCAGAGCCTTGCGCCACATAAAACATGAATAATTTATACGATTTTTCTAATAATCTCTAAGCAACAATAAAAGGACTGTGGACTATTTACGGCTTCAGTGTAAACAATGCGTGAAAACTACTGTAGCAGCTCCATTACTGACTTCGTTTATCGATTTAGTTAAGTGTGTTTTCCGGTACACAAAACATTTCAATGTCGATGAAGTCAGTACCTACTTCTATTGCAAATTGTATTAGAAATACGACCGCAGCAATCGTCTATTATTGTGATTCATGATTCAGAAAACCGATTTAGCCTAGCTCGGGAACGTTCTAAAACTTCGATGAATTATAGCTACATTTCAGTAACTTTGCTATTTAAAGGTTATGTATAAAGTATACGCAATGTTGTCGGGTGTTCTTATAATCTAATCCGAGTGCTCCTAATTAATTAATAACTTAACATCATTAGACCATAACATTTGGCGGGTCTCCAACTAAGGTACGTCACGCGTTTGGTTTAGCAAAATACTGTTAGCCTATTTGTTGGAAATCAAGGATACATGGTGTTGAAAATGGAGCAAAAATGGAGCGAGGCAATTTGAATAACTGATAAAACAAAAACAGCTAACTAAAGCTAGACAAAAAGCTAAAAAAAATATAGACTTATTTTACCTATAGCAAACTAGATTCACCTATGAGGAACTTGCCTTGTAGATGACGAATGAAACGACTCAAAAGGAAACCTGACGAATGAAATTTTCAATAATTGCTTCCACTATGCGCACTGTATACTTTCCGAAAACAATTGCTAAAGACGGGGACCATTTAACAAATACCCCTCAGTAATTCACGCAACGGGTCGTCAGATGCTAGGCACAAGTTAAAAAAATGCCAAGAAATCATTTGGCAAAGTATCAAAAGAAAAATGATGAAGTATGGTAATAAATTTAACGATTGATCATAAATTCTTAAGATTTAAAAATATTCATGTCCTTCGAATGTTAAATAAATATTTTTAATTTAATTGGATTTTGTTTGAAGCATTTGAAGGATGATGTGAGGAATTCAAAATGTGATGTTGTTACTTAATTCGCTATAGTGCCCATCGCTGGACAACGGGCTTCCTCTACATTTGAGAGGTCTATGATAGTCACCACGCACGGCACATAGGTTGAAGATCGCTGTTTCAAAGTTGACTGCAGTGGTTGGTGCAGTAGCCGATCGACGGGATTCTGTGCAATTTGTATGTGTCTCCGGATTGCCCCACGTTGTGACTCTTTGTGTGATTAACAAATTATTGTTCTTGGTCTGGGTGTTATGTGTATTTGCAAACGCACTCACGACATAGAAGAAAATCTAAGAAAAGGTTCAATCTCCATGTTGAAAAAAAAAAACGCTGCTGCACCCTTTTAAACCTCTGTGTGAACTAACCTCTACGTAGAATCCAAAAAACTATCTACTACCTACCTACTGTATTTAAAACAAACCTCATTCTCACTAGATCACCATAATAGCAGGTGGAACGGGGTGGTTTTAGTCAGTAAGGGTCACTCTTTCTCGCCTCACCCTAGGCGATAGAAGTCATTGGACGATTTCCCCTCCAAAAAAAAGACGATCTTTCTATGTCGCCCGGTGTCCCACAAGGATTGGTCCTGGGACCGCAACACCACTTCCATTTGGTGATCATAAAAACATATTGTTGGATGCTGGATGCATAAACTTTTTTCATGTGCCTGAATTTTACGCTAGAACGACTAGTAAAAACGGAAGTATGTAATTTAATAGCGTTAAACCAATGGTATTTTATTTTTGGCAATAAATATATGTTGTTAGACAACAACAGGATCTTACGCTTCATCAACGTCACACAGTGAACGAAAAATGTACGCGAACAAGTGTTAGAGTGTTCAGACAATATTTTTCTAATCGAGTCTTTTGCTTAATAGGTAACAGTTTTCATTCTACTACATATGTGTAGTGTAGAAGTATTGTATCGTCTAATATTATAATCGCGCAAGGATGTATTTAGCTGAAATTAACACATTATTGTCAAACTATGGATTGTCCTGATTTTATACCCTAGAGGTACCAATACGTCAGTGATCGCTTCGGCAAGAATGGATCAGCTGGACCGGAGTGCTACCACGGCCTCACAGAATAACGGCATGAAACAACGTGATGTTGTGTTTCGGCGTGTGAGTGTGGTTACCGGAAGCATAGTCCTAAAAAAACCATCTACTCGTACATATTATTATGTATACTCTCATTAATACGTTTTTACTGTATAGGTAAATTCAGCATTTTTGACATGTTTATGTTTTATTTTACACTTACACTATCAATGTAGGTATGGTGTTAAACTCTAGATCTTTATTCAACGATATGAGACTTCAAAATGTTCGTTTTCTTATGTGCTCCGTCTACCTATTAGCTAGCATGACTGCTTCGCAGAGGGAGGAGACGACTTCCCAACTCCTCTCACTCCGCGCCATGGCCTGAACCAAAGCCCGTCGCTTTCTTGAAGACATGGTGTTCAGTAGAAGCAGGACACACCGCCACCGTATGATTTGTTACGAAAAGTTGTTGTGTTGTTGACTGTTGTAATCCACAAATTGTTGTTCCGGGTCTAGGCTTTATATATTGATAATATTTGAGAAATTGTATGTTTGTAAAAGCACCCACGACGGAGTAGACTCATGTCGCTCGGACTTCAGAGTTTCTGTAGATCCTGGCTTACCTACAGCTGTTTTAGAAGGTTGTGGCGGGCTTGTCCCATAAAAAAATTGTACTAACCTGGCTTTGAATGGACTCATCAAGCGTGTCATCGGTGCGTGTGGAGGTCGGTGAGAGCATTAGTGTCCTGAACTCGCCCTCCTGTTGTACAGGGTAGGTGTAGTGAGGCAAGCCAGCCGGACCCGCGGGACCGTGCGGTGGGACTGGAGTGCGGGGCAGAGACTCGGGACCACGCCAGCCAGGCTGCGGGCTCGGTGTCCTGCGATTAAAGGTATTTTTTAATAACATGGAATAGTGTGGTTTAACAATACGTCCACCTTTTTTAAGGACACTGTTAAGAATCAATAACAGGACTGGTCAAAAGTTGGTGTTGCATTTAACATCTATCTATAAACTTTTATCATTCGCGTAGATAGAAATGATATGAGAAAAAAACTCTAGGAAAAGGGAGAGAGTTTCTCCAAAAAGATAAAGCATAATATTGAAGATATCCAATGTTGAGCAAAGATCTTCCTCTTATTTATGATTGATTAGAGATTACCTTGGGCAGTGGAAAAACCGACGATAACTCAAAAACTGGCATCAGTTTAGGTTTTCATTGGTAGTTTACACGAAGTATTTTAAACTACAGAGTTAAATCCTAGGTGACAGCTGCAATGTTTTGTATACTTTGCTTTTAATAGAATCAATGAGAGACTGACCTTTGGCTCAATCTCTCAGCTCGGTATGCAGTTAGCCCGTCACTATCTTTATTTTTTATTCCATAGGACATTAAATGCGTTGTTTTGTCCTTAAAATTCTGATAAATTTTTGTTCAGAAGTTCGACTAAGATTTTAGTCACCCCGTGTCATTGACTTTTATATTTTTGGCAGCTTTGATAGTGATGCATCATCATTTATTTTGGCATTGATTGTAGTATTTATATAACGCTATTTACTGTCTACCAGCTGCGTTATTTATCACTTGCGATCACTTGACATTCTAAACTAAAGACAGTCACATTGGGTGCAGATATGAGTGAAAGAATGGTATGGAATTTTAACTGTAGGAGAGCCATGCTTCGGCACGAATGGGTCGGCTCGGTTGGAGAGATAACACGGCCTCACAGAAAACCGGCGTGAAGCAACATTTACGTTGTGTTTCGCAGTGTGAGTGAGGTTTCCGGAGGCCCAATTCTTCCCTCCTTTTCCCATCATCAATCCTTAAATCCCTAATAATCCACAAGAGGCCGGCAACGCACTTGTAGTTACTCCTTACTAATACGAGTGTCCACGGGCTGCGCTGATTGCTTACCATCAGGTAATTGGTCTGCTTGTCTGCCAACCTATCACATAAAAATATTGATGTTGCTGTAAAGACTGCAATAATGCGGCTTGCTGTAAACAGGTCTTAATTTTATTGAAATAATGGTGTGAATGATACCTGTATGGTGCTGCAGCCGCCATGGGAATTGGTGAACGTGGCGCCATCGGGGTGGTCGAGCGAGGCCCGTCACGGTCCACGTCCCTACACACCGCGCACAATGAATATGACTCGAACATGGATTTACGTCAATACCATGCAGTGTTGGTGCCAACTCAATGAAGTATTGACGACGACAAATAACAAATTATCACCACTAAACTATTTCGAATGTCAACACGGTATTCATTAATGTTATTTCTACATAATCGCCATTAAAAATATTCGAATCAGTTTTGTGGCAAGACAAATAAAATGTGTCAACATATAAAGGATGGATGCAGTGCATTTAGTACCTTACTAACTAATACATAAAATTTTGTTTCCAACAATTAATACATAAATAGAGAAGATTTCTAACATAAATATGAAAAGTAGGTACATTTCATGCATACAGTTGTCGACAGCATACAGGATGTTACGTACGTACTGACGGGGAATAGAACGTCTGTTTCAACAACAAATAGTCTTTCAAGTGTATAAATATTTTAGTTATTTGCAAAGTTTTTCTACAACACCGATAAAATTACCCATGCTTAAGTATTTCTCAATATAGATTAACAAAAATAAATAAGAAAAGGGCGAAATATATCAAGCATATTATAGTTTAAATATTTTACGTCGTCGTCGTGCTCTTCCAAAATGCAATGTGATACTGAATCAAAGGGTTGCGGACATGGATATTTCTCATTGACTCTCTTCAATTTTTATATTTTTTTTAGCTCTACGTTCAGCTCTTTTCCAAAAAAAGTGTATAGAATATTGTTTACCTCATTATTAGTTTAAGAAACATAGAAATCGCGATTTGATTTCTTGGGATATTAGGTATATTCTTATTAAATTTTGGGGAATTCAGTATCACCAACAAAATTAATCAACGTCTAGGTGAAGGGCAACATAAATGACACCTAGTGCAGGTCTTACTCAGCGAACTCGTGATAGAAGGTAGGCGTGGGCACACGGCCTACAAAGCTGCCCGGAGAGCGAGGCAACGAGTACAGGTGAGCACTAGCGCCGCCCCTGCAGTACACTCACTTATTTTTACCAGGAAATGTCCACGAAGGAAATAAATTCCAAGGTACATACAAAAGCCTACGTTGTTCAGAAGAAAAACCGTTCCTTTTAGTATCTACATATATCCATAATTAATTCAATCTTTTCAATAACTATTTTATCGTACTCTGTGATGTACCCAAATAAGTAAATGTAGGTACGACTCGTTACCTTTGCACTACAAGCTTGATCTGTTTCGGTGCATTCCTGAAGAGATTCTGTGCGTCTTCGTGTCGCAGGTCGCGTGCGTCGTAGTCGTCGATTTTAGCAATGATGTCTCCACGAACCAGCTCTTTGCCAGCGGGAGTGCCTGGTGTCACCTGGAAAATAAAAGATTTGTCATGTTTAGGACAATAAGTTTAAAGTTTAAGAAAGGGTTTCTGCTCAGTTATATAACTCAACGTGTGAACGTATCCACTGTGCAAAGCGTAGTTCAAAGAGCCAGTGTGTCAATCTTAATGCGTCAATGTTTATCCAAACTGAAAATATGGCAGTGTTTGAAGTCCACCATTACGGGAATTCTACGAAAAACATCTCGCTTCAAAGGATTGTTTCATTTCATTGGCATACTTTACAACTTCGTAACAAACTTTACATATTTTTGTTTTAGAATAAATATGTAACAGTTTGTGAACTATAAACAATGTAGGATTTTCTTGTTGGCACCCACCTACGTTGCGATAGGTGTTGCCCGTGTTATACTGTAACATTAACAGGTATGAGACACTTATAGAAAGAGTAACAGATGGGCCGTGACATTCTGAAGTGTGAACCAAGCGTCCATTCGGTTCGGTCACCTTCAAGGGCAAGTGTCACGATGACGATCCCACCCAGGTTGTTTACTTTCAAAAATTCATACTGAAAATAATATTTTTGTTGTTCTTTTTAATGGTTTCTTGATCGGTGGAAAAATGTGAAATGTAACAATGCAGAAACCTAAGTCAATTTATTCTGTTTAGGGGCTATGGTCTCACTTCGTTATTAACTATTAAAAACGATTGAATAAGTTTAAAGGGTTTAATATAAAGGGTACATTCATTGCATACAACACTAGGTCGACCTTGTGACTGGGGTAGGGGAGGAGAGGCGCGGGACGTATGCATTGAGTTTGGCTTACAGCCAGGCTAAATGCGTCCGTCGGCGACGCCGCGCCAACCTGACATTTTTTATTGAAAACAACCGTCGGATCGGATGGAGGCCGCATCGCATCGACGACTCGACCTGCGCAAATCCATCACACTTCCTCGAGTCAATGGCGAGGACATGCATCTATATTTACTCTTCATCTATCACCGTGGGTCGCGGTTAAATTTTTGTGAGGACGTCAATTTTATTTCACTGTTTTTGACAGATTTTTTTAAACTTTCTGCCTGGCTAGCGGCCATCCGCGTAACACTAATGCACAACTGACGTGCCACCCATCCGTCAGTTACGTTATAGAAATATCCAGGATTTAGGAGACGCATTACGTTAGAAATGCATACACATTATGTGATGACTAGCTAAGGTAAAAAACCTTTTTTTAATTTTTGTTTGCAGCAATATCTATTAAGCATTTTTTGTTAAGACCTGTTCTTCTAGTTAAGTATTCCGATTTCTTTCATCATTGGTCCTACCAGTTGTAGAGGTTCACTTTTGCCAATAGCAAAACTGGGTTTAAAAAAACACTTTCTACACTGAGTTTATTTATTGGACTATTTAAATAAATTAGGCTACACTCACACGATTTATAAAATTTGAAACCAGACATTTAGAAGAAAAAAAACAGGACGTTGGGATTAAATAAGGTTATGTATATAGAGTCGAGCTCAATCATTGGCATTATTATTGCTGAAATCACATAATTAAACAGGTGTATGGTCTCTTTGCCAAGAAGTGACATGAGTTATGACGGTGCTAATTACTAAAACGGCGAATTTTGTAAAAAAAACAAGTTACTTTTTTAAACCTATATTGATCGATCTATTTAGTGTTCTATTGATACGTACATAGATATTTATTGAATCGATTGACTCATCCCAGCCATATGGAGAGGAAGTAATGAAGGCATTTTAATGGCTCCGTTAGAGAGAAAATCGAGCTCAAGGCTGTTTTTGCGATTGAAGATTTATGGCAGCCAAGGTCAACGGGACGATGGATTATTTGCTGAGTGCATTTCTCTCTCAGCAGAAAACAGATGTGAGACATCATATGAATGTGGCAAACTTAAATGTATGTAGGCCAAATATGACGTCTAGATGTTACAATAAACTGTGTCAAGATTATATTGGGTGTTTTTGCCAATAAATTACATTACCTACATACATTATTTATTTATTTTTATTTAGTAATTAAATATTAACACGGACCTACACTAAGCTACCAATAGGTTGGTACTGATTGATTTCTATTTTGTTACCTGATGTTGAGCAATTAGCGATGCTATCATCGCTAATCACCATTAGTATTTGCTATTCGGTTAGGAAACCCTAAAAAGGGTTTTGTGATGACCGTGAAGTTTGATAGTGGAGAATGAAAGGAGATATTGATTGCGCTGAACTTAAGTCGAAGATAAGAAATCAACAGAACTTAAGATAAGTGCAGGAAGCCAGTCTTCATAAAAACTTCTTTTTAAGCATCAAAACAATTGGAATTCTCCTGGAACTTAAGAAAAAACACATGTTTGGCGTGTCTACCACCACATATGGGACTAACTAGGGCTGATGTCTGGAGGCGGTAAATCCGGTGGTTTAGACATCCAAGTCGGGAAAAGCAACTGGCAGCAAAGCAAATTTTCCCTGAAAAAATCTGGTGTTGCGGCGATCAGATCATCAGGCGTTTTGGCTGGCCGTTTGTTGCCGTACCACATTTACAAACCAAGCTCTCGAGAAGAATACCACGAATGAAATAAACATTGCGTGTGCGCTATCACGCTTAAATAGCAAAAAAAGTATTTAATAACTAATTGAAAAATAGCAATTAATAGTGTCGACGATAATATTCATTCGTGTATCAATAGGTAAGTGCTTGGAAATTTTACTTTGTTGTGAAATATTTATTATAGACCGTTTTATTCGCATTTTCGCTCTTCTGCGAGTTTTGTAAATATTTATAACTAGATTTTGCCCGCGACTACATTCGCGTGGAATAGTGACTTCCTGCAGATTTTTGGTATAAAAAGTATCCTATTTCCTTTCCCGAGTTCCAAACTATGCCAAACTATACCAAATTTCACAAATATCGGTTCAGTAGTTTAGGCGTGAATAAACGACAGACAGAGATACTTTCTAGGACCAGGCCTGAGATATAAAACTGTTTATCCGTGATAATATAGGTTCCAAGTTGGAAATAAAGAAACATCTGCATCGCATTTTGAATTAAAAGTACCGATAATTACCCATATACTAGTTAAATATACCGAAAATTTACCATCAACATTGGACAGATTAGCACAGTTGTATTCTACAGAATTAGTTCTTTATTTAACAGTTTCGAAGTTCTGTAGAAAGTTCCCGAATTTTCATCAGAACTGAAATACCGAAGAAACATAGGCGGGGATAAGAAATGTCAATGTATATGAATGCAGACACATTGTCAAGTTCATACTTAGAATTTTCTATTTATTTCTTGCACTGCGGTCACTTATGTGGCCGAGAAACCATCAAATGACGCTTCGAAGACATGGCTCTTAATGACATAAAATCTTAAATCTACCAACGTCTAACACCAGCTCCAAAAAAGGCCGCGGTGACTTAACCCTAAGCTAATTGCTTCGCATAAGGATGAAGGGCTTTCCAGTTACCCTAAATCCACACAATGGCCTGAACCTGAGCCGAATGAGAGATAGTAGCCGCTGCCGATGGAGGACACTAGAAAGGATACAGCAGCAATTTAGTTAATTAACGTTACACACTTTCTTAAGGCGTTAGATCCGCCATTTACTATACATCTTGTGTGAAGAAGAAATAGACAAATAATATCATTGACCATTGACAGGTAGGAATTAAAACGTATCAGTGTAAAAAATACGAAGTGTATAATGTACCTAAACAAAAAAGTTTTAGAGTATTTTTAAACTTACTAAGCATATTTATGTTCCTTATCCATTAGCTACATACATCCAAACAACCAAAAATAAATAATCGAAATGCGATGTGAGTAAGATCTGTAGAAAAAACTCTTTGGAATGCGTATCTAGGTACTAGGTATCTACCTGGCAAACTTTCCAGATAGCTATCTCAACGCCTATGACTCAGTAACCTCCTACACTTCACGCGAATAGATATACGACTGGGATGCACTCTTTCTTGCACTCACACGCCCGTCACGATATAAACACATACAGACAGAAACGGGTCAAGCATCCGCCTTTTTATTATTATTTTCATAGAAAATGTTAACCTAAAATATAAAATTGATGTAGATTACTAGTGACCAATCAGATAAAAGCTTTTAAGCAATCCAATCTTTTTATCCAATGCAGTTATGTATTTGAATAATCGGTGAAAGATGTGCTTCATGTCTTTAGAAGTTTTGGACATTATTTTTAACGTCTTGATTAATGACCGTATTACTGTGTCGATTCACAGATTTCGGAATAAGATCCACTATCAATGTCAGTTACTTTAGACTTTTTGCTAGGAGTATGAGTACATAGAAGGTTTAACATATTATTTTCGGATACATTTTGGGATCATTTCGCAATGTCGGATTCATAATTAAATAATAACTCGGACAAAGTAAGATCCTCCTCATGGAAATTTGGACAAGAGCGTGAAAATGAAAGCCTCCTCTCCCCTTCCCTTGCACCCTGTATTGCAGATTTATAGTGGCTTGCTTTAGGTACATAGGTATTATTGTGTATAATGATAGTCATTTTCTTGTAATCGCATTCATATTCGCATTCTAGTCGCATCGTGATGGGCTATTATTGAACTAAAATTGAGTATTTCCATGGAATACCTACTTAGGTGCAAGGTAAACAAATTCCTTGCTGTGGAAACAGAAGTTAAAATAGGCAATTGGGGGTACGTAGGTTGTTGTTACTAACATGTTATGGTATTGGTGTTACATGAACGTCACGTTTGCGTCATAAGCTTAGATATTGGAGCAAGGTTCTCTACTTTGTATATGTTATGAATACACAACAACGTCGATGGCTTTTGGTTCCTGCGCTAGGTTTACGTTGATTACATTTATGTTTTATCCCTTTATTACGAAGGTCACTGGCGAAGCAATTGATTACAAATAATATAAGTACATTTGCCGTACTGTGTACCGACTGCATATACTTACTAACAAAATATAAATCTACATTTAGAAGCTAGCTAAAAATATTAAATGTAAGAGATTAAGATAACGGGGTCATGTCGCATCGTCGTCGGCAGCTGTCGAACGACACGATACATCCAAGAATATATCAGTTATAAAGAGAGTTCGTCCACGCTCTAGATGTATTTTAATGATGTTCTAGATAATCTCAAAACAACAGACGTTTCCCGATATTTTAAACCGGCTCAGCAGATACTTGAATCACAAAAATAGCTGAAGTGCTTCACATTGTCGCTTGCCGGTAAAGACCCAGACTGACTGACAACGCTATAAATATTTTTTAGTCCCGGACAAATGATAAAATAATCCAAGTTAGATCTCACGATATCATTTACAGAGGAACATGTATTGTCCTAGCTAATCTTTATTGTTTAGACGATGAAGTGAAGCGTGCAGTTCAGGACCGGCGGCGTGTTTCGCTTGTTAACCTGGATAGCGTCTTATTTACAAACAGAGCGGTAGGATAGCGCCGGCAGTGTTTACGGCGCGCGGCGTATAAGCTATACCCTGGTGACGATGAGCGGCGTGGCCAGGTCGGCGCCGCCGACGAGGCGCAGTCCCCAGTTGACCTCGCGGCTGTCACGCCGCAGCGTCACCACGAACGTGTGCAGGCGGCCCATGCTGAGGGTGGTCACAGCGCGGTCACTGCGCGGTCACTGTGCCGTCACTTCGCCGTCACTGCGCGGCCGCGATGCGTGCGCGGCGGGAACACGGGACGTAGTGTGCGCTAAATTAGCCTCACCGCAAACTCACACCGCCCCCTGCCCCTCTAGTTCTGCACTCTGCATGTAACCCTGCCTTCGCAATCGACCTAATTCGATTTACGGAAACTCTGGGATACATCGATGCTTGATTGACCATCGATTCCGGCAACCTCTTCAACTTGTTTATTTACTTTCGGCGTATCAACGGTTAGCATAGGTACGCAATTATTATGTAGGTACCTACTAAACTTATAAGGTACATAAGTAGGTATGTAGATGTGTAAAGACTTGACAAGTTAAAATTAATTAGGTCATTGAAATCATCACTTTTTTTGTTGGTAGGGATGAAAATCATCTATGGGTAGGGATGTTCTCATTCATTCAAAAATCCGAGGTAGCTCATAATGATGACACTTTTTATCGACGTGATTTTGTTGAAAGAATTTTCCTAATAGAGGATGATTCGGAACTTACTAAATTTAGCAAAAAAAAATAAAATGCAAGTATGTTTTTATCTACCACAATTTAAAACGAGACAATTTTCGAAAAATATAACTGTAAAGGTCATTCATTTATTTATCACTATTTCCTGCGTCATACTATTATTATGCCATTATGAATTTGTATTGGCATCATTTACCGTTTTTGATATTATAATTAGACCATTGATCATGATTAATAAAAATTTAAACAAAGAATTGGCAAGTAACTATTAGAATGCGCCGTTTAAAAAAGTAAGTCATGTGTCCGGTAGGTGAATAATGTTTCTCAACTAAGTAAGCCACATGTCACTGAAGATCTTTATAAATAAAATTGGACAACCTAAATTTATGTACACATATAACTATGTAATGACTGAAGCGAATCGGATAATTCTTTGTAGTGGTCGTTATGGTCTGTGTAACATATACCTAATATCAGGAAACAGAAGCCAACAGAATCTGGGCTGGGCTGCTAGACCATTATGTAGGTTTGGTTTTGTAATATCGGACCCTTTGATTATAATATCTATTAACGAACAAGGAGCTGGATATTATCGATTATCTACAAAACCAATGGAGATTGGATTAGGGGCATCCATAAATTACGTCACACATTAGTCAAAGTAGGGAGACAGATGAAGGGTGGCAATATATTTAATTTTAAAATCGGTTATTAAAATCTAAAATAATTTAAATTGAATGAATAAGAAGAAGAAATAACAAATATCGGAGCAGGAGCCGCTGCCTTAATTAAATTGTCATTTCAGGATAACAATAAAACTGAAAAATAATAGGTCTTTACCTATGAAATTGCCGTTCTGCAGTACTGGCCATTTCAAATCAAAATAGTTTTTGTTATGCTAAGGCTAATTAATTTTGTTTTAAAAACACGGGATTCTTTTTCCAAAAGTAGTCATTTGTTTATTGATTAGTGTTACATTTTCATCGCATTTCAAATCAAAAAATTCGTTTAAATTTTTTCATGTAAAATGGCAATTTCATAGGTAAACCTATTATATGTCGTGACTCTAGGGACTCTAGGGACTCTAGGTCACACTAACACAAGCAATTGTGCCCAATGCCTGTAGGAGGGGGTAAAAAATTAAGAACAAAGAATCGTGTGACGTAATTCTATGGACGGGACTAAATAAATAACTAACGTCTAACTTGGAATCTGGTTAGGATATCTCTGACTGGTTGGCTATCGAGACATTGTGTAACATGCCCTAAATATCTATAAACGACGATTTATTGCATATTAAATCCTACATATTTTTAAATATATTAGAACGATGCATTAGTTAATGCACGAAGACAACAATCGTTGTCGAATATCGTCATGATAGATCAATTTTTTTTTAAAGTCCGACATTTTTAAACTCTTCATACGGAAGAGGCGTTTAAAATTTCTCGTCCAATCTTGACCACATCTTCGAATGTTTATTCGATAATATTGACTGCACATTTGCGTTAAATTAGGACACCAACTTGTATTACATAATACATAGTTTAGTTATTTCTACATTGATACATATCAATGTAAAGATATTGAAATATTTTTTCAGACGCTTACGTTAATCATATAGATTTAGTGCGTTTCATCACAATTATACTGTTCATAAGAACCATCGAGTGTGACATAGCACCGCAAATAAATCGATATACAAAATGGCGGCGTACATGTCCTATATTTTCCCAAGCCTAGAAATTGTTGTATAGGTAAGTCTTCACTGAATATAACGGATATACTTACTGGTCGCCTCTGTCCGAAGTCCCTGGGCTCACTTCCAGGATCCGCGCGCTGGTGGGGAACTCGCCAAAACGGAGGTCGCTCGTACATCGGCATCGTCACACGGTATCAGATCCAGGCAAAACTGACACAAAAATATTCGCATTAAAATTCAGACGCAGTGCAAAAGTATGCTGCACTTGCAGTGAGAGTGCATACTATCACAATCTCTTTATAATCGGCCGTCAGTTACATTTCATAATGCATACACATAGGAACGTAGGTGTTTGGCAACATTCCTGTGCATAAATCACCTGTTCTATGGACAAGGACAGCCGAGCACGGGAAAATACACGTTAGACAGCACGTGGGCGCGGTAGTGGGGATCACAATATAAGGGTGGACTCACCAGAGGGCGCGGGGCGTGGTTACTTGCTCAGAGTCGTTCGAGCAGTGCCGTTTTCTATTATCTCGAATATTTCCGGAGCAACATCAAACTATATCTATTTTTCGCGTAGCGGCGGGCGTCGGATCGACGGCTCGTGCTTACTTCGAGTGATTTACAAGCCGGAGCCGCACGAGCTGTTTCTGGGCCAATACAAAGCTCATACGTAGCTGTACTCACTGTCACTCGGGAGCCGGGAACACTCGACACTAGTTCAATGCTCGCGGCTTCTCTCTGTCTCAAATATCGAGACGTTTCTAGGAGTTGAGGGATTTTTACATGGCAGCGGGATTCGCTAATGACTTTGCGGACGTTGACCCCATATTTATTAGAACCACCAAAAAACAGTTTGAAGTGTGTAGGAACATTATCTGATGTGAATAATTGAGGCTCGTGGTCCTATATGTTGTTGCAACAAAAGAATAAACATATTAAAAAAGTTAATAATTGAGAGTTAAAAATAAAAACGGAGTGACAAAAACGAATTTATTCTTAGTAATCGTTATAACAATAAGTATTTTATATCTTAATAGTTGTGATTCTTATTTTAAAATAAAAATAGATCTAATATAAGACGCTTAATTTGCGACTTACGTTTACAACTTTCCATTTATTATGATAATGAAATAAAAAAGCAATTATTATTATTTATATTAAGCTAATACATTATAAAATTGTGATTTGATGAGATATGAACTTTGCAATGTACTCGTATTATCGTACTCGTAATTACTCGTATTCGTAAAAAAGTTTAAAAATAAATTATTGACCAATAAATAATAATATACAGGTTTCTGTTAAACAAATACTTGATTTCAATTACAATAAACAATAGAAGACGTTGAAGATATTTTGCGTAACATTTATATAAACTCTAGCCTTTATACAACTAAAATATATCTTATTTGACATTTAATAAAGATACTATTTTTACAAATAATTATTTTACAATTCAAGTAACGAAATAATATTTTATATAAATAGCCAACTTATTGCATTAACAAAATACTAGGTATTGAACAAAATTAAAATAAAAAATTGTTAATTAACTAAAGTTCAGTCAAGTCACTTATCCGTAAAAAAATCAGTAACTAAAAATATGTAACTAAAATGACCAGAATAGAAAACTTAAATAAATAAATTATTAATAAAAACATGATTATTTGATTAAAAAAACTACAGATCATTAGGTACTTTAATCCTGTTTCATTTAAATAGTTTTTTGCGCAAGGAAGAAGACAATTTGTGCAATTATTTATTTTTGAATAAACAAAACTATAATTAGCGCAATAGTTGCGCTAAAATAAATTAGAGAATAGCGCAATTCTAGAGCGAATTTAAATGAAAAAACAGAAACCATTACTTTCTTGCTTTTTAAAAAAAGTTTGTTTTCTAAATTATATCCGTTATTATTATTTGTGCGAGAGAACCTTTTTTAATTTCATTAACAGTGCACACGTTTTAAATATAACGTTATTATTAGAAATGGCGAAAAGCATCGTATAATATTTATAATTGGTAAGATAAGAAACATCTATATAGTCCGACTGTTAGAGAATTAGAAAATACTTTTTCGTATAAGAAAAAATCTACTAATTAAATTTTCTGAGATTATTTTCTGTTATTTCTACGTAAATTCCTAATACATTACGTACAGAAGTAATATTTAACTCTTTGTGTGATCCACAAATTGTTATTCCGGGTCGGGGTGAGATATGTATGTGAAATTGTATGTTTATAAACGCACTCACGACGCAAGAGAAAATCCTAGTGTGGATGAGATAATATTTTTAAAAATATAAAAAACATCAGTTATCAGAAAATAATAATTTGAGCCTCTACTTATATTTCCTGAGATTTGGGTATCAATACGTGTCCAATTAATTACCACTAACCTCCAACACAGTTCTACACGTTAGTTATGAATGCTTGCGCATTTCCTCACTTCTTTCTTGCGCCAAAACAATAAAATATGCGCAAGCAACTTTATGCAAAGTGTGCAAGCAACTTTATTGTATTCTGGACTTTCTTTTATATTTCGTTTAATTTAATACAAGATTTAAATTACAATTAAGCATACTTTGGTATAGCACACAATACAATCCAGATTTTTACCAAGCCTATTTCTCAAGTCTATTTTTATTTTTGTCGAAACCTTATTCTAATGTCCATTCTATGACTTTGCGACATTCTTTAGGCACAGTCCGAGTTTTCTTCCTTGCAGTCGTTTCCCTCCGAGACTCAATAGTCAATATTTGTATTTTAGATGAAATGTATAAGAATACCTTTAAAAGTCAAGTATCGCCGGTTTCGTGTCCCTCGCACATTTAATAAGAGAATACATTAATTTCACGAAACCTGTGTCTTTTGGCTTCTCTAAACCACGAAGCAATCTGTTCTTCATAACTGCGACGAATTCCCTGTTGCTGAGTTGGCCGTCCACTGTGGAAATATACTCTTATTATTATCATCATATCAATCTGATTGGTTATAACAATTCTATTTTAGAATACGTGCAGTTGCGGTAACTAACTAACGTCATGTATCTTTCCATACTCTTTTTATTTTCATACATCTCGTCATACAAACACGCGCCTGTTCAGAACAAATCTATAGTCTCTCAACAAAGGACAGGATTTTAAATAACAAATCAATAAGATTTTTTTTATTTTAACATCGCCATTAATGAAACATGCTAAGTGTAGGAGAGCCATACTTCGGCATGCTTGACCGAAGTGATACCCTACGGTCTCACAAAAAACCGGCGTGAAACTACTACAGCGTTATTTTCGCCGAGTGAATGAGTTTAACGGAGGCTCAATCCTTCCCCTCGCCCAATCCCAAAACCTCCAAATCCATATCCTCTCCGTTGTTGCGGGTGTCCATGGGCGGCACTGATTGCTTACCATCAAGTAATCCGTAAATATAGAAAAAATTTAGCTTAAGCATACAAACTTTCAGATTAAAATAAATATACGAACTGTTTTCATCAAATATAGTGAAGACGACATTGATGACATGGGGGTCCAGGTCCACATGAGCTACTGTCCTGGCGACATGGCGTAGAGTTGGCTGGTCTATGGACGCGCCCGCTATGTGGTAAAATGTGAGCGCCGTGTCTACATCATTGATGTTGTTCAAAAAGTGGAAGAACTTCAGATAATCGTCCTTGGTTATACCGACGCCATGGTCGCGGAAACTGGAAAATAATATATTATTTTTCATATAAATTATAATACACATATTTGATTCGAGTACTGTCTTATTCTGTTTTGTGAATGACACAATTTTTTATCTGCACTTTATGCTGCACAAAAAAAAAACAATATACGAAATCATTTTTCATCAATTAGTCTATCATATGTAGGTATATCCTACCAACTCTCTATCAGCAAAATGTTACCCTTGGTTTGATAGAACGTTTATCCAATCTTCTTATATATTAAACTGAATAAGTGTTCGTTAGTTTGCTAGTACTTCGAAATGGCTGAACCAATTTACTTTTACAAAATAGTCCAGGATAAGTTTATTTGTTGTCACTAACAAGTTTTGAAACTACCGTATCTGTAGTACAGATATATCAATACGGTAGTTTCCGACTAGTCAAATTCAATACTTTCATCCAAATGTCCAAAACGATACTTTTCTTTGAAATTTGTATGAAAAACTGAGTTATGACGTCATAGTTTTTTTACGTCAAATAGTTTACTTATTTCTTAAAAATTAGCTAAAAAATATTTAAAATTAAGTGTATCGATCGATCAATGAATAAAAGTGTAGTTATTTTTCAATATTTTATTGAATTAATTTATTTTTGACCTATGAAAGGGTACTTTCATAGGTCAAAAATAAATTAGCCAATATATGCAGAAAGATCGCGGGTATAATAATAAAAATTACAATTTTCTTTTCCATACAAACTGCTCCGTAAGAGACTGATATATAGGCAAACTTTTTGAGGCGGTACGGAGTCCGCACTGTCTCTTAATAATAATTACAAGTCGTGATGATAACTTACGTCTTTTTGACACGTTTTAACATTCGCGCCTTCTTCTTAGCCGGGTAGCCAGCGTAGGCCAATAAAAGTTCCGCAAAGTCCGCCTCAGTTATGCGGCCATTTTCATCTGAAATATTTTTCACGTATAAATAAGTAGAACAGTATTTCTTCTTTTTTCGATAGTAGGATAGAATAGTGGGTAGACGAGAATATAATCTATTATGGTTCAACCAGAATATCGCTCAAATAGTAGCGCTACTAAATACTAGAGAAGTACAGAAACAAGATGGCGTCCACGTTACTACTTACCAGGTTGTTTTCTTTGGAACTCGAGAGATAATATTTCCTTTTGTAGTTGATGCTGGAAGTCTAAGAACTTTTCAATAGTGAGCTTCTGGTTTAGATGAGGTCCGAAGAAGTATGTCGTTAAAGCCGAGTTGATACCCTGTAAAACATAACGTCGTGGGTACTGTGATAGTCGTAGAGACTAATTATATAATTAACCGAGCTTATAAGGCATTAAATGTTAAGAAAAATAGAATCAGTACTAGCGGGCTCTCCCCGAAAATCCTTACATATCAAGTTTCAGCGGAATCGTTAGGCCAGTTGCCGAGATCACATGTTTTTTCAAGCAATCAGCGCCATCTGCCGGGCTGATTTGTGAATCTAAACCATTCAGGGCGCCATTCAAACGCATACAAAAAAAAATAATTTAAATTGACCAAGCCTTTTAGAAGGAGTTCAATGACATACACACGTACCCACAGCAGAATTATATATATAAAAAAGATAATCAGAAAACATTTTTTTGATTAATATACTTATAGGTATTTAGGTTAGACGTTAGTCTTGCTTGAAAATCATATCCACAATACGCTAGGCGTTTAACAAGAGAAAAGGAAAAAAAGAAACGACAACTCGTTACAATATCTAATATTTAAAAACCTTGAAAGTGTTGCCTGTGTTTGCATGATCCCGATGCCTGGATCCAATACTGCTCTGTTGTCTAATAAGAGCCGCAACTTTCTCAAACTCCTCACAGTCCACGTCACCATCACCGTTCAAGTCAAACATACGGAACGCTATTTCAAAATGGCGACGAGATGCTGAAAGGAAAAAAAAATAAGTAACATAAAAAAATAATTAAAATTAATGATTTACTTAATGTTAATGTTCGGAAACGTTGGACATTTTCAAAATGAGCAATTCCGAGAAACAACTATTTTAACTTGTGGTAAGAAAGAAAAACACCTTAACCTTCTTTAAAGTGTGGGAGAGCCATGCTTCGGCACGAATGGGTCGGCTCGACCGGAATAATATCACGGCCTTACAAAAATCACGATGTGATCCACCCCCTTCCCCAATCCCTAAATCCCCAAATCCCTAATCCCCAAAAGGTCAGCAACGTTCTCGTCACTCCTCGGTTCTTATGGTTGTCCATGAGCGGCGTTGATTGCTTACCATCAAGCCGTATGCTCGTTTGCCATCCTATCCCATTAAAAAATTTTCAGTCGGGCCAAAACGTATTTTTCGAGAATTGTGGATTTCACAGGGGTATTGTATTGGTCTGTAAAGGGACATGAATATGGGTACATTTATCTGAACGGCCAAAAGTAGGTACTTTTAGTATTTGTCATCAAATTTTATTTATTTCATCCAACATAAAATTTTCTTTTTTTTATAGACCACAACAAATATCGGCTCGATTAATACGAATTTAGCGCGCAATTTTGCAAAGATTTGTCTTCATGGTGAAATTGACTAATTTTTACATACACACGTACATAACTACGCAGGTACGAAAACTTTTTTATTCAAGTTATTAAAGAGAGTGGGGAAAGAAGGATTTAATGAAATTTTGCATGAAGTTCAGAGGCTGGAGTCTAGAGTAAACAAATAATACATAGATGAGCGGGAAATATTTTTTTGTGTTCATAGATAACCATAATTATTTATACTTTAGTACTTACTAATAATATAATTAGTATAAATAATTATGGTAACTTTGTACATTACTACTTGATCTTTATTTATACTATCTCATTGATAGTCAAATTAAAAAACGAATGCCATTTCGGAAGTTAAAAATCGCGCTGACAGGAAGAAAATCGTTAGATCCGCTCATGCCCCGTGCCGCCCGAGCCAACCCCCACCTCCGTCGGATGCTGCGTGAAGTATCTGTCACACGAATGTCTGCGCACACCAACTGACCACACAAAGGAGTACCGAACCATGTTCATAGCAATTATTAAGGACAGTTCACCTGTACATTTTAGATACACAACTTAAGACCCATCAAAATGGTCCTTCCAGTGAATCGTTTTCGTTCAAGAATAGCAACAAAACTATACATTTGCCTGAGATGCGGAGCAAAGACCGCGGCTCTTTTGTTTTGGGTCTCGCTTTACATGGTAGTTATGAAAATGACTGTTTTTAAAAGCACTGAAGAGACTCCAGTTAAGGACTGGTCTATAATTCCTGACAATTACAGCGTTTGGCAGGTAATGTCACCAATGTGCATTTCTACTTTGTTCCCCGCTCAATGTATGCTAATTGCTAAGTGTAAACAGTTACTGTTGATCTTTTGCAGGGGGCCGTGCCATTAACTAAAGATGATTTAGAAACATCAAAACATGACTTTGTCACGTGGCCTGAGGTAGATAATAATACAATTATAGAATTGAAGAATCGCTCAGAAACAGTGTACAAAGTCTGTCGTCAAAGAAATCTTCTCTCACAAAAAGTGAACGCTAAAGAATTTTATGTGGATCACAACCATAGCTTTGTTTGGTGCAACATTTTCAAAGCTGCCAGCTCTACTTGGATGTATTATATGAATATTTTAGGTAATCATTTCGAAGCGGTTGTTTAAAACAATTTAATATAGATTTATGTGATCGAATTTTGTAACGCCTTTTCTGTTACAGGCGGATATAAGAAAAAGTTTTTGGAACGAACTAAGAAAATACCCCTAATATTAGCAAGAAAAAAGTTTCCTCGTCCTCAAATAAAAGAACTAACAGAAGCTATGCATGAACCTGGCGTTTTGTCGCTTTTAATTGTGCGAGAGCCTTTTGTAAGGTTACTATCAGCCTATCGTGACAAACTGGAGATCAACCAGTTAGGGAGAATAAAGCCGTACTACAGGAAATTAGCAAGGACGATAATTTCAAAGTACAGAAAGAAAGAGGCGCAAGAAAAGGGAAAATCTAAAATAGTTGGCCCAACGTTTCGCGAGTTCGTTCAGTACTTGATAGACGAGTATCACCCGGGGTACACGTTTGACGAACACTGGGCTCCGTACTACACGTTTTGTTCACCATGCGCCGTCAATTTTACTGTGATAGCGAAAGTAGAAACGCTGACTAAAGATTCAATGTATGTGATACAGAAACTGAATCTCGGCCCTGTGTTAAACATAAAGGCTGGCGAGCGTAAGAGAAGACATCGCGGTTTAATGAATACATCCCGTGACGGCAAGAACACGACATCTTTGTTAATGCATTATTATAGTCAACTTGACGAAAACATGTTGGATAATTTGTTAGAAATATACGGTATAGACTTCGAAATGTTCGGATATGATGCGAGTATTTATAGACGTTATGTTCAAAAATAAAAGTTCTATTACATCGGTTATCAACTACTCTTTTTTTATTAAGTGTCTTTCTTGGCTTCCATTGTATAATAGTCGTTAATTTTATTATCAAGCAAAATGGCTTCGTTGTACTTATGTAATTAAGTTACGTAAAAGATTAAACTTTAATTATTCGTTAGGATAGATTAGACATTGTAGTTTGAGTGTAAGGGTGAAACATAATTCCACTAAAATTTTGTCCCTCTAACAGAAGAAGAGAAAAAAAAAGAAGAGAAGGTGAGGTTAAGTAAGACGTAGGATCTAAATCTCTGGAATGTGAAACTCGTAATTCCTCTGGTGTTACGGGTATCCATAGATGGCGCCGATTGCTTCCCATCAGGCAATCCGTCTGCTCGTTTGTCAAACTCAAATTAAGCAGCAAGCAAACATTAAATACATAGGTAGTTATCAGGTTAATCATTGGATAACATCGGCTAGAAATTTTTCACGGGATCAAATATTCTAAAAGTACCGTTATTGGCGAAAAAAACAAAATAATTTATTACGACTTACTTGACAATACCGTCAGAAGAAATATGTAGTCACTGAACGTAATGAGGCCGGAAGAGCCGAGTTTATAGAAAATCGAATCTTCGTCCAAGTCGAGGTTGAGACGTTGACTGATGCTCTGTCAGGTAAATATTAAGTAGTTAGTAAAAAGGTGTAAAAATGAAAAAAAAATGAACAGCTAAAAATCTAAATGCTTTCAAAAATAAGTACAAAAAAGTGTAGTCTAATAGGCAATATACCTAATTATTCTTAGTTGCCAATTACGAATTCATTCAATTTATCAATAATGTTCGAAAAATCTAATGTAGAAATGTAGACTAGAAAAAAAATCGAGTAAAAAATTAGGAAAATACTAGGTAAATGAAAAACTTCAACAAAAAACAGCTATGGCTACGGCTTAAAAAAGGAACTCTAGATTAATGTTGCAATAAAGAAAATAATAGAATCTCAGCATGCCATGGAAAAAATGGTGAGAATGCAATTTTTTTGCAGGATCTAAGACCCAGTAGCTTGAAGTATTTAGCTTAAATAGCGCTCAGCTTAGGTCTTTAGCAGATAAAACAGAGTAAAAAGATCCTCCTAAAATCTAAAAGAAGTGGTCTAGACTAGATTGAGACACGATGTGGCCAATGATAGGGACATGAATAAATCAAGAGTGTGCACTTGAAATAAATAAAAACGTTACGAAGTTGACAGTAGTAGAGAAATAAGAAGAGGAGAAAGACAGTACCTCATCGATGTTCTGAAAAGACAAGAAAGTGATGTGAGTGGCTGAGAAGACAGTGCCAACAGTGCATGTGTCCAATGACAGTTAGGTTGCTATCAAGCGAAAGGTACTAAACAACATTGTGATTGGGTAATGTGTTCCTAAGACTGGGTAGTGAGAACAATAATACAGAAAATATTAAGTTATTAAATACTTTTTGTAAACTTTCTTTATTCTTCTTGAAGAGTATCTGCTCCCTCTATAATATAAAGAAATCTTCTATAACAGTGCTATTCTATAATAATTTTGCAATTATAGTACAATTTCATAATATTAGTTTAGTAGATGTTAGAGAGTGAAAACATTAAGTTGAATAAGTGCAAGTACACATATTTAATGATGGTTATTTTATAATCTTCAAGGTATACTGGTTTTACAAACATATTGCATTTTTATGTACATACACGAGACTTCGGTTAAATTAAAATTAATACAGACTAAAAGAAATGATACTCACTTTAGGGTCATATCTTCTATACTGGTCCAGCCCCAAACCTGATAAAAATAAATAATGATTAATTCAAATACAAAACTAAAATGGACAGATCTAAGTGATATATGTATATCATTTTCATCAGCAGATTTTCCTATTATACATATACTATTTCTTACATATTCTATTTTCTTTTGTATAAATATGAAAGTATTGCCTATAAAATACTATGTTTTTATATTTATTTGACTTTACCATCTGGTTGCTTGACACCAGGTGTCATGGAGCGCAGAAAGTCATCCGGTGTCATGAATATCTCATGCTGGTCATGATGCTGTGCCTGTAGAGTGGCAAAGTATCGGAACACTTTGTCTGGTGTGGAATACTGGCGCATACGGTTCTCATACTCAATAATCTATCCAGCAGCGTCCAGAGAATAGAAATGATATTGTTACACAATAATTTTATACATTTCAGTTATAATATTGTAAATAAAAAAGACTTTCATTTTAAATGAGTAATTAATGTTAGGACTAATTAGGTATTAATACTAACATAATTTAATGTGCAGTTTACAAAATTAAATCTGCCAGACTTCAAATCATCAACATACTTATATGTATAGAAATTAGATTATTTATAAATGCTAACATGAGGAATTTTTTGATTCAAAGTACAGTAAACAAAACTTCCAGAATTTTAAGGATTAACTTATAGATTTCGGTATTTTCGGTCACATTTAATTTCTTGCTTCGAAATCATAAGCATAACTTGTGCTAAATCCAAACTAATATTATAAATGCGAAAGTAACTGTCTGTTTTTTCTTCACACCTAAACTACTGAACCAATCTATGTCAAATTTGGTTTTGGTACAGATGTAGTTTGGAACTCGAGAAAGGACATAGGATATACCAAAAATCTGCAGGAAGTCACTATTCCACGCATACAGAGTCATGGGCTAAGGCTAGTAAATACATAGAAAAACAAACAACTGTTTTGGTGATAAATCAAAATAAAGAAAATATATTAAACCTTACAAAAGTAAAATAAAATAATTTAAAAATTAAAAATAAATACCATCAGGCTGTTTCATGCCAGGTGTAATAGCTCTTAAAAAGTCATCAGGAGTCATATATATCTCTGTGTGTTCACCAAGACTCAATTTCACTGTGGCAAAGTACCTAAATATTTTATCAGGGGTTGAGTATGACCTCATACGATTTTCATATTCAATAATCTGTTGTGAAAAAAAAATAAAAGATATGATAATGGGCAAATCAAAACACAAATGGGTTAAAAATTGGTGGCTGTTTTACCTTTCTATCGCGGAACCCAATTTTTTCTTTTCTATATCTCTTCTTTTTAGTGTCAACTTCACTGTCAGATTCATTTTCAGAAATTTCCTCTGCAGCATTTATTGATGGCAATACCTGGTGTTGTGCCCTACAATTATTTTTATCAATTAAAAGACACATATTGAATAAGCCACTCTCCATAGGGGTGTGAAAAAATTACAAAGTCCAGAATCATAATGTGTAAATTATATGTATTTTATAGCAAAAGAAGTTTCCTATTGAAACATGAATTAATGATGAGTGCCAAACTTAAATATCTTAATTAATTAGTTATGTATTCTATTCTATATATTCTATATCCTTAATGTATTAAATTTAAGTTTGACAGCTTATTTATAAGTATTGTGCAGGTTTATAGTCAAAGATATTCTCTCATTCAACTAAAAAAGTAATCAAAACAAACAAAGTATTTACAATGATAAGCCCTGATGAAAAGAGATTTGAAAAGGGCACAGTAAAAACAGTATCGACACACATCTACTAAAATAAATATTGTGATTTTAGTGTATAATAAAGCCAAACTAAACTTACCAGTACTTGTATGAGACATAAGCTGATGCGCCGAATAATACAGCCAAGCCAAAATGCTTGTACGAATATTTACCCCCGTGCTGCTTATAATTTCTATCCGTAAAATAATATTTCCTCTGTAAATCGAATGTACTATTAGCTGTTACTGCCAGAACTTTAGATGTTGGGTTACACGAAACTTTACGTAGTGCAGCGAATTCCAATGGAAATTTTAACAGGCGACAAGAAAGGCTACACATTTTGGTATTATATTAAAAATATACTGAAAAACAATTTTCTGAATAAAAATAACTTTTTCCGTATTTCCGACTTCAGCTGTTCAACATTTTGACAATTACTGACAGTTGACGTTCTCAGTCTGGGTGACACTATCGAGAGTCCCGTCAGAAGAAAAGTTTTGCTATATAGATAAGGACTAAAATATATGCCTATTTCAAATAAAACTTAAAATATCGTTTACATTCGAATTATTTAATCAACATAAATAATAACACTCATCAAAATGTAAATCAGACGTAGACAGAGAAACCAGATTATTGTGCTGTTGATTAGTCTGTGGTATAAGATTGCTTGATCAACTGTCACTGTCAGGAACGATTGGCTATCAGCTGTCTGTGATCTGTCAATAATTAGTTCGTAACGTGCCTGTAAAAAAAGGGAATCTGTCGAAGAAAAAGCATAATAATAAAATCTCAGAAAAGGAATAGAATAAAAATGAATACAAAGGTTCTTTTAAACTTAAAATCTTCTATAGTTAATTTATGTATGAAAAGCTACTTACATAATAATGTAGCTAGCGTTACAAAGATACACAGAGATCTGTACACAAGAATGTATCCTACTAAAGTTGTTTTACCTGACGGAGCTTCAATTAACATAAGATACCATGAACCCCGGAAAATTATAAAGGTAGTTTAATTTGTAATATGTATATATTTGACAATATAACTTTATTTTCTTTCAGGATTTGCATTGAAGTTGCTAATAAAATTAGTAGTACAAGAAATGATGGTTAAGAAGGTCCTTAAATGTTTTATTGTAAAATAATAAATACTTGTTTGAACTATCCTGTCCTAAAACAAGAATTACGTCCTTTCATGTCACTTTGTTGAGAAGTAGCTGACATCTTCATACATAACCTTATTTTATGCAACTAAAATAATTTGTTGGGCAAATCATTTAGTCAATGAATGTGAATATATATTACACTTGTATTTAATTTATCCTTTCAATCGTGGAAATTTGAGACACAATAGTAAGACAATAGGTGTGGGAATGCCTGTGTTTGCCTGGGGTTTGATGTATTAAGTATTTTTTTAACCAAGAAACCTAAGAAAGTGTTTAATATGCCATAATTTTTTTTGCAGCTTCCCATAGATTTATCCAAATTATCTGAAGAGGAGAGGAAGTTAAGATTAGAGAAGAGAAAGCCAAAGAAGAAAGTCAAAATTGTTGATGATATTGATGATGACTACAATGCAAAGAAATATTTAAAATATATCAAGAAAAAGTAATTTAAGTATGTGATGTAAAGTTAGAGTATTGTTAGAAAATAGCATAAATTAAAAATGTTTACATGAAACATCCTTTTTTCCTTTGCTAGTACTAGTTGCATCCAAAAATATTTAGTCTTCACTTACACTTAGTAATAAGTGTTTTATTATAGTCTCAAATATGATCTTGTTATCTAAGAGCTAGCTCATGCATGAGTTTTGCGGTAATGGATCCCTTATCTGATTTTCAGAACCGAATATTTAAATATGCTATTCTAGACTATTTACTTTGGGGATAGAATATGACTATGATTTTAGACATTTTAAAAGGGCTGAAGCAAGATTTTTAATAATGTTCCAATCTATAATATTTCAAATACTTTAAAAGGGGAGTGGAAGTTTGGAGGAGGAGGAGTCCCACACTGATTTCGACTAATAGTCCCACACTGATTGCGACTCATAGTCCCACACTGATTTCGACTAATAGTCCCACACTGATTTCACTAATAGTCCCACACTAATTTCACTAATAGTCCCACACTGATTTCGATTAATAGTCCCACACTGATTTCGACTAATAGTCCCACACTGATTTTGACTAATAGTCCCACATTTATTTCGACTTACAGTCTTACTATAATTTTAGTTTTCTATCTAGAAAAAATGCGGAATATTCCATACAAACTTCTACCCCATTTTAAGGAAAATGTAGATAGCAAAATTATATGTGTCCGTCTCGTGTAAACTAGTTCTGTTATTCCTGAGTTACAAATAGTCTAACTAACCCTACATTATTTTATATAAATGTGTAGATGTGGATGATCTCCATTTGGAATCCTACTTCTATTATAATCGTGAAAGTTTGTGAGAATGTACCTATAGTTGCATGTTTGATAATCTTTCACGCTAGTTGAGGTAGGTGAGCGTAATACCCTGAATTAACAAAAAGGCTCTTTATCGTTAAAAATTGTTTCCATCTGATATTTTCAATGGCTTGTGATACCTAAGTACAAATGCGGTTACAAATATACAATTTCACATACACATGACACCCAGACTCGGGCCAGTAATTTGTAGATCACACAAAGAGTTGCTCCGTGCAGGAATTGAACCCACGACACCGTAGACAGATGCGACATCAACAACTGTGCAGTCAACTCTATGTTACGCCCTGTTACGCCGTCGACTCTACCTACGGTAAATTTCAGTCAGTCTGTGGTACAACCAGTTTTAATCGGTTATAATAATGTACTCTGTGGTTACAACTATGCTCTATGTCTTTCTTTAGTTTATGGTTTTAGTTTCTGTCAGTGGTTGAAGGAGAGTGATCGGTGTCCGTGAAAAGAGAGATAATAAAGCTCAAAGAATATAATTATAATAGTTTCGATATTCTTTCAAATTTGACTACTATTTACAGTAACAACAAGTAGTTACTGTTGTCTTAACACACAAAAATAATGTTTTGGTTAACCTATTAAAATACACTTACGTAAGACGAAACAGTAATAAAATGGGTAATTCTGTATCAGCTGAGGCTGGTGTGAATTTGCCAAACATTGGTAATTCAAATCCACCACCGGAATGTCCTATGCACCAGAAAACCGAGCCAAAAGCTGCAGAAACCAAACGACCATCCGAATGTCCAGTTCAGCATGGAAAAGACAGCGATGTCAATCCCTATAACATGGTAAGTGTCAAGGCTAAACCTAAATACTATCTACATTCTAGACCGCCTCAGAAAAGTAGCTTAATCTAAAAATACCACATTGACCGTGTTTTAAAATAAAATAACCTTCAAATGTATTGTATCATTATGTATTATAAATACCACATGTTGTTTATCAGTCCAGATAGTTAACTGATTAGCTATTACTTAGAACCATTGATTTTTACTCAAACTTAGTAGCAGTACTGAATGGATCAATAAAATAATCAATGTACAAGAAGACCTAAGAAGACAAAATCTGAGTTTATTGAAAAGTTAACTTGAAATGTCAAGATCCCTGACTATTGAGTAAGGCTGATAATAAAATTCTATTAGTAGTCATATAAATCACCAGCAGTGAAGACTACTCATTACTTATTGATAATGAATATTCAGCTATCTTATTAATTGTTATTTTTTTTAATCCAGATGCCACCGGCAAACCAACAGCCTGCTCCAGATCAGCCATTTGAACTCCCTACTCAACGCCAAGTATCCTCAATTCCACGTGCTATGCCTGATGGATCTACTGAATTCTGGGTGTATCCAAGCCAACAAATGTTCTGGAATGCTATGTTGCGTAAAGGTTGGCGTTGGAAGAACGAGGACATCAAACAGAAAGATATGGAAGACATAATTAAAATACATAATGCTAATAATGAACAGGTAAATTACTAATATTGGTCAGAAACTTATATTTGTAATATATGTGTAAAACTATACTTAAGTCAACATTAATTTTTAATGATTATTGACTACAACAAAAAAATAAAATTTAATTATAGTTGTTATTTTATCAACATTTTGTCCATAGGCTTGGCAGGAGGTCTTGAAGTGGGAAGCGCTACATGCCAAAGAGTGTGGTCACCCAAGACTCAAGAGCTTTGGAGGTAAAGCTTCAGATTACAGTCCAAGGGCTCGCATTAGGCACTGGCTTGGGTATGTATAAAAAGTTGTATAATTGATAAATAAATAAGTTTTCACAATAACTTTTAGTTAATTTTTGTTGTTTTATTTTCAGATATGAATTGCCCTTTGACAGACATGACTGGATTGTTGACCGATGTGGAAAAGAGGTCCGTTATGTTATTGATTACTATGATGGTGGTGAAGTTGACAACCAGTACCAGTTTGCACTGCTTGATGTCAGACCTGCTCTTGATTCTTTTGAAAATGCTTGGGACAGAATGAAAGTTATGTATATGAGATATCGCTATGAACTTATTGGTTCAAAAGAAAATACAAAGTTAACTAATTAGATGTAGTACATTATCATGTGTGTTGCATGTACTTATTACTATTAAAGTATTTATTTTACTGTGGGGTTCTTCTGTCGACAAGAGTTTGTCACTGTGGAAACTCTTTGTGATTAAATTTTATTTAAAAATAAAATTCACAGTTACATACCTGTTGTCTAAATTTGGACTTCATAAAAATGCAAGATATGAATTAGAAGTATTCAGTATACACTTTAGTGATTCAAAAACTATCTATAGGCTAGAATACCCACATAAACAATGTAGGTAATTTAAAAAAAGTTATATAGTTATATACTTCAGGTAAAATTGCTTACTTAAAGAATATTGTAGATACTATTTCTTAGAAAGTTATCATAAACTTTGCTAAGAATAACACCTGTATGGATACAAAGTATTAATAAGGTTTTAAACAATAAAAGCCATAAAATATATGAAGATCTTTTATTTTATGTTTATTTACATCATAACCTCTGCTTAGTTAAAGACAATTTGAATTGTCTAACAAAAATAAGTTGTATCATCTTCTTCTTGCAAATAGAAGAAATTAGTATAAGTTTATGAGTAAGTCATTAGAAGTTTGGTTATTGAACAAGAGTTGTAACATAAAGAACTGTGACCAAAACAAATATTAATCTTATCACTCAATATCACATATTAACCTAAACTAGTTGTCTAAGGAAACATGTTGATCTCTTGGGTACAGACCCAAACACTCATTCTTGAAGATTTCAACCTGCTGTTCAATATAAGCCTCGAATTTTTTATATGGACAGCCTGTGAGTATTTTGTAAACTGGCTTTCCTTTGTTGCAGTGGTAAATAGATCTTAATGCCAATACTGGAGGTTTTTCTGGAAACTTTGCACCTGAAAAGTTTAGTAATATTTAATAAGAAATTTATATCATGTTTCCCAAAACATATGGGCAGCAATTATCTGATCAGGAAACCATGATCAAGAACCCATACTGTTCTCAATCAATGAGGCAGTCATTCATTTGATTTAGGTCATTAGGATTTATCATAATGAGGACCATAAAAGTTCTAAGTATAATAATATGAAGATAAAATAACCAAAAACTGTAACACTAATTGTTACAGTTTCCTATTTTGGTTATTTAAATTTGGTTAATGCAATAAGGACTAAATAGTATATAAGACATACATACCAATATCTATTTGTAAGATCCAGTGGTAATTATTCATTTCAAACAAGAATGCTGCACTGTTAGCATCATGTTCTAGGACAGCACCTTCATATTTAACTATAAGCTGTGCCAGCAAATCCCGTTTCAATTTCTCATTGTCCAGTAAATCATTTATCTGAAAAGTTTTTTGGTTAGTGGAATATGTAAAGCAAACAAAGGTGTTTAATGAAAGTATAATAATATTTTATGTGTTTTTTATTTTACCTTATTATTTAACAGTTCTGTTACCATTGGAACATAGTCCATTAAAACCCCTGACTGATGCATCCTGAAACATTGTTTTAAAATATTATATGTGTATTTTTTTCACTTTAATTTTTCTTACCTAACATTATAGTAATTATTGTTTCTTCAGCATAAAAAATTTGCATGGTGATAATTAAATGGTAGTTGGTCACACACCCATACTTACGTGGGTAATGTTATATTTCCAAGTGACTTAGTTAGAGTGGGTGAGAGTATTAATTCAGCATTTGTTGAGTTGGGATATCTGACTAACAACAATGCTGTGTCAATACCAGGGTTCTTTTCCGTTCTGAAAATTAAAATGTTATGTGACTCTTTTTTGGATTTATATTTTAACAGCAGTCAAGTGGTGAGAATTTCAAGTTTCAAAATTTGTTCTTTTTTAATACCTTAATAATAATAAATTGAGAAAAGCTCTACTAGTTTCAAGTGAGAATGGGACTCATATTCATGAGCAGCATGCATGTTGCGGCAACTTCGATGGATGTGCTGTTGTATGGTTGCTGCATGAATTGAAACTAGTGGAGTCAGTCAGTAAACTCACGTAAGTTGCATTTCTAAATAAATACTCTTCATACAGTAATTGTCAACTTACCCATCACTATACACTTCTGGCAATCTGGATGTATCAACATTGAGTCGGATCAAAAATTCAACAACATGGCCACCAACCCATACTTCTATATCATTTTCAGATGTTAATGAATCTCCAAGTAGGGCACTGTATTCAAAATATGCCCTAGAACTGTCATCTTCATTTAGTTTCTTTATCTGAAAATATAGTTTTTTTGTAAGTGAAATACAGTAGGTACTTATATTTTTAAGTATTCCATAACTCAGAAAGTTTTATAGATAGTTCCCTTACTTGATGAAGTTTGTAAAGACTGATGAGTTCGGAAATAACATCACTGAGTGCTTTTGGATCATTTTCATTCCATTTAGAAAGAGAGGGCACTTTTTCTTCTAGAAATGTCTCATCTACATTCATAAGGAAACTCTCATCATCAAACCTGAAATCAGGCGCGAACCATGGTGCAGTGCTATCAAATATAATCTCCCATTTTAGTTTCTTGGAACAATATGGCAAAACTATTCGGATCTGACAATCGCCACCTTCTGAACGCACTGATACTCTTTCAAAGTCAACCTTGGTCTTGCATAAACCTATAAATTTTATGAACTTTTATTGACTGCAACAGAAAGTCATACATTGCTTTTAGAATCACACAACAGGTACCCACCAAGCTGCAAATCTTGGTATACATTTTGAATGTAAGGACGAAAAACTGGAGCTAAATCATTCAATACTCCATAACTATCTGAAGCCATAGTAAAATCTAAACACCTCTGTATGTGTTTAATAAGGAATAGATACGAGATAGGAACCGAAAAACGATTGTATCGTTAAATTCTTAGAGTAAACTGTCTTTGCCTTTGGCTACAATTCCAATCAATTTATTTGCACACTAATAACATAGGAATTATTCAAAGCCATTAATGAAAATTTAAATCAATAAGTAAACTGCAAAAAACTCTCTTTAAAAGAACCAAAACTATACTCGGTGTAAGTGTCAAGTCTGCCAAATGTTATTGTGACACATTGAAATCAAATGGTGAAATGCTGCATTCGGAAATGTAGGTAGGTACCTACCTATTCCGGTAGCAGTAATTCAACGATTAAATATTTAGAAAAATACTTTTCACTTATTGGCGTTATCTTATTATTAATCAATCTTTAGACATTGATCTGAAAACCAGGCAAAACATTATTTTGAAAATTTTACATTTTAATTTTACATACATTTTTTGTTTTTTATTGGCTTGATGAAATTCTGAAGTTACTTTAATTTCAAAAGGAGACTAAATGAGTAATAGTCCTATCCTCAAAATAATGCGCTTCTTATAATAATCGTATATACCTTGCGTAGTTGCGTAGTCCCTAGCCCATCCCTACAACTGTCATTTGTTTTTGTCGCCAGTCCCTACTCGTCAGTGATTTGATTGACGGACGGACATTGTGATTTTGCTGAACAAGGACAGGACAATACTTCAGCGTTTTTCGTTTTAACGACTTTTGGCTCTCAGTGCTTTCGTTGCTGTTATTTCAAATTTCTATAGGCTTAAGTAGACATATTTAGTGCTTACAATTGCGTGGCGTAGTAATATGAAAAATATGTATTCGTCTGCACAGAACAACATTTCGGATCTACTCAAATTAGCCAAAAAATTCAACTGTTTTTATCTATCAGGTATGTGATTGAATTATGTATAATTTGTGACTTAATTGTAGACGAACTTAAATGAATGTTTCGGCGGTCTACTGCGTGTTTGTAATAACAAGCTGCCGAAGAAGCTACTTGCACTGTTTGCTTACATATTTATTTTGCATTGTTTAAGGCTTGCATCAGGGAGTATGCAAACCATTTATTGTTGCCGGATATCAAGTGGGCCTGATTCGTCCTGATGTAATGAAGTATTTAATTCGATTTCCAGAGGTTTGTACTTACGTTATAATATTATTGTATTCAATAGGGACACATTCCAATAAGAATATAATTGAATATGTATGATTAGTATTAAATTTTTATGATGAAATACACTTGGTACACATTACTATAATCCAATAGATGTGATATCATAACTTAACCTCAACCTGAACACATACTGAAAATCTATACAAATAATATATGAAAATAACCTATTAACTGATTTAAATTTTGAAATTACTACATTCTTATGATATATTTAAGTATTGTGCACCACATGACACAGAATCTAGTTATAACTAACAAACTCTATCATTTACAGGTGTTCAGGATCACAGGCAAGTATGTAGAGCTGAACCCAGCATTCAGAGACTACAAAGAAAGAACAACAAAGGTAGCTGATGTGTTGCAGAGCTTGAGAAAAGAAAATGATATATGTGCATTGAAAGGCTGGAGAGATGAGGTTAGCAATACTTGTTTCAACAACAAAAAGTGTTAGACATTTACCTATTCAAGTATTAAACTGGATAAATCAATTTAGGGCCTGTTTTAGAATATTTTTTTTACAATATCTTAATAGCAAATATAATTATTGAAAACAGAACATACTCCATGTGTTAAGAAAGCTATCAGTTGCAAACCATAACTAGTTTTGGAAGGGAAAATAGAACACTAACCACATATGTATTAGGTATTTGTACAACGTCCCAAAAATATCTCCCAAGAGAAATAAAACACTCGTGTCCAGAGTAAGACAATTTATTGCACATAAAACTGCAGAGGTAGTGTATCGACGGAGAATCTTAACACCGCGATGTAAAATGATGACGTATCGGTACAGCGTCATCTGTTATCGAATTGTGGTACTACCGGTAAAACATTGTTGACATTGTCGTATATAAGTGATGTAAACAGAATAGACATTCCGCCCACCATGGACGGCACTGTCCATCAACCAAAACATGACAATATTAACTTAAATTAATTTGGTTTTAACAATGCATAAAGATCTAAACTAAAGCCTTACTAAACTAAAGTCTACAATACAAGAACATACTTTATGTAACACAAATGCAATAAACAACAAAAATAAAACAAGTGAAATATACAGGTTCATCCCTTATGTACTAAACATACAAAAACAACAGTAAAAACAAGTAAACGATACAATATCATTCAAGTAGATTCACAAACAGTGCATAAGTAAGGCAAAATAAACTATGTAAACTTCAACAATAGGGTGATAAACAAAAATTAAGTAGTTACAAGTAACATAATTAATTTAGATACGGGTCTTTTAATCTCACTATTTTTACACCGTATTGTTACAACGCGAGTAATATTGTCCAAACCTGGATGCTTATTTGTAACGATACCGTATAGCCATCGAGCAGGTGGAAGCCCATCTTCCTTCACCAGAACTACGTCTCCAATCTCAGGTTCAGGCTTACAATTCGTCCATTTATATCGGTGTTGCAATTGAGTTAAGTATTCCAGTGACCATCTACGCCAGAAATTTTGAAGCATTTTCTGTGTAAGATGCCACCGCTTCAGATTACTAACAGACGAATTTTCATAATTAATATCGGGTACCGTTACCAGAGGTTCACCCACGAGAAAGTGCCCAGGCGTCAATGGACACGCGTCCTCTGGATTGTTAGAAAGCTGACAGATAGGCCTCGAGTTTAGGCAGGCCTCAATTTGAGCCAGCACCGTTGTCATTTCTTCAAAGGTCAATGTGCTGGTGCCTATAATTCTTTTTAAATGGTACTTCGTGGACTTGACACCCGCCTCCCACAATCCTCCAAAGTTTGGAGCATGGGGAGGTATGAAATGCCAAGTCGTACCATTCATAGACAGGAAATCAGCTATTTCCGGAGCTACCATAGACCTTTCAGCGTTGAATAATTGTCGCAATTCTTTCGCACTACCAACAAATGTGATCCCGTTATCACTCCACAAGTCCAATACTCGGCCACGTCTGGCTACAAAACGCTTAAAAGACGCTAGAAAACTCTGAGAAGTCATGTCGCTGACAACCTCGAGGTGTATAGCCCGAGTGGACATGCAGACAAATAAGCATATATAAGCTTTGGTAGAGTGATGACCACGACCTTTAGAGCTTCGGACGCTGATTGGACCAGCGTAATCTACACCACTGCATTGAAAAGGCTTCTGAACAGACACCCTGGACTTCGGCAACTGACCCATCATTGGTTGATGTGTTTGTGTGCAATGTCGAATACAAGTTACACACTTATGAACGTGTTGCCTAACGAGAGTCTTTGCATTGAGTATCCAGTATTTGGATCTTAAGTAATTTAGCATCAATTGCGGCCCGCCATGCAAAGTTCTCTCGTGAGCCTCTGCAATCAAAAGATTGGTAAAGTGTGATTTGTGAGGAATCAAAATGGGATGCTTCATATTATCATCAATAGAAGCGCGGTGCAAGCGGCCGCCAACTCTTAAAATGCCGTCATCGTCGAGAAAAGGGCTCAACGAGGTAAGTTTACTATTCTTCTTTAATTTACGGTTCTTCTTTACAGATTCTATTTCAACACTAAACGACTGGAGTTGGCAGAGTTTGACACAGGTAAGTACAGCTTCATTTAATTCCTTTGTAGTTAGCCAAGTAGTTATTTTAATTCTATTACACTCTAATTCTTTCATTCGTAGAAACCTTCTACAATAAGCTATTACTCTTACTAACCTACTGAACTTAGAAAATCTAGTTAATAGACTATCATCAAATTGTACTGCAGTTGCATGACACTTTGTTTTTATCTTTCTTTCTTCTAACGTAGTTCCTTGTATATTTGCTCTATTATAGTCTATTTTTTCATTCTGTAACCATACTGGACCCTTTTTCCAGAGTTGCAGGTCATTACATTCAGAAGGACTAACCCCCCGAGATGCGCAATCTGCTGGATTTTCCGACGACACCACATGTGACCACTGACTTCTATCCATAATGGTAAGTATTTCGGAAACACGATTCGCGATGAACGTTTTCCACCGACTAGGGTGGCTGCTTAACCACGCCAATACGACGGATGAGTCAGTCCACGCATATAAGTGCTGCTTGGGAACTTCTAGAGTTGTAGCGACTTCCTCAAGAAGTTTTGCAAGCAAGACAGCTCCACAGAGCTCTAAACGAGGGATTGATACCTGCTTAACAGGAGCAACCTTAGTTTTTGCAGTCACCAAGGTTGTATGAATGTGTCCTTCTCTGTCAATGATGCGAACGTATACCACCGCGGCGTATGCTACATTGGATGCATCTGAGAAGCCATGCAATTCTAAAACTCTGTTGTCTTTGCTAGAGTTGATCCAACGAGGCAGACGAAACTTCACAAGGTTACGAAGGTTTTCCCGAAAGTCAAGCCATTCTTTCAGCAATGGTGCAGGTAGTTCCGCATCCCATTCGATCCCAGTCATCCATATTCGTTGAATGAACACCTTCGCAGTGATGATTGTCGGTGCTAACCATCCAAGGGGATCGAATAGTCGTGCTATGTCCGAAATAACCTTACGCTTCGTAACTGGTAAATCTAGCTCATTAAGTTGAATAGTGTAAACGAACTCGTCATTGTCTTTGTCCCACGTTAAACCTAATATTTTCGAAATAGCATCAGTTTTTAATTCCATGTTCCCTTGTGTTTGTGATATATGTTGACCGTCTTCAATTAATTTCGATAATTCTTTGTTGTTACTAGCCCACTTTTGAAGCTGAAACCCTCCACGTTTAAGTAACTCAGTTATCTGCTTATATATTTCTACTCCCTCATCTATGGTTTGACAGCCTGTCATGAGGTCATCCATGTAGAAGTCTGAAAGAACCCGGTTTTTTGCTAAAGGGAATTCAGCGCCTTCGTCCTGAGCTAACTGCTGCAGTGATCTTACTGCCAGGTAAGGTGCCGATGATGTTCCAAAAGTTACTCGCAAATGACGTAACACCTGAATTTCGTCATCTGGATTCTCCCGCCATAATATGCGCTGAAAATCTGTGTGATCATCGCATACCCTAACCTGCCTATACATCTTAACGATGTCCGCGACCAGACAGATAGGTTCACGACGCCACCGCATGATAATATGACGAAGATCAAGTTGTAGACGAGGACCCACCATTAAATCGTGATTAAGAGACACTCCGTTGCTGCCTACACATGATGCATCAAACACAATGCGCAACTTTGTTGTACTCTTGTCGTTTCGAATGACGGCATGATGAGGTAGGTACACAGCACTTTCTTTGTCCCTATCCTGTACTATATCCATATGATGAAGATCTATGTACTCCTTGATAACAGCTGAATACTGAGCCTTGAAGTCTGGATTCCTTAGAAATCGCTTTTCTAAGGTTAAAAAGCGTTTGAGAGCGACGTCCTTTGATCCCCCATATTTACAAGCAGGATCACTTGACCTGAAGGGCATGTGCACAATATAGCGACCAGATTCATCTCGTTTAGTCGTGCTCTTGAATATCTCTTCGCACTTCTGCTCTTCTGGGGTCAAGTACGTCTTACCGTTAAGAACTTTGGGCTCAGCTTCTAGCTCCCAGAATTTTTTAAGGAGTGTATTTTCATCTGTGAGAGTAGAATGCAGTGTGACGACGGTGTTGTGGCATGTTTCGCTTTGGTTGATTTCACCTACTTGACCAGATAAGATCCATCCTAGTCTTGTGTTTTGTGCGATGAGTTGACTGGATGAACCTTTGAATAACCCTTCTAACAAAATCTGGCTATAAACTTCGGCGCCTAAAAGCAAATCAATCTTGTTCGGCGTATCGAACGAAGGATCTGCTAAAGCCAAAGACGAAATTGTGGTTAAAACGTTTGCCATAACCTTCCTTTCTGGTAAAATAGTCGTTAATTTCTTTAAAACATAAGCCTTAACCGTGATAATAAAACTAGGGTCAATGCGTGATTTAACCTTAATGAGAACCATCGAATTTAGTGAAATTGATGATTTCTCTTGATCACAACCTATACCTGAAATTGAACCCTTAGTTGGTATTCTTTTAAGACCTAAGAGCTGGACTGCAGACTCCGTCACAAAAGAAGCCTGAGATCCCTGGTCTAACAGGGATCTTAACACTATAGCAGTACCGCTCTTTGATTCCGCCACAATCAGTGCAGTAGCCAATAATATTTGGCTATGACTATTAGCAAAACAACTTACAATATTTGTGGAATTACTCTGGTTTGACGTGGTAACAGCAGACCCACTACTTTCGACAACTTGGTCCGGGTTATTACTATCACCACCTGATTTGGAGACGTTCTTGAGATGAAGAAGACTATGATGCTTCCTTTTACATATATGACATCTAGAAGACTGGCGGCATGCATATACGGAGTGATTTGCTCCTAGACAATTATAACATAAACCATTTGTTTGGACAAAATTACGACGCTTTTCAATATCGAGACCGGCAAACCTTTTACAATTAGCAAGCTTGTGGTTATCCTGACAATATATACACAATGTAGTAGATACATGAAGTGATTTGACTGGCACAGTACGATTGGACTGACGACCTTGACCTTTGTTGTCTAAAAATTCCAAAGACCGAAATCTTTGTTCAAGAAAAGATTTGAACTGGTTCATTGTAGGCAATTCGTCTGAACAATCGCTAATTTTCATCTCCCATTGTTTACGTGACTCAGTATCTAGTTTCAAACTCAATACATAAATAACTATTACATCCCAATGCTCAACCATTATACCTAAATTTTGCAAAGCGTGTAAACATTCATTGGAAGTATCTAATAATTCCTTAATCGCACTAGAAGATTCTGCTACAATATTCCTTTGACTCATGAATCGTTTAATTATACAATTGGCTAAATACTTTTTGTTATTATAGCGGTTCTCTAATTTACTCCAACAAGTTGCATAATTATTACTAGTAATAGGAATATGACGTAAAAGACCTTCAGCCTCTCCAGACAAATGTGATTTCAAATAGTGTAACCTTTGAACATCGTCAAGTGCACTGTTATTGTGTATTAAGGATTTATACAAGTCTCTAAAACTAATCCATTCAGAATAACTTCCGGTAAACATAGGCAATTCAATTTTAGGTAATTTCACAAGACATGTCTCCTTAGAACCCTTTGCAGAAGATTCAAGCACTTTAGCTGAACTATCGGAACAAACAATTTTTTTTAATGCTTCCCTTAACTCTGCTTTATACTCGGTAAATAATTCTTCCGTAGTCTCGTAAACATTTTTTAAGTTATATTCAGATTTTTCGTATTCAATGGACTTAACAGATGACACAATTTTCCTGTGAGTTTCAAAAAAGGCTGACCAGTTAGCTTCTAAATTTTCTAGTCTAGTTTCTATATAAGAGCTGGTTAGTCGCTCCTTAGGTGATTTCTTAAAATTAGACCTTGCTTTACTGATGGTAGATTGTAAGTTAAATTGTAAGTTACTCAACGCTTCCATGTCGAACTAAATAAAGTCTTTCACTAATTTTAACTAAGTCCCTGGCCAACACGTAAAAAATCACAAGTCTTATAACTTATTAAACTTCGCTGCAAAATCGGGCATAGGTTCCCCGTAGTTCACTTTTTATTGAAATTATTCTAAGTCCATGCACACGTTATGTGTATCACAACACTTCACCACTCACTCACTTTTACTCGTCGCAATGATATGCGGGGTACTTCTCCCCCTGCACCACAGCCGCTCACGCCAACCGGAACCAGCAGCACCACCGCCGACCGTTGTGTACCACTAGTACATACACGCGTACGCGCCTAACATATACGGCCCGCCGATGCTGCTTGCGCTGACGTCACACTCGCGGCAGGTTGACCGTGCAACCCTACGACACCGTAATGACGATGCACACCAGTCCTTCATCCGGTTCCGAAGGACCACTTTGTACAACGTCCCAAAAATATCTCCCAAGAGAAATAAAACACTCGTGTCCAGAGTAAGACAATTTATTGCACATAAAACTGCAGAGGTAGTGTATCGACGGAGAATCTTAACACCGCGATGTAAAATGATGACGTATCGGTACAGCGTCATCTGTTATCGAATTGTGGTACTACCGGTAAAACATTGTTGACATTGTCGTATATAAGTGATGTAAACAGAATAGACAGTATTACTGACATGAGGTTACTGTCTGATTATATAGCTAAATAATTATATAATGATAGTGTACTATGTGATAAGCACCAAGATAGAGAAGTCTATACTGAATTGTTATCAAACTTACAGGAAACATGAATATTATGTGTACAGATTTTTGCATGATCATTATTAAGCTATTTTATATTATTTTTATCAATTGATTTAGTCTAATGAGATTCCAGTAAGATACAAATATCTCTTTATTACTGGTATAAAGTAATGATATACTTCTTACAGTGTTTTGGGGTAACTACGCCATTGCATCCTGAGAGTTTGTTGGAAATGGACAGAAGTGCGATGTGTCTGTTTGGCATCAGGAGCTATGGAGTGAGTGTGACTGGCTATGTCAACCACCCCACAAAAGGTCTCTGCATTTGGTTACAGCAGAGAAGCTTTACTAAACAAACTTGGCCAGGTTAGTATATAATGTTGAAAGAGACTATAAACATGAGACATTGAATATAAATTTTATGTAAATATATGTATAAAACTCGATGCCACTTTTCATCGTAATGTGATAACTCTACAATGTCTTTACCAACAACATAAAAAAACTAATATACATAGATAGATGATTAATTTCAATGTCAATACTAATTATAAATTTAATAAATAAAGCATTTGAGTGGAAGTAAACAATCAGAGTGAGGAATCAAAGTGGTAGCATGATTCTGTTTGATGTGGATGATGATGTCCAGATGATGATCTGGGATTGTAATATTCATATCAATAGTATAATTATGTCAAATAAACTACCACTATGAATATTTCCAGGCAAATGGGATTGCTTTGTGAGTGGTGGCCTGGCAGTTGGCTATGGTATTCTGGAGACTACAATAAAGGAGGCTGCTGAAGAAGCCTCTGTAGAAGGCGAATTAGTTAAAAAGTTGGTTCCAGCTGGCTGTGTAAGGTAGAGTATAACTTTACTAATGCTCTATTTTAATTTATTTGTTTGTGAGCAAATCTTTAATGTATGGTTTTTTATTACAGTTTTTATTTTGAAAGTGAGAGAGGTTTATTCCCAAACACTGAATATGTGTATGACCTTGAGTTACCCCTGGACTTCATGCCTCAGAATGCTGATGGGGAAGTGGAGAACTTTGAGTTGTTGACTGCTGAAGAATGTATTCAAAGAGCTTTAACACCTCAATTTAAAACAACCAGTGCTCCAGTCCTTCTGGACTTCTTGATACGTAAAGGATACATTAACCCGGAGAATGGTAAGATTTTGTTTGAAATGTTATTTCTATGTATGTCTTACACAATTAAATTTCTATTGAATCATGTAATCATACTGAGATGATATACTTTATTAGTTTGTTATTTAATTACATGAATATAAGGATTTAATTGTAATTCCTTTTTCAGAGCCTCACTATCGAAATCTGGTGGAGTTACTCCATGTTCCCTTGCAGACAATTTACAATTGGCCATGCACTTCAGCATTCGCCGCTTTGGCCACTAATGGAGATGGCACAGAAATACACCAAACAAACTAAAGCCATGTAAAGTTTGCTTTTTAAATCTCAATTTTTCTATAATGCTCTTCATAAAACTTGCCTACTCAAACAGGTTTTGTGTATGAAGTTTCTAGTCTTCCTATATTTCAATGTCGAAGAGAAATTATGATAAATGCTTGTAGCATATTTGGGTTAATTAAGGAATATTTTGTTATTTGCATTGAGGGTCATATTATAGAATATTATTTTTATCATCACATAAAATCTGATATCAAACCAATGGCTTGGTAGGTTAAATAAATAATTTGTGGTAGGTACAGCAAAATGACAAACTGTTGAGTATAGGTGCAAATATCATGGTTTTTCTTAGATAATGTTGTAAGTAGGCCTAGACGATTTCCAGTGATGGCAGTACCATTACCAGTGTTTATTGTTTGATAATATTGTAAATATTTGTTCTAGCTTATTATTAAAATAAAATACTTCAAGGCCTAATCATATTTCGTGTTAATTGGCCTCGTATTTATATACTTTGGTAAGCTTTGAGTGGTACCTAAGTTTATGTATTATTATTACTATAATTTTGTTTTATCTTGGCACTTGTGACTAGTGCATGCATTATCGTAATATTTTAGTATACATTGACCAAATCTTGATGTGTTTCGTAATGTGTGTTATTGAAGACATCATAGTTTAGCTAGGTATGGTTAATTTCTGTGATACTTTACCGATTCGGTATAAGGCAATATTATATTATCAGTTTAGTTTCTCGGCCGTCGCAATGAGACCAACGTAGACACGTAGATGCAACATCAGCATGTTCCAGGTGTTCTCAAAGCTGGCTCATTCAATGTCAGATGGTTACGTATTATTTGTGACATTTCTATGTAGATTAAATACTTTGTAAACATGAATAATATAATATTGAAAGTAACAAACTATCTACCTATTAATGTAATATTTATTATATCATATAAATTATAGCATATTTGTTTTCTAGGTGCTACTTGCAGATGTAGTACGATAAATTTATATTCGTTTATCTAGTCATTCTACGTCAGATATGGCGAATATTTAAAATTTATAATAATACGTACATTAGTGCCTGTTTAAAAATGTTTTTTTTAGTATCGTTTGTGTTAATTCGACTCATAAAATAGCTATCGGATATTTATTGAAAATAATTACTTAATCACGTGTATTAACTGAGAAAGACTACGCACACACGGCGCAATAATAACGAGTCTCGCTGTGACTTGAAACTTTGTACCTAGAGCTTTTCGCAGTAAAATCACATAAGTAGTTGTTTTCAACGAATTTATTACGTCTATCGAATAGTTTTGAGTGTAGGAGGTATTTTTAGCGTTAATGGTGTTTGTCATAATTCATATTTGAAGTTGTTTCTACTTATTTTGATTTTCACCTAGAATACGTTGTTATTACATTATCATATAATGCTATAATTTACATGACAGATAAAACTGATCACACATGTGACAGACAAATGCCCTAAGGGACGTTGCTCATTCGCCCAGTCACGCGTCGGTGGTATCTAAAGCAATCAAGCGAGAGACTCCATTTCTCTTCTAAAAATTTCAGATATCAGTTGTTTTGTTATTCTTTGTATTATGTTATTCCATTTCTGATCTTAATTGCGGAAAGAGTAGTATATAAATATCTTGGTTTCGCCACCTATCGTTGCATGACCGTACGACCAGTGTCCTAATGAAATGGGGGTCTAACACAATGAAACCGGAATAGGGTTCGAAACATTGTATTTATTATTTATTCATTTTCATATCACCTATAAGTGTGGCAAACGTACTCCCAATTTTTAAATGATAGTAGTTAAATTTATAATTTTAATACTTCCTTTAATTACTTGTAATGATGAATTGAAGAATTGCACTAATGAGATTATATATATTACTGGCACGTACCTAATTAGTAAACGATTAAGAGGCCTTTCAAGTGTTTGCATGACATTTGAAATAATGTAGACAGATTAGAAGAGACTGAACATTGATTTCTTATTTGTCATTTTTACTGAAGCAATTTACAGCAGAACTCGTTTAGAGGTATTCGCAAATGTTAGAAACGAGTAGGTGTTTGTAGAATTAGACAAGTAAATTGGGTAAATGCTAGTGATTGATGTTCAGTTTTCATTACATTTTATACATTTTTATAAATCCGCTATTGGCGAAAGATTTTGTATTGATATTATGTAATACATACTTAAATTATGAATGTAATCGTTTATATTTGCGATAGTAATTAGCGTTTTCCTAAAAATAAAGTTTTAAAACGTACTCGTTCTTTGATTATCATTTAGTTTTTAACCGATCAGTTTTAATCTTAACAGTTTTAAACTGTTAAAGTACTTATTAATATGTAGTACATTTGAAAACAGTGTGGGGAAATAGGATGCATGCAGGCTCTTGCGCCACAATTGAAGGGATTTCTTGAGGCACTAGGTAGACGATAACTTGCTTCAACTCAACCTTACTATACTACAAGAGCTTTCTTTTGTATTTTACCTATTAGCACCTTTTTAGACACACATTTTTGAAAACATTCTGTTCGGGGGACCTCGTCATTACAACCTAGAAATAACCAGTTTGCCCTGCAACGAGTACGGCTGCTCGCATATCTCTCGAGAAATCTCAGTGGCAGTCGAAATGCCACTAAGATTTCTGAAGGGAGTTACTTCACTCATTTTAGCTTTATATTTTTCCAAACCGTTGTTAAAAGTTGTGACCGTTTTGTCTTTGTTACCGTTCAACCCAAGCATCATAGTCAGTCGCATAGTCGTCAATATCCTTCAGAACGGGCCTACATATTAACACAGATTAAAAGTCAACATTTCAAACATACAACACATCACACTCCGGTTGTTCCGTGCGGGAATCGAATCTGCGAAACGAAGCAGGAAGAGATACTTAAATAATAATCAATTGTAGATGTATGTTACGATACAAAACGTAACGGCATAAGCACAAAGCTCTCGAAAACAGACTTATATGAAGCGGTAATTACGCAGACATAAAAAGTAATGCTATTTTGTGTCTTTTAGTGGGTTTAGGTGTTAGGGTTGTATTTCGAATTGATTGATAAGTTAAATCTTGTTTTGTAAAAAAGGGGCAGGGTCGTTCCGGGTGTTACTGTTTACCTTGTTTGTCCAATAAACCCGTCATCTTAGTAATTTCATCTCGGAATTTGAGACACCAAGCTGTATATTTGCCAACGTCCATACCATGTTGAAATAACCGGTCCTCGTCCGATCACCAATGTTGCAACATCGGGCGCGGTTAGTGAGAGAGCAGGAGAAGGAACCGGGGGTTTTTAGTCAGTAGGTAAGTCTCACACTACCTGCCACTCGACCCCGGGCGGGATAAGCCATCACAAAAAAGCTTTAGGTTTTGAGGCAAGTTTTAGGATGTCAAAATAAAACTATATGCTATACAAATGTATAGCATGGTATCTCAAATTCCGAGATTCTTACCTTATTTTGACTAAGGTGGCTGGACTATAACTATTAATATATAAAGATTACGTACAAAATGAATGAATACTTCCAGTATAAGAACTTTATTTTCAAATATTGATATTGACACAATTGCTATGAATAAGGGTGTATTAAAAATACGATTTTAAAGTAAGATTAGTAAAAGAAATAACAATGTTACAACAAAGAATAATTAATCATCTTCGAGGACGAACAATACGCTCCAAAAACGACAACTTATACTAAAAAGCAACAAAATGTCATTGACAACACGACTTATGTTGAAACGAACGCGATGCTTGTTCTTAAAAAATATGATTCTAAATGTAGTTAATAATGTTGGTCAGTAACTATCTTAACATAAACCATACAAATCAACAACACTCGCAATGTTAAACTGATAAATCTCAGTTGACTGAGTTATTGAAATAGGTATCTGAGAAGGAATAAGCTGGCTGCAACATCAACCTAAGCAACTTCAGCTATCGCTAGTAATCATCTCCGCGTGATATAATTTCTTTGCAAGTGGGTCTTAAAAGGATGGTGTGCTCAAACTGAGCCGTGTAGCACCCTTTGATGTCACAAAGAGGAGGGTATGCATCTACTACGCCTTTGTCACATAAGTCCTTAAGCGCCATAGCATAACGAGACGCGCCTGCGCGTTCTAGCCATCGTTTACAGAATGCCAGAGTTCCGAAATTTTTGTTGATCAAGTTCAAGAGCTGTTTTGACGATTGCAGCCTGTAATGCAAACAACACACATTTTAGACGTTATTCTAGAAATAATTACATATCTTTAAACAGTAATGACATTATATGTTACCTCAATGGAACAAACTGTTGATCAAAGTTCTTCATGTAATGAGAGCAGTCCATATCATCATGAACTTGGCCACGTCCAGTAGAGCCAAATGTTTCAATAGCATAAAACTCATTTTCTTCCATGCGTGTAGTTTCACCACCCTTAACAATAGGTACTGTCTTACCAGCGTGGATCCCTAAAAGGTTTCTGATTAGATTTTTGGTTCATTTAAAACAGTAGTAGATATATAAGATGACCTTTTTATTACTTACTGTATGGTCCAATGGAGTGTCCATTCAAGTTACGTATAGGTTTCACTTGGTATACTTGGCCATCAAGTTCTACTTCATGTGATTCCATAACCTGGCATTGAAAAATGTGGATTACTATATGGAATAGTTACATGAAAAAGTTGTAGAAAGTTCACTTTATGTTGTTTAACTAGTACCTCTTGAACAGCAGCTCCAACATCACACAGCCTGACATCAACTCCTGAAGCTTTAATGCCTGCCTCAGTTGCTTCCTGTACACCCTTCACCAATGGATCGTAACGCGGATTGAAGCTGAGAGTGAATGCACAATCAATGATGCGCCCATTGATGTGAGTACCAAAGTCGATTTTTACGACATCATCATACTCTAGGACAGTTGTGTCTCCTGTTAAGAAGCACAAAAATAACTAATGTAATACAAGAAAGAAATAGCTCATTATGATGTTAGCACTTTAAATAATAATTTTAATTAGTGTTCTTTAAATAAGGCAGTTGCATACCAGTGTTGGGGGTGTAATGGGCCGCACAGTGATTACGGCTGCAACCAGTTGGGAAAGCAAGTCCAGCTTTCAATCCATCTTCACCAATTAGACGTCTTGCTGTAGATTCTAGTTCTTCACAGATTTGAATCATGGTCATGCCTGGTTTGATCCAATCGCGCATGTATTTTCGTGTCTGTAATTTAGGGGAAAATCGTGTTCAATATGGTAGTTTTCAAATAGTCAAATTCAATACTTTTATCAAATGTCAAAAATTATACTTTTCTATGACGTCATAGTATATTGATGTCAAATAGCTTACTTATTTCTTGAAAATTTTAAAAAAATTTCTAAAATTAGTGTATTGATCGATCAACCATTACCATATTACCAACACCCATGCCTTCGCTGTACATATTTTTTTATTATAGACCAAGGCTAATTATTATTAATTATAGATGTAACATTGTCATCTTGTTTGTATCATGTTGTTGATTGCTTTAAAACAACAATGTAATATTATGTTTAAAGATTATTGTTGTTATTATGACAATTTATTAACATACCAATAATAACACTTGATAAAACAATAGTTCCCACATGAAATGTTCAATACAGTGAGTTTTTGAATATCACTGCTGTTATGGTTTTTAAATTGAAAATAATAAACTGGCTACTGTCTTCCTCTTTGATCAGGAGATTAAATGTGAAAAACTGTAGTTCCTCCTTATTGGGTTAAAGTGTGTGAAATATCAAATGGCTTATTTACTTGTCTATGTGCTTCTGCAGCATGTCTGATCTCCTGGTAGATGTCTTGGTGCAGTCTGTCAAGAGCTCGCTTCTCCTCACTGGAGAATCGTTCCTTAGCAGTTCTTTCATCAATGCCCTCAGCTGGACCATGCTCTGTTATCTCACCCTCAGGGAAGTTCCCTAAATGATGTCATCAAAAGAATGGTTTTTTTTAATTTAGTTTTTAGTTAGTTTAGTCTGCAGAGTTACAAGCAAGAACCCACATGTATAGATCAATCTAGATTTTAGATTGAAATTCAATATTAATTTAACTATGGCCACCATTTGTTATCCTGCTTATATTTCTATGAAAAATTGTTTACTTATATGTCATAAACACTGAATGCTAATAAGTTTCTTATATTTAAAATAATGGTGATATTTTACAAACAACAACAGCGAATCAGGGTTTTCCACCTTATTAGAAATAGCAATAATAAACAATCCAGAATCCAGAAATACATACCATCAGGGTACAATTCCGCAATAGGTATAGTTGGTGGATTTGTCTGCTCCTTATTTGGACCTTTGCCAGATTTATTTTTGTTCTTTTTCTTTTTTCCATCACCTTTAGCAGGTGCATCATCAACGGTCAAAGCTTCAATCTTTTCTGAAGCATTTGCAACCTCAGTGGACACATTGTCAGCTGCGGCTTCATTTTCTGTAAAAATAACAATGCTTTTACAAATTAGCAGGCATTCTAATACAAACATTGAATTGGATAGACAGAAGTGCTAAATGCCTAAACATGCTTTTAGCACTGATTTGTAAAAGTTCTTTGGTTTGTGAAATTAGTCTCATTATTACTTACATTGTAACAAAGTGTAATAAGAATACCTAAACATAAAATATATACATATATGCATATACATAATTAATAGGTGTAAAACGGCGTAATATTATCAGGTTAAGCGTAGGCGCCTCGCATCTATCAGCTTTAAAGATAAAAATAGACATGTTGAGGCTAATGCACGACGGAGGTGACCAGGTTTGCATGAATATAAACATTGTCACTCCTAACCTGTCTTCTTCTTCTTCTTCTTTTTCTTTTTCTTCTTCTTAGCGGGATCTTTAGTTTCGCCTTCCTCTACTGCATCTAGTTCCTCTTCCTCACCATTTTCAAGCACTTCAACCGTTTTTAATTCTTCGTCGGCCATTATACCAACTAAAGTAGAAAACTAAATAAGATTGTTAAATTGGAAACTATATTTCCATGCGACCGTAAGCCGTATTTAACCTCTCTTATGTTTCACAAAATTACATAGATCAAAGACTATAGAGGCACATTGTGATAATCACAAAACTGACAGCTGATAGTTTTTGACAGCAGGAGAGGAAATACTAAAATGTTCTTTACCCTTAGTATGAGTTTCCCCAGCGACAAGACGTTGAAAGTTTTCGAGCTGACGTAAAAAGATTGCGATTTCGAGAAGTTGGTAGTACGAGTGTCTAATTTGGACCAAACGAGCTCTCGAAAACGTATTACGAGAAGCATAGACTACGAACGAATGTACGATGTTCACACTGATATGTCTTTCTCTCTTACTCTCGACTAAAAGAGTGAAATAGATATACATTCGGTCTTTTGACAGCTAAGAAAAAGTAATTGTCCCGCCATTTCAAGCAAGTTTGATAAAAGACGATTACTAGTACTATTTTTAAATAAAAAACATTAAAAAATGTGTACGAAGACAAGTTACTCGCAATATTAAGTGATGGTGGAGTTTATGGAAAGGTAAGCAAGTATTAATTCATATCTTTTAAGTTATTGAATGTTTCTTAATACTAGTTTTAATTCTTCAACATCAAGTTCTAATTTTTCGTGTATTTTACATATATTTTAGAAATGGAGACCTTAAAAAGCCTGCTGGTGGTCCTCAAGGCAGGCTTAGCGGTGTCTCCAAGTGGGAGGAGCTCGCTAAGGTGCTTAACATTGATCCCACCGAAAGTTCGAAACCGGTGGACAAATGGAAAGAGGTACAACAATAATCAAAATTATATTATTATAAAGGCTTCCCATAAAGCCAGCATTTAGTTAATCCATTCAATCGAGACAATTTCGATGTTAAATGCTACTTATACAAGAGTTATCTGTGATTAATAATTTACTTGCTTTACATTTGCCATTGTATTTTAATAGTTAATAAGCATGTTTTCTTTGCACGTAATAGGTGTGGAGTGACCTAAAAAACAAATACTAACTGGTGGTGGTCCAGCTTTAAAAGTTTACATCACCAACCTGGAGCAGTGAGTCCTCAGCCTGATGGGGCCCGAGGCTGCTACAGGCATGTTCTCAATAAATGAAATAGTTCCTGTGCCTCAGGTAATATTGCTTTTGTAATGTTTGTGTTACTCATAATAAGCTTATATGTAATTAAATTACTCAATTGTGAAATGCACACATTAGCTTTAGCTTTGCTTAATGAATATTTAAAGTCATATTACATAGATAAATACTACATAATAATACGTACATTAATACATAAATATGACATTACAAACTTTAAACTTTAACATTATATACACACCACATACATAACATTTTGCTAGAATTTTATAGTTATGGCATGATTAAGTCAAAACAATTTCAAAATCTTTTTAAACTAATTTTGTTGTTTCTTATAATTTGGGCTATATTACAAATACTCTGACTAGATGCTCTAAAGTGCCTAAGGCTATATTTATAAGAAATTTCCTTTATTTACAGAATGATTCAGCACTGGCTGCCAACTTTGTAGAGTTGGAAGTGCCACCACCAATACTGCAGCCTCGGTCACCCACACCTGCCCAAGTTACCAACCAATCAGATGGACATTCACAACAACAAAACAACTTAACAAATAAATTATTTATTTGTATATATAAGTATCATTTAGGAATTGTGTCGCTGTCTTTGTTTTTGTCTATCATATCCTCATCACATTCTTGCATGTGCAGATTGTATTTAATTAATTATTTATGTTAATAGAGAAAGCAATGGTAATCTGTTATAGAGTACATAGTAACATTTTATTATTTAAAAAATTGTCAACTGTTTATTAATTACTTACCATTTATTTTTCCTTACTAACACTAGATGTTAAGTCAAAAATAATTTATTTGTTGGGTTTTTATCATCAAAATTTTGTTTTGTTTCATTCTTTGGCAAAATATGTTAGTTTCTTTGTTTTTGTGTATTGTATCCACATCACATTCTTGCACGTGCAGATTGTATTTAATTATTTGATGTTAATAGAGACAGCAATGGTAATCTATTATAGAAATAAAATTAGAACTTAACATTTTATTATTTAAAAATTTGTCAATTGTTAATTAATTAATTGCCATTTATTTTTTTCTTACTAACACTATATTTTAAGTAAAAAATAATTTATTTGTTGGGTTTTTTATCATCAAAATTTTGTTTTGTTTATTCTTTGGCAAATTTGTTACAGTCTTTGTTTTTGTCTATTATTTCCTCATCACATTCAATCTCAATACTCAATACTTTATTGCATTCCATAATGTATACAAGGCTGGTTGGTAAATTACAGAGAAACAATTATGGACCGTGTCGAGCACAGCAAGTTAGTTTTTAGAGGAGAGGATGAAGCGCTTTTTGTTTAAAACCATAATATTGAAATTAAGGAGTAAATCTTATATTTAGATATTGAAGTAGATATTATTTACGAGTAGATTTATATTAATTTTGTTTATTATTAATATTTTTATATTTATTTATTTATTATTAATAGATATTTTCTCAATTATAATTTAGGTAATTATTTTATATATTTATATATATTAGCTGTAATTTATTATTAACTAAATAGTAACTAATTAAAGATATTGCATGGTAGATAAGGTAAATAGATGTATTAGGTACAACTTGGTTATTCTAATTATTCTTGTATGTGCAGATTGTATTTAATTATTTGAAGTTGATAGAGACAGCAATGGTTATATAGGAATAAAATTAGTACTCAACATTTTATTATTTAAAAATGTGTCAATTGTTAATTAATCACCTACCGTTTATTATTTATTTCTTTTTATAAGAATTTAAGCCAAAAATAATTTATTTGTTAAGTTTTTTATCTAAAAAATTTTGTTTTGTTTCATTCTTTGGTTTTTCATTATCTTTAAAAATGTGTTACTGTCTTTATTTTGTCTTTATTATTATCCTCTATTATAGTAATAAATAACATTTATTATTTCATAATGTTGTAGTCAATTGTTAATTAATTATACTAACCATTTTATCATACTAACACTAGATTTTAAGTTACTAAATTATAAGACACTGGAACTTGTTTATTACAGCTTTATTTTTAGAGTGTTGCTGATTATATTTCTCTAAGAAGCGAAATAGGCTAACGAATGTAATACTTATACAATAAATATGTAGGAAATAAAACAAATGTTTTTATTTATGTGTATAATAATAAATAAAATTAACGGACAATATGCACTATACTGGCTACGCGATCACGCATTAATTGGCCCAAAGTTAAAAGGGAACCGTCTTCTTGCGGAATAGTCTCCACCCTGGCGAAAGCTTCGTGACCTGTGGAAACAAAACACAAACTATGAAATTTGCTGAGGAATAATACGCTTTTAAAAATAATCGATTGAAACATATAAAATAAATTGTAACATTGTCACTTTAGTGGTATTAGTTGGACCATTTTTTCTCTAAGTAGCTTTCCTCTGTCATGGAGGCTTGAACTTAGTAAGTATGTAGCATAAATTATACTCACATGAGAATTTTCTTTTAAAAAATTAATCTTGTGAGATTATATTTATTATTATATTTTGTAGTAATTAAAACAGCTTTCCCTATACAAATAGACTTTAAATTATCATACATAAAATGAAATTATAAACATTGATTTCATTTAAATTCTACTTATTGATTTACAAGAAAATAAAGGGATATTATGTTGATAAGGTACCTGTGGGTTCCATAACCGCTTCAGGTACATTAAAAGTTATGCACACTTCGGGTTTGTAGTGCAAAACTCTGTTCTTGCACACACACCTCCACCTATTCTTCAGGCGTCTGAAGGTGTTCTCAATTATAACTCTTTCACTGCTGTGTACCTTGTTGTATGTGTCTGCAGCAGAATCAGGGTCTGGCTGAGTGTATGGAGTCATCAGCCACGGTCTTTGTGGGTATCCAGAGTCACCTGCAGATACAACAAGTTTGCATTTGAAATAAATGTCTAGAATTACAATAGTGTCTGTGACCTTTAGTTATAGTTAACAGTTAGTTAGTAGCAGATAATATGAGCATATTACATAGTTAACCTATTTTATTTACATGTAGAAACTTACCTAGCAGCCATACAGACTCTTCACTTTGGTACAATGTCTGCATGTACTGGTTAACTAGACTGTTATCCCACACAAAGGCATCATGGCTGGCACCAACATACTTATGGTTAACACTCATGATTTAGCCCCTGTGATTGCACACCTAGAAACAATGTGTTATGTGTAAAGAAAATAAATCATCATTATCATGATTTATTTATGATGTTATTTCGTCACTTTATTAACATTTTTATTTTATAGACATTACTTTAAACTATAAGGCTTTTTAAATTTTATTTAAAAGTCTATTAGGAACTCCAACAAAGTATAATGTTTTTTCTATAAACAATATTAAGCAAAGTTACTTGAAGATTTGTGCTCCTAAAGGTAGAGAAGACACATTATGCATACATTATAAATATGAACTTTTTGATTGTGTAGATTGTTTTATTCAAACTATATTTATTAAATTTTATAATGTATATTACCATTTGCACATTTAATCGAATGATAATACTTGCGGCAGTAAAATAAGTGGTCAATCTCCATCTTCGGCTTAACAATTTTGAAGTGTGGCATTTCATACATGTTATAGAAACTATAAAGAGAAACATTCATTATTAATTAACAAGTTATCCCCTAGCAAGTGTTCAAAGCATGAATATGATGTTAGTTTAAACTGCGAATTACCATGTTTGACTTGTTCTTTAGCTTCACGCGTCGCTGGGAACTTCACAAAGTTTTTTAATATGTTCGGGTGGTTGAGCGCTTCAGTCACTAGATGGACAAAGCGGCTAATAGCTTCTTGCGAATAACAATTAGCCATGCCAACCAACCTTTGGTAATCAATCACCGTTGGCATAAAATAATAATGCGCAGAGTACCTAAAACCAAATAAAAATGTCTTTAATGAATCATTGTTGCCATTGCCATTAACTACCTTTTTATTTATGTAGATGATATAATTGACTTACCTTAGTTTCTAATGAGACTCTTTGATAACTTCTTAAATCATAGAAACTTTTAAGGCTCTTTAATCAGCCGGTATCGCTGAATAAAGTGGGTGTCCGAGATTTCGAGAGGACTTAATAATTTTCGCCGCAAATGAAGGTTTCGACGCTCTTCTTCGTGGCGATCATTTTCAGCAGCTTCTGCTACCATCCTCCAGGCAAAATAACTCCTCGCAGCCATTTAATATTAAAATTAAAAATCGCACGAAAACAATTCGCTACGTTCCACTAGGTGAGTTGTAAAACGTAAACTTTGAGAGAGAACGAATCGCTTTACTTTCATAAAATTGACAAAATTGTAACTCGTACTGCCAATTTGGCGAGAACTGTCAAAATGTTTCGAAAACTTTTTAAGATTACGAGAAATTTTACGCTGGTGCAACTCGTACTGCCAAATTTAGTTTCTTTTCGTTTCCGCTAGGGGCGCTGCTAATTTATGAATGAAAATCAACGTTTCGAAAGGACGTAACGTTTGCTGTCAAAACTCATACTAAGGGTACTTGTTAGAAAGAGACTACCATAAAATTGTCAACTCCTCGATTACTGATTATTACCAGCTTAAATAAATAAGTATTTGCAGACAGGTAAAATACAAAAATGAGTCAAATAGTTTGAAATTTTTGTATTTTGAAAGATATTTCGGCGAACGGGATTTTGAATCTCCTGACGGTAAACAATCAGAGGGGATTGATTGTCCGGTAACTGACAGCGAAACGCTGAGCGAAACCGGTCTCTTTGAGGCCATCTATCCGTGCCAAAGCATGGCTCTCCCAATAGTAATATATTTTGGTTTACCGCGGTGCCATAGTGAATTAACGTACAAACCTAATTAGGTAATAATAATTCATTTTTCTTTATTTCATAAAAATCTTGGTGACAATAACATCATATGTAATGCGATGTACGTTTATGGAACAATTTGAGGAAATTTTGGGATTATACCTGCTTTAGTATTAGCAGGATTAAATTTCAGGGGTATAGTCGTCACGTTTTCTCGTTTGTCATTCGGAAACACGATGAATCCACGATAGCAGTGTGCCCTACTTGAGCATTTAAAACACAATTTAAAACATAACATACTTTCCGTACAAATCAATAGATGGCACTGCATGTCACTTGAATCGCGCAATAAGTTTATCCCGTAGACAGAGCTCTGTCAACGGTTTTCATTGTTCCTACTTACAACATTTAAATCAACGATTTCTTGTCACGTCTTATAAGCACTTTAATTCAACGTTGATCATTCTTTCATAACTTGTCAGACACGTCTTTTTTTTTTCGGAACCAATCTTTTACTTAGATTAACCACCGCTAAACGAGCAAGGGTAGCTCGCCGACCGACTTGCGTTCCGCACTCGCCTTAAAGGAGCCAATAGTCCACCACTGTCCACCACATACGGGGTCATACAGAGCCGATATTTAGCCGCGGTTGCGAGGAAAGCGCAATAAGGTACCGCGGACTTGGCATAGAGCAGTAGACGGAACGGGGGTTATTGGTCAGTATGAGTCTGACACTCCCTCTCGCCTCACTATGGGCGAGAGAATTCATTTGATGATTTTCCCCTCAGAAAAAAAGCTAAACGAGGTACCTACAGTGGCGTGTCGTTCACTTTTTTTTTGGAATTATTATAGCCATGTTTTTTTCTCCAAAAAGGTAATCCATGAGTGCCGAGATGGACTGGTCTATTGTCATGCATACAGGGTGTAAAAAAACACTTAACGAAGCCGTTAACTACGCATACTGCAGTTCTAACTAAGTAGCTTTACATTAAAATTACCAGTGGGAAACGACTTTTATTTTTAGGTATTAAAAAAAAAATATATATTGCGCGCAATGTAAAGCAAACGGGCTTCGTGTCATGGTGTGCGTAGGTTCACAGCTTAGCATTAAAACGCTGTGATAAGTACGTAGGTCGACGTTTTACTTCGCAACAACAAAAGAATTCTGTAAAATAAAAATCCTACTGAGATGCACGATGTTTTTTGTGCAGGTCTGCATTTATTTATTACGTACATTACTGTTCGTAACTTTAAATGCGTAATTTATTTAGAAAAATCAAAAATTCAGGTAATGTTTGTTTGGGAAAAAGTATTGTAATAATACTTAGAATTAGATTGCGCAAAAAATGCATCTTTGACCTTCAATATCTCGAGAACCCGTGGAGTCCCAGCTATGGTCTTAAAGAAAAAAATGATCCAAATAATGGGTAGAATACGTGGCTTTCGGCTTCGTTAAGTGTCTTTTTACACCCTGTATTTTAAACGTGGGAATTGAACGTTTCGTATGATTTTATTGAAATTGAATCGATTCAATTGTTTGCTAACTTTTTTTATAATAAAATACCTAGAAAACACTGTTTATAAAATCTCATATCACAATTTTGAATCAGAATAAATACCTACCTAGTCATAATTTTCGCACAGGTTAGTTAAGGGCTAGTCGTGTCTGTACCTGCTTGAAAGATAGAGATAATAAGTAAGGTTGCCGGCCCAATCCTTTCCCTCTCCTATTCCCTCCCTAATTCTTAAACCTCCAAATCACAAATCCTTAATTCCCTAAAGGTCGGCAACGCACTCGTAACTCCTCTGTAGATGCGGATGTCTATGGATGGTGCTGATTGCTTACCATCAGATATTAGGAATGCTCGTATCTCTCCTATCACATAAAAAAAGTGACACCATTTTGAAAATACGTTTGCCGATTGCCGATTAGGATATGGGGTGTAAACGTAGGTACTAGCTTTTGAATAAAATATTAGTTCTATCCTCTTCATAAACTATAGTTTCGCATTCAAGGTTTCGTCTCATTATTTCTCTTATTGTTAGAGAAACGTTAAAACTTTCAGCTTTTACGAGAAAACGAAGGCCCGAGAATCATTAGCTCTTGTATTGATATGATACTACTTACATAGTTTTATTATCAATGTGTGTTCTTTAGTTAAGTACTAGTTGCCTGGCCTATTTGGCAAGATGCGCTATGCGTTTGATATTATCAGTTACCTATGTCTTTCTTTTTCATAATTGGATCAGACAGAAGAAAGCCACTGCTGAGTAGAGGCCTACAGGCTTACAAAATATAGTTTAGGACTTGTTGGTTAGTTTAAAAAATCATTTTCACGAATAGTAAGTAGACATTGTAATTTGTGTTGGAAAATAAAACGATCTTAGAGTTTTCTCCCATATCTTTTTATTCTAAATACATTAATATTCTTTAATTCAACTCAAATATTCATTTAAACTATTACAAGCTATTTTTTTATTTTAAACATAAATAATAAGTAATGCAAATGACCAGCATTGCACACTTTAACTCGGTATTAATATTTAACTAGGTATTATCCAATCTTAGCGATAGTTCTTCATAGTGATAAAACATATACACAACACTGAAAACCTTTGGTGAAAACAAGTATCCTACAATTACTATTGATTATATGGACATGCCTGATGTGTTAAGTAAGCCGGCTGGGAGCTTTTCATTTCAATCGAACGTTCTTTGGTAGTACAATCACAAGATATTCAAATAGCTTAGAGCGAAACACCAGCGCCTCAACACATCCGACATGTCACAATGGGTTTACAATATACCATTTTATTGCATTAGGTAGGCAAATAGATAATACCATTGAAATAAGACATAAGACAACGAGTACATTATCTAGATACCTATACAATCTGCTCATTTAACCTGTTTATTGTACACAGTTATTATAAAAGTAATGATTATGACAATTCGGTAAAGGTACAAGGCAGGTACATGCAGATGCTCACATTATGTGAATTACCAAAGATTGGGTACGTACGTTATACACAGATCTACTGCAGTACGAATATCATATTCAACACAATTAGTTACAAATACGTATGTTTTAATTAGAAAATTAATGATTCTAAGCGTAATGTTTCTATTTTATAACACACAAGTAGTTAAGCGTATCCAATTTTTAATGTAGTAGGTATGTATGTTTATATACGTTGACGTAGGTACCAAATATCTAAAATATGCAGTTTTAAAATCAGACACTTCGAAGATAGGCGATGCACACATGCTCGTAGTATTTAATCGCCGATAAAATCTTAATTTATCTACGAAAATAATGTACATTGGACCTTCCTTCTTGATGCTGATGAATGACAGAAACGATGACTTAGAAAATACTTTTCATAATAATACTAGGGGACATTATTTTATAATGATACAAATACAAAACAAGTGAGGTGTGAGGAACTACAATCATTTAATCAGTTTAAAACAAAATATCTTTTGAGTACATGAAGGAATAGAGACCAGCTCTTAACTTGTCCATTAAACATAAAAAGATGAATGATGAAATGCAAAAATAATACAGGTTTATTAAGTATTACACCCTCCTTACTATAGTATTGTAAATGTACCTACACGAACTTTATATACGAGTATGTAGCTGAATGCTCGAGTGGCTATGTGCATGCTAATTGATATAACATTGTTACAAACATGAAAACTTTGCAACCGACGACAACATGAAACTGGATAAAATCTAGATTTTCCATCCAATGTACAATTTTCAGACATCTACTTATTTATATTACATCTTTTACACAGTGGTTGTTAAATATTTAAAAAGTTATCAGTTACGCTCTTTCCTTACAAGACAAATCTATGTAGGTACACAAATATTGTTATATATAGTCGAAATCAGATCTGCACAGCGATTCTGATAATGTTTGATATGATTACACAGTTGATGAAAGGAGCATACCTGGCATGAAATGGGTGAAGTAGAAAACAGTTGTGCGAAGTGTTTCGGAACTACCTACTACTATTGCAATACCCGGCCCGCGCACCGATTACTTTCCACTTATCCAGCAAATACTTAGATATTTGAATTCACTCAAAATAAAACTTAGTCGCAAACCACTCATTTGTTAGTACTTAACATTTTAATCAAACACTTCAAGCCGTTAGTTGCGTACACGAAAACTTTAAAGATTCATGACTAATTTTTTTGTTTTGTATTTGGGTAAAAGACAACTACAATAAAATACGTAACTTTACAAAAATAATAATACATTACTCTAAAGAGAAAAATAAACGGATCGCCAGCGATCCTCCATGAGTAATGAGGTGCATAGGTTCACAAAAATCAAGTAAAGCTTTCTAATAGGATGAATTTGGTAAAGTGTCTTTTTGACCCCCGACCAAATACGAAGAGAGATCTAAGAATAAATTGTATCTTCCACCGATACCGTATACTGAGCCTGGGCAGCGCCAGACAGGTATCATCATGGAACTTGTAATGGCCACGTGGATATTGATTACCTCGACGTGGTTCGGCCGGGAGCTGTCGGAGCCTTGGTTACTACCGCAGTGAGAAACTGGCCGAATATTATATATTCAGAAAAGACACAACAACAACTCCGAAAGGCAATTTTTAAAATTTACCTTAAAATAGATTTTATATTTAGGATATCTATCATGGTAATATATTTTGGTGAATAACATCATTATCGCAAACCCGTATTAAATATGAGAAACGTGGATGATATGACAATATAAATTACCCTTTCATACCAATTAATAAGCGTTTTCAATGTCCTTACTTAGTCGAGCCGATATATATTATGCGGCACCGACGACTATAACTACTTACACGACTCATTAAGAACCGAATACTAACTACTTACAGGGATTATCGAACGTCTCCGTGAACGAAAGAACATTTCATATATCTTTGGTTAGACAAAACGAAACAATAGTAAAAATACTAGACAATCGAACGTTACAGTCATTGGAGGGACATAATTATTTAGTCGTTAGGTATTCTTCTAAACAACATTGCGTAATAATCACATAAAAATAATCATGATCGAAATGTGACGATGCATCGGGATCGTTCCATTTCGAGGGTAAGCGTCAACAAGTATTACTATTATCAACAAGACCCGCCCCGGCCCGGCCGGCGCCGTGCTACTGCCAGAGCTTCCACCAGACTTGCATCTTCTCTGAGAGTTTCTTGCAGATTCCCAGTAGTTTCCGTCACATCCCGCCATCACCCTCCCCTTCGCACTCCTCTGAACCCTCACCCTCCTCTAACGTCACCTGTTAAAAAACAAATTGCTTATTAATATTTTAACCTGGTATTTAGAAGTGGATTTGTTATTTGCGATTAATAAATGTTTGTGATTGGAGTAAAAATTTATTTTAATATTAAATTAAAAAGAACCTATTCCCGTAACAAAAATATTCAACTTACTTGAAAGCGTATTTGTTCGGGGCGGTCGTCATCGGGCAGGGAATGCGTCTGAATGGGCGCTGGCGGCGGTGATGGCGGAATCATACTTTGATAATAGTCGCGGTTCTCCTCTAGAGTGTCTAATATGTCTTGGGCGTCGGGGTGTACTAGGTCAGCCCATGTCTCCCACAGCGGGTGGACAATGTAGTCGATAAAACCAACTTGAGATTTTTCTATAGTCGCGTTGTGCCTGTCACACATTGGACTGATATCCATTCCTTGCTCCCTCTCGCGGTCTCCTTGTTGGAAGAATTCTTCCATAAGTAGCGCTACCCATCGCTTGTAAAGTGGTAACGGTTTAGTGGGATTACTCAGATCGGCACAATGTACGAGATTCTCCAACACTTGTATTCTGTCGGTATAATTGTCTAGTAGTAGCACGCCACTTCCAGCTACCTTCTTTGTTTCCACCATGGTTTTAAGGTCTGCTAATAGACTCATGTGTTTCGACATGTCCGTGGATAGAACCATGTCTATGACCATCTTACGCAGCGTCTGTCTCTGTTTCTTGTGAAGGTTGACGAATATGTCGCACCCTTCGTTCTGCAGAAGTTTGAACGCCACGGCAAGATGGTGATTCTCTAATACAGACTCGTCGTTGTACATCAGGGCGAGTTCTGAGCTTGAATTGACGAGAAACTGGTTGGTGAGGCCAGGGTGGTCGACGTCGTGCACACACGCAGCAAACAAAGCTGCGCACGTCTCGATGGGAGTGAAGACAGCATCGAGTGCGGGCGTATTGAGCAGCACGTGCGTAGACTGCGCGACGTCGGCGGCGTGCAGCGAGTTGTGGAACGGGTTGTCACGCACGTAATGTTCCTCGAGAGTGATGGCGAAGGCGAGGAAAGTGCGCGCTGGGATTTGCAGCGTGCCCAGCAGCTCCCTGGACGTGAACGCGGCGTAAGCGACAGCAGTGAGAGGTCGTCCACAAGACAGGTCGCCGATGCGGAAGATGTCTACGCCCCATCGATCGATTTCTCCAAGCTGACGTCCCAGTTCTTCTTCATGAGGAGTGTCTACCCCGTATCTTGGCACACGTTCTCCAGTGAAGCTGTTGGTGTGTGTCAATGTTCGCTTGACGCCAGAAATCTGTACAACAAAATAGAAAAATTAGTTTAAAAGCTAAATATGTATTTAGGTACAAAATAAATTATCATAATTTTCAGATGTTTATGTTTACATCTAGATTTGTAGTTGTACTTACTTGTGACATAGTGGTTGCTGGTCCGGCATGACGCGGTTTGTCCTTCTTCTTAGCTCGTGCTTCAGCACCCTCATCCACTTGTAAAGATGGTAGGTCGATATCTTGTTGTTTGTCTGGAAATAAATTATTACAATTAAAATAAAATTAAATGATTATAATATATACAGGTGACATCCTAAGTATTGGTACAATTGTCTGACCTGAATATCATACACAAATTAACTCCTGCAGTTGGCAGAAGTTGGATAAATACGATACTAACTAAAAGCTATCGTTCTATAACGAGGTTTATTACGTTCTTAACCGTGTTATTGGGTAACGATGCTGAAAAGTGGGTAAAAATGTGAAGTATCCATTAATACATATTATTATGATTGATACGTTTTCAGGTCAGCAAGCGAGCTTTGTTTATTACCGAGATATGTAATCAATCACACGTGGAGGTTTGATACTTATTATTCTTCACAGTACTGTGAATACTGTTTGAATGTTTTATTCAGAATTTGAATTAAAAACCAAATTAGAAAGCCACGACAAAAGGCCTTATACTATGTTTTCTTAAATTTTGAATGTAGATTTTCCTTAAATTGTACCAAGACGCAATATTTTATGGACCGTAATATTATATTCCGTCTTAAATCAAGATCATATTAAACAGGTAGCTTAATTACATGAGGTGGCTTAATTACAATTTATTACACAATTGTGAGGTTTTACGATTAAGAGGCCAACGGTCCACCATGATGAAATTGTAATCCGAGCACATTAAACGGATTACTGTTGTTATCTGTCGATGTGATAGAGTACTACGCATCCACTGGCTATCTAATCAACAAATAAATACACTCGCAACTATTTTCTATATATAGAATTATAGATGAAAGAAAAAATTATCGATCCATCGGAAAGAGGATGTATGTAAATGTGTTTACTATAAATCTGATGGTTGAAAACATTTCAAGCGGGAACTCAATGACGTTTGAAATATTATGATCACTAAATTGGAAGTTAAATAATATTATTGTAAATTTAAATTGGTACAATTAATAAGCCAACATGTTTTTAATCACGTTGATGTTCAATAACAAATGATTTGAATGAAGCTATTTTTGTTTAGATCCCAGACAATTTTATCTGAGATATTATCGAAGACTGTGGCCCATTCTTTGGCTCTCCTAATTGTTAGTCATGGTCGTTCGGTAGCGCAAACAAATTAATTTGTACTACGAAGTTCCTTCGTCCCAATTTGGCAATTGGTTCAATAACATCTCGTTGAGATTGTCAAACGTTGTGTCCCAAATGGTTTATGTCCTCAATAACTTCGGTATGAATATTTAAGGGGTCGGTGCAAAATTTGGTGTTGGACTGATGTATTAATTTAAAATGCGCATCAGTACAACAAACATTAGCATGTATTATAACAGTACCCGTTTTATGTTTTAAGGTCTAGTCTAAGTGAAATGTTTAGTATTAGAAAGCAACAACGGTTTTGAATATAATAATATGGCGGAGTCGTGGCCTGTAACTCGATGTTTTTAAGTTTCAGTTAAGCTAGGCTTTAATCGATATTGTTGTTATTGCAGATCGGGAAGTAAGCGCGCGTGGCGGAGGGTTATCAAAATTTTATCGTCACTGATAACATATTTATTTACATTTAATACCCTGTTACGTTTATTTACCTGTTGACTTTAAATATAAAGCCCTCTTGTATACCTACATCACTTTGTGACGTAGTATAAAATGACATCTAATCTATAAAGTTATCTATGCGTTAAGTATTGTTACTTATAAAATGGATTTTCTTTAATGTGCACGTATTTATTGCTTTAATTCGTGTGGTTTTCCCAGGGTGCATTCATTGTGAAAGTACACACAAAGAAAGTTTTCACGTGACACACAGAGTTAGTATACCAACATGATGAGTAATGACAGTCGCCTCATTTATATGTAGCTACCTATTTAAAAGAATACATTTCCATAACTTACATTGTGTTGTTTTTTGTTAAAATTAAAAAAAAAGTAAAGAGTAGCTTTGTATTTTAGTAAATTTATTTGCTGCCTGTATTTTTAGTAAAACGATGACATTCGAGCGCTATTAGAGATTTAAGAAAATAACAGCCGAAATCATTGTCCGGCAATTAGAGGAGGACATTCACATTATATATCAAAGTAAGTGGGTCATATAGGAAGGAACTTAATAGAACTCGCATGAACTTGTATTTAATATTCAACGGTACATAACAATTGAGTTACGTAGCAAATTATTATTATAATTAAATGCAGTGAACAATGATATAAATACAAATTAGAATCGAGTTATTATAATAAAGTTCTGAAGCTAAGTGCAATATCATCGTGGGTAATTGTGGTCTATATAACTTGGAGAAATCGTATACGTACGTTATATTCCAAGTTTTTGTCGGTCCTAACGAGAATGTATTGTAAAAAGTGACATTGCGTAACCTCGGTGTTCGAACACTGTCTATGATGGATGACGCACAGTGAGATTTTGACAGATTGAAGTACGGTTAATCGCGTCGACAAGATACAATGAACGCGTGATTCATTTTTACAGCGGATAAGAGTTGTAATCTATGTTTGCACTAACTTATAAGTACTTGTATGTGTGCAATTATTCACAGTACGATAACTAAATGTTAAGCTTATTTGAAAGTTAAATTAAATTGGAAAGTTCATTTATCGAAATTGATCAAAATATTTATTTGTAAAAAACTAAAAATAAATTCTATTAGCTTTACTAAAATATAAAAAGTTTAGAACACTTACCCAAAAATGTAGAGCAGATGTACTCCGAGATCTGGTTGCCGGACTTGCTGGACTCGGAGAAGTGGCTGAGCTCCTTGTTCAGCATGCGCTTGAACTGCAAGTGCAACATATCCATTGAGCGGGCCATTGTCACAGCTCGACTTCGCAGCCACCGGGCAGGGGCGAAACGAACGCTTTGTCTCTCGGCAAAGACACGCATTTCACAACACAATACTATAATACTTCAACACAATAAAAAATATAGCCAGTATAAGCTCGCGTTCCGAACTTGTATTTATTCACGATATTACTTTAGACGTGTGTTATCTATGAGCGCTATCGTCGGACTGAAGCGGTCGCGCCGACGCGGCCGCATATTAAACGTAGCACGGCTATCGTCACAGCTCTGCACACTACAGAAATACCGCCTTCCCAGTATTGTGCTTTACATGTAATCTAGGTTCAGTCGCTCGCACTTCCTCTGACACAGTCGAGAGCCACTTGCCTTCCCACTAAACAATTACTAAGCCACCTGGATGCACACCGTTCATTATTTATATGTGAATTGTTCAGATGAATCTGATTCAACGAGTTTCGGAACAGATTGCTTTGTTTCAGTCGCTTTTATCCGGGTGCAATCCGACTCTAATGTCCTTAATTAATTGATTAGTGCGATTGTATCTGTCATAATGGTTTAACAAGACAAGAATAACGCACAACAAAATACATGGCATGTGATTAGATTTTGATAAACACAAAAGATTATAGTAAATCACATAGTAACACGATAGCGGCTGGGGTCTAACAGGAGGTTGAGCGGAATACGTTGCTAACTGCTCAATTAAAATGTTTTTCAGCCATGAAATGACATTTAGTTCTGGAGACAATTGATCTTGACACAGTTTCTTATCGGCTTACAAGTCTAATCTTGTATCTAGTAGTCGGCATCATTCTTAACCAGAGTACATCCGAAATAAGGAAAGAAAATTCTTTTGTGATTAGTTTGACAGTTTTTTTAGATATCATATTGAGATTAACTCTAAAGTAAAGATAACACGTTATCAGGCAGAGAGCATTATGGCAGTTTAATTCGCTTTTGACGTTAACTCAGTTGTTTCGATTACTCATAGTTATATGTGAAAGTAAATCTGACCAGTTCCGGAACAAAACCACTTTTTGTTTTATCAGTCATCGACGGTGCAGTTACAGGTACACATAAAATTATCTGTGAATAAAAATAAAACGACTGCGTTCTATTTTTATTCACAATAAATTACCAACTTTAATCAATGTGGTTAATAAATTGTAATCCACACTGCAATAGATACTTGTGCACCTAATATATTATACAAATTCTTACTAGTATTAGCTAACCGTAACCAGTATTCAGCTACATAAACAGCACCCAGCCATTGATATCCAACGCTATTAATTCGATGAATTGTTTAAATTGACCGTACTGAATGGAACATTCCAGAAACATAGACCAGTTATTTAAGAGAGATTCAGACACGCATACGTAATGTATTCAATCTTCCTTTTTAAGGAACAGATACGGTAATAAATCGTAGATTTCCATTAGATATAAAATGCTGGAGATAACTAGTACAACACGAGCACTAGACATAGAAAAGGCGCGTAAATATGAATGTAATTCAAACAATCATAAATCATGTCCTGAAAGCGTGAGGGAACTGGAATAGAGCAGCGGGTCACCAAGTGTAGTGATAGTGATAGCATCCACACTACGGACTAGTTCACGTGCCCACTGACTCATGTATTACTTAACTGAAAAGTTTTACGCTGTCACCACAAAAGGGAAAGCTAAATAAACAGTTAGAACAAGCTCTAAATATTAAATGAAGACCGCTTACGCACATTACCCGAGTAAGCAAGCCTTAGTCAACTTGGAATTATTAATAAAAGGCATTAAATAAGTGTTTGTGAACCAGTTAGCTGTATTTCACCTGCGAAGCTAATAGATGCTCAGTCATTGTTTTACTTTCTTCATTCATGAAAAATGAGAAAACATTTCAAGTGTTCAAAACAATTTACGTTTATGTTTGTTCTTCTCGACGAAATATATTAATATATTTTGGAATTCAGGAACTCAAACGTTATGTTTACTTGTTACAATTTAATGCATGGGTGAAATCAAAACATTATAATTTATGTTTTTCACGATTTATTACGAAAATATAGTGCGGCCATTTTTCCGTCTTCGGCAAGACCTAGAAATCTGAATAAAGTAGGGTTCCTGTTACCTTGAAGCTACCAATATATTATAAAATGGTTTCACTTCCTTGACAGAATTTTCAGACACTTTTGAAATTATGTGCGTCGTTGCTGTCCAGTTTTATACACATATAACTAAAAGATTTTTTCGGTTTCTAGAACTTAACTAAACGTTACTTCCTTTCCTTTTCACGTTATCAAATTACTAAGGGTTTTTATAGAGAAATTAGCTTCTCAATTTCCCGGTGACGTCTACCGCGTGGGCGTGGGTGTTCTACAACAATGGAGTAAAAATACCTAAATTGATTCACGGCTAAACTGTGACGTACCGACTACAATAGAAAACTCAAAGCTGAAAATGGTATACGGGAAAAATTTAAAACTAATTTTACTTGCGTCAGGATTTTATACGATAAGTTGCTATAGGTAACATCATCTGCGAGTACGCACATACCAGTACACGCACGTATCGTATTTTTTTTAAACTGAAGAAAATACGTAATTGATTTTGTAACAGTTTTTTACACAGTGACGATTGCTTGACGAAATCTAGGTACCGCTACGCAAGCTATTTCGTAACGATCGCATACTGTTGCGTTGGAGTCAGTTAATCAATGACATGCAAGATGTCACAGTGATTTAATTTTCACATTTCTTTAGCAATTACATCTATCAAGTGGTCATATGGTCACGTGTCTTATTGAATTTTACAGCCGGTCTTTATATTGCAGATGTAGTAGCAGGTGTGAATTGTAGAACGAGGTTGAATAATAGTACTGCAAAATGTATGGATGAATTCTAGAATTAGTGTGAAAACATTAAATTCTTACGTAATCTGCCAAGGAACATGTGGTTCTCATGAAAGAGGAAGAGGAAAAATAAGATGATAAATAATATGTACGTTTTCGTAAAACTCCTTTGATCAATACATCAATCAAATGTGCCGTAAACAGGTGAGGCTGAAGTTTGGGGAATGTAAATTATTAATTCAAACTTTTATATGACGTCAGATACAGAGTGGTGCTAATAAAGCTACCTGAAAATCGTTGTAATGACGTAAGTATTGGTCTGATACCGATGTGTTACCGTTCAAGTGACTGATAAATGATTGTCATTTATGAACATAGTAATTAATAATTATTTTATGGGTCATTGAGAGACGTGATTAGGGCGTGGGGACGGTAATCTGACGCGATGATCGGCCGATACTCGTACTCTATTTATGGAAATTAATGTCAAATTGGTCATTGGGGGATTGGACTAATCGCTCCCGTTGCAGTTAGATCATCTCTCAATTTGTTTGTTATGCTGACGACACGCTGGTGCTGGCGAATGGGAGGTCACATCAGGCGGCGGCCGACCTGATGTCGCAAGCGGTCGCGACAGTCGTTGCAAGGATCCGGCAGTTGGGACTCGAGGTGGCGCTTCACAAATCCGAGGCCATGTGTTTTTATGGCCGTCGGAACGCGCCACCTCCAGATGGGTCCCAAATAATGGCAGGAGGAGTTACCATCGGCGTCGAGTCGGCGATGAAGTACCTGGGTCTCGTTCTCGACAGCCGATGGAATTTCACGGAGCATTTTCGTCGTTTGGCTCCTAAGTTGGAACGGTCTGGGGCCGCGCTCAAGCGGCTCCTTCCCAACCTCGGGGGGCCAAACGCCTCCTGCCGGAGGTTGTACATGGGGATTGTGCGATCCATGGCCCTCTACGGTGCCCCTGTGTGGGCGCCGGATTTGAAGCGGCGGCCGGCTCGTACGCTGGTCGCGTCCCAGAGGGTCATGGCTATCCGAATAATCCGCGGATATCGCACGATCTCCGGGGAGGCGGCGAACCTCCTTGCCGGATCACCGCCATGGGATCTGGAAGCGAAGGCGCTCGCGCGCGTCTACAGTTTGCGCGCAGACGCGCGTCGCCGGGGCGAGGATCCTCTGCCGCGCCAAATTAGTGCGTGGCGGAATGAGCTCCGGCGAGATCTCATGGCTGAGTGGAAGCAGCGACTGTCGCAACCGAGGGCCGGGCACGCTACTATAGCAGCGGTAAGACCCCTCTTTGAGGAGTGGCTTGAGAGACGCCACGGCGTCCTCACCTTCCGCCTGACGCAGGTGCTTACCGGGCACGGCAGCTTTGGTAGGTTCCTGTTTCGGATCCAGCGGGAGGAAACGCCCGAGTGTCGTCATTGTGAGGATCACCTGGAGGACACGGTGGAGCATACGGTGGCGGAGTGCCCTGCTTGGGCTGAGCACCGCCGTGTTCTCAGGGAAGTGATCGGCGGCGGCGACCTCTCGCGCCCGGCCTTAATCGAGGCCATGGTGCAGCGTGAGAGGAACTGGGAAGCTATCTCCTCCTTCTGCGAAGCAGTTATGCTCGCAAAGGAGGAGGCGGAGCGCGTGAGGGAACTATCCTCCTCGCGCCCCAGCCGCCGCAGAAGGCGACATTCCGGACGTCGGGGATCGAGGGATGATCTCCGGCCACCGTAAGCGCGGGTCTGCGGACGGCGAGTAAGGGTAGCTCGCCGCCCGACCAGAACTGGACCCGAGCGTACGGCGCGTAGCGTTCCGCGCGCGCCTCAAAGAGCCAATAGACCACCACAGTCGGGGCCCTAAAGGGCTGATGTTTAGCCGGGGCTGCGGGGTAAGCGCAATGAGGCACCGCGACCTCGGCCCAGAGCAGGAGAAGGAACGGGGGGGTTTTTAGTCAGTAAGAGTCTGACACTCTCTCTCGCCTTCCCCTGGGCGGGAGAAGTCATTGGATGATTTTCCCCTGACAAAAAAAAAAAAAAAAAAAGATCATCTCTCAATCATTTCGGCTAAGTTGGCATCTAGTTGGGTAATTTGATTGAGTCGTGTGGATTGTGACTTCCACATCACCATCGGATGGGTG